TACCGCACCTACAACCTCGGCACGGGCGAGGGCAGCTCTGTGCTCGACGTCGTCCGCGCCATGGAGGCCGTGTCGGGGCGGGCCATTCCGCGCGAGACGGTCGCCCGCCGCGACGGCGACGTGGCTGCCTCGGTGGCCGCTGTGGACCGCGCGCGCCGCGAGCTGTGCTGGGAGACGGAGAAGACGCTGCTGGACGCGTGCTACAGCGTGTGCAGTCGGCTCGATTTGCTGCCGTGTCGGGCGCGTGGTGTGTAATGGGGGCGTCAAGTGTGTCTGTCGTGCGGGCCGTGTTTGCGGTCAAGTCTGGAATGATGAGTGCCATGTCGTGTGTTAGCGTAGATTTGATTATAGACAAGACTGTAGAGCATTTTATATAATACACTTTTTTCTGTTCGACTCGGTATTTAGTCGAGCGACTTGCGCGGTGAAATTTGAGAGTGGACAATTGCTCTGGGGTAGGTTACTGCATCTCCATGTCTGTTTCCAAGTCAAGTTGCCACCTTGCATCTGACAAATTGAGAGTTGCAAAATTTGTTTCAAAGTGTTTATTACTAGCTACGTCCTACTGCCTAGTTTATTCTCTTGGAATACCCCTGTCACCAGAGATGTAAAATGTGACGACGTTGCAGATAGTGTGGTCCCAACACTTGCTACCCTGTGGTCTAGCAGCCATGAAGCTTTCGGCCTTTTGACATTCCACCTCTCCAAGCGGGCAATATCCACTGGCCACTCCTACTCGTGGGACTCAAGACCAAGTATTGCTTCCTCAAATGCGCAAATCACCTGCTCATACAGCTCGTCCACTGCTTCTGCATCGGTATCAGTGCCAACCCACATGGTCCCCTCTCGCAGAGGAAATAATATCCCCCGAAGCCGTTCGGCAAGTGGCTTTAGAGGGTGAAAGTCTAAAGCAAACTCGCCCAGAATCCCTTCAAATCCATCGCAGGCCATATCGCGAGACTTGCGTGCAGCCAATTCGTCCCAAGTGCCCCTGCTCCATTGGCGGAGCCTGCTCGCCTCCGGGGGATCGTCGGCGCGATTGGTTATGATTGTCCACAGAAACACATAAAGAAAGGCCTCCAGGTCGTGTCTGTAAGTGTTCTGATGGCCCTTCAAGACCCCAATGGCCATGAATGGCCTCGTTCCGGTAACACCTAGTGCGCGATCCAGTTCGGTTCCGAGATGTATTGCGACATCAAGGTCTATCACCCTCTCGCGCCCCCTTGTTGGTTATCCAGGATAATCATGTTGCCTGCAGAGATATCCCGGTGTAGAATCTGTGCGTCTCGGTAGAGTGATCGGTGGCAATGGACAGCGTCACGGAATACTTGAAGCAGCTCCAGCAGAGATCGAAAGGTGTCAAGCGGTCTGCCGGCAGGAGACGTAACGACACAAGTGAGGATACGGTTTTGGAAGTAGTTGTCGGTTTTCTCCGTGTAGTCGGCTAGTCCGGTCGGTTGACGCAGGCCTTCAACGTCTCTGCGTGTGCTATCCGCGTGCTGCTCGCTGGAAAACCTTGCATGTGTCCCCCAGCGGAGGCCTGCGCGCAACTCTGCCGTGCTTTTGATTTCCTCGTAATGGTCGAGGGAGATGGCGTACCGGCCGCACTTTTCCTGGGCTAGCCGGAGCAGCTCGTCCTCTGGGCGGTGTCTGACCCATCTCCATTTGAATTTCAAGACGTAATTCCAGCGATTCGAGCCAGATGGCTTGGCACGGTAGCAGGTTGTCCCCGTTCCGACAAGGCCTTCACGGCAGGCAATCGGCTGGGATTCTAGGTAAAGTTTCGCCAAGTTTGAATTTGCCACATTCTCGAGAGTAATGTAGCTTCCTTCCTCGTCAGTCTTGATTCGTTGCAGGGTTCCTAGTTGCTCATCGGTCATCTGACCGTAGCGGAGCATGATGAAGACAAATTGATCGAAATCTTTCTGAAGGTCGAATACTTCGCTGCAATACAACCCGGATCTGTCAAAGAGCCAAAGCTCCATCTGTGAACCACGTATGTAAAAGCCATGAAGGAACAATCGGGTAGGCTGACTAGCAAAGACTTGCTGGGCGGACTGGCAGAGACGCACCAGTCCGTGTTGATAATCAACGATTTCGTCCTGATAGAACAGGCCAATGACTTGGGCATGGCTCCATCTGGTCTGGGCGTTTGGGGTCGGTGAAGGAGGCATGGTCAGGAGGAGACTTGTCCCCAAATCAGACTGCTCATGATTCGCCGTTACGGTATTGCTGAATGTGTGCCACGAAGCTCGGTCACCGTCGTATTTCTCTGATACAAAGTTTGAAAACCATGGTAGGAAACTGTCGGGAGTTGGAGCAGCTGACTGGACCTCCAATCCATTGTCTCGGTGAGTGCAGGTAGGTTCTCCAAAGAACTTTGCTATAAAACCGGGCATGGGTCCATGCATGCGGCCGTCTATGTTGTCCAAGATTTCTTTTTCGTCCATGGTGGCTGGCTGACGCGCTGGTGAATGCTTTCCTACGGGCGAACAATCGTGTGGTGAAGGAGGCAAGGAAGGAAGCGAGTCTGTCTCTTGGGAGCTGTCGAGTACATATGTATGCATGAGCGCTGTATGCATATGACTAATCGACCCGATTAGGTAAATAAATATGTAGGAATAGACGGACTTGAAGCCACGGCCACGACGATCGTTTGCCAACCCTCTCCATGTCCACATGGGACAGAGGGCCCGGGGAACAGCGTGAAGCTTGCCAAGTCTATTGTAATAAACCTTGTTAGTCATGTGTGATGTGAGGTGTATTTTTTAGCGTGTGTGGCGGCTTAAATTGGCATTGGCCTCAAAAATTACATCGACCAGGCGGTGCCGGCATATTGCTAGCACCTAGCCGACACCATAACTTTCAATGTTTCCGTTCAATGTTGATCAAATCCAAAATTACGCACGGTCCGGTGCTCTAGGCAGAAACACGATGCGCGGGTACCCAACAACAACACTCGCCCAGAGGCCAATCCGGTCAGCAATGGCACGGAGCCTTGGCCTGCTCTTGTTGGTCGTTGTTGTTTCGTTGGCACTTTGGGAAGACCGCGCCATATCACGTTGGCCATGTTGTGAAGCCTGCAGCCGGTGCATGGCCAATAGAGCAAGATATTTGGTATTCCTATTCGGATTTTCTGCCTGCTTGGACCTTCTTGGCTGGCTGTTTTGTTGGTCGGCTTGACGCATCTGCGCACCACCACCGCCTCATTGGAACATTGACCTAACATTGAACCAATAAATAACACATGAGGACATATACATCGCAGACACCCCTCACGTGCTAACACAAGGCGGCCAACAAGGCGGCCAACAAGCCAACACAGAGGGGCCAAGCAGAAAAACAAGGTGGTACTTTAGGAATTGACATGTTGTCCTTTGCCAGAGCATACCAGAAGAAACACATCCCATCTGTCATGGTCTTGTGGTTTCCAACTCAAATTCCACAAAGGTCACAATTTTCTTTTCAGTTAACACCTTGATTATACAAATACCTTCTCTGTTACCACAATGGCGTCTTTAATTGACGACTTTGTGCCGTCCATGACTTATAACAGCCTGCCCGTAATTAGCCAGGTTGCCGAGGCACCAGAGCTTTATGCCCGCGATCTTCAAGACCTCCACGAGCTACTTCAAAAGCACCATGTCCCCAGGGGTGTCAGTATTCGACTGATACATAAGCACTTCGACACTGCCGACAACAAGGTCATGGTCTTTGACAGGGTTACCATCCCAGGACTCAGAGTCGCCCAAATTATGAAGCCAATTGTGCCAACAGAGAACAGTCAACTCCGTGGCATTCACTTTTTCGTTGGTGAAAATGCCTCTCTCCAGTCCTACGAGTATAGCAACTATGAAGTCCCTGACATGAACAACTATGGGTCTTTTCTTGCCGAGTTTTGCACCATTATTTCTGAGCGTCGTCTCCAACGAACATTCGGGCTCAAGCTTCAATGCCCGAACGAGTTGGACCGAGTACGAGATCGGTGCTAAACGAGGCACCATCATGTTTCCCGACGGCATGCGCATGCCTGACGGAGATGGTGACTACAGCGTCACCACAGAGTGGAATGCGGTCATGAATGAGCTGCCGAGAACTTGCAAGCATTCTACAGCCTGCCCCATGGGCGATCAACCCGTAAACATTGCAAACACTGCAACAGACATCCCAGTCCCGGGGACGCTGGCGATGCCGGTGAGGGTATTCTCTGTTTAGGTGGTCGAAAGATTTTACCAGGGTCTCAGATGCATGCTATCGCCAAGCAAATCGTGGCTGCCTTTGGTTGAAAGCCATTTACAACTTTGATGTGCTACTTGGCATGTGATGGGGCTGATGGTTTGAGCACCTTTAGTAAACCAACCAAATAGATTACTTTCTTTCCAAAGACGCGAAGAAGGCGCCATCAAGGCTTCTTGTGCTTTGTGATTTCGCTTGCATTGCATGTCAACCCGCACGTCATCTAGGTGGCCAAATGCACTATCTAGCCAGGCCTAGTCGTCCAGAAGGTTCAAACCAGAAGCTAGCTTGGAAACCTCCTAGTTATTATCTTTCTGTTGAATTGAGAAGGGCCTTTTCAATTTCTTTCGATTTCCAACTATACAAGGCGTCAGTTGCCTAGAGCGATAGATACAATCAAGCACCAAGTCAACCTTTGCGATCTATAGCTGACCGTGTTGACATTGCAAATCCCGGAATATTTGAACTGGTCAAATGATATTTGCAGAGATGAATACTGCAGGAAAACCAGGTGTGACAAGAGCTCAAGACTTGGAGTATCATGACTCAATTCATCCAATAACAGTCTTCAGTCTTTAGTATTAAAGCGCTTGATTTCCCTCAAAGCCCAGTTAACTACACAGCTCTTTTAATACAAGAAGTCAGTGCGGGTTTTCTGCCCTAGGTCCCGTGATTGTATCCGCCGTGTAACCATGTTACACCAGGAGAGCTTTGACAAGTCTCAGCTGCAGGCCGCATCTTAACTCCGGCCTCCAATACGATGCTCCGAGTAAGCTGTTCGTCGATTATCAATGTGGAGGGCCCACGTCGCCATGCCCACCCGGCTTCACGCGCCGCCGCCTATATCCCACTTGATGCCACTAATTTCTGCTTCGTTCCAGATATCCCCATATGCCAATTACGGAATAAGAATGGAAAGGAACATGAGTGTCAGCCAGACGCAAGGAGGTAAGGAGGATGGTTCCACCACTGCCTTGAATGCATCTTCAACCTTGGCGCCTCGTTGTGAAGCGGGCCATGTCAAATTCAAGTACTTTTACTTCATGTATTTGGGCGATAAGCGTACGGGGAGATGGTGTTGAGCTTAAAGAGGGCCGGCCCGGGGGTGGGATAGGGCCCGTACGAGGAACTATACTAGTCTGATGACGGGGGGGGGGGGGGGGGGGGGGGGCAGAATTTGAGGCTTTTAGGGCTGTTGAATTTGAAGCTGTTAGGGTTGCTGGATTCGAGGCTTTCGAAGCCGCTATTGAATTTGAGGCTTTTGAGGCTGTTGAATTTGATGCCTTTGAAGCTGCTGCTGCGTTTGAGGCTTTTCCAGCTGCTATTGAATTCGGGCCTGATTCTTATCTAGGCATGACTCTTGCACCTGCCTGACTCTTACACGGGCCTGACTCTTACACGGGTCCGACTTTTGCAACCAGACGCGTCGACGGTGTCCCCACCAATCCCTTCCATCAACACGGCCATCATTGATCTTTAAACTTCAACAATTCAACCCCAATAGAGCCTACAACGTCGCGAGGTAAATACAACCCTCACAAGCGAACAAGGTTTATAGCGGTATATAATTTAGCCCTATCGGCGCCCACAGTATCGGGTCGTTGTACCACATCCACAAGTCCCACACAGGCAAACATGACATCTGGAGCTTTCAAATATTGGCTTCAATGTCCGCCATGGCGGGTCTGCCTTCCGGACTGCATGTCGGAGTCCGATGTGACATATGTCTGACATCTGTGGAGGGGTCCGGCGATTGTAATCCCCTACAGTTGCTCATTTAGGCTTCTCCATCAGTAATTTATCGTCTGGTTTTCAGGGTCAATAAATTCCCACAATTGTAGACTTGTAGCCTTCAATGTTTGTCTAGAACTCTCCTTGCCCAGTCCTCAAAGGTCTGGAACAGCACCTTGATGGATGAGGCATTATTGTCTATCTATTTGTACGGCCCGCTCGGCTCGAAAGCGTACCGAGACTCTTCATTGCTAGATTTCCCGATGCGCCACTTGAATTACCACCGGGGTTATAGTCTGCTATTGAGGTCAACATTGATGCTTGTATCTTTCCTGTGTCCTTGTCAGGCGGGAAGAGCTAATTTATCAATCCATGGGGCTTTTGCCGATACACCCATTTAATTTTACCAGACACTACATGTGTAGGGCCTTTTGTGACAGCATCCACATCATACCTGTAAAAATATTATGCTTGCGAGTCACGAATACTTGCTCATATTTGTAAGTCTCTTGAGCTTGTTCTATCATTTAGTCTTTCTCTCTATATATAGGTGCGAGGATAAATACAGCAAACAACCCACCTATTTACATCTTTGCGTTACAGTCCATGTATAGTGAAGACTAGCCTGTGCTATCTTATACCTGACCTTTCTCTTTCACAAGCCTATTAGCAACGCACTACCAGCTTCTTCCTGTCTTAACAATGGTACCCAATATTGCTATTGCACTAGCCGCGTTTTCTGTTGTTTCGTCAGCAGCAACAACTATCGACAGGAGAGTAATAGGCGGAGAGGATGCTAAGGACGGTGAGTTTCCATTCATCGTCAGTCTTAGCGGAAGAGGAGGTCAATGTAGTGGCAGTTTGCTGGACAGCACTACGGTTCTTACTGCTGCTCATTGCCTTGAAGGCAGATTCACCTCTGTAAGGGCAGGAACACTGGTAAATATCTCACCCGTCAAGTCACTCCCGCTAGGTCGCCTAGCTGCTTGTGTAGCTGACACAAAGCTGGTAAATACAGAGCTAATGATTACGTAGAATAGACGGATGGGTGGAGTAATTGCAGATATTGCATCCGCCAAGGAGCACCCGAGTTACATCAAGGGGCATGGTGTTCATGACATTGCCATCTTGAAATTATCAACTCCGATTGAGAGGAACGACACAATTGGGATTGGCTATGCAGTTCTGCCTGAAAACGGCTCGGATCCCGCACCAAATTCCATGGCAATAACCGCAGGGTGGTAAGTGCTCTCAAGCTTCGTCCTACTAGAAATAGACGCTAATTGATAAGCCAGGGGCGTCCAAGGCAACGGAAATCCAGGTTATAACCACGTGGTTAACAAACTTGCCAAGGTTGTAATTCCTGTTCGTGAGCGCGAGAAATGTAGGTTGCAATTTAATCCACCCGAGGCTCATCCAGACACAATATGCGCCGGTGTAAATGGCAAGGATGCATGCCATGGGGATAGCGGCGGTCCTCTCATCGACCAGGAGACGGGACAGTTAATCGGTCTCGTCTCACGGGGCCAATGCACCAACCCTCCCACGGTGTATACTAGGGTCGGCAGCTACATCCCTTGGATTGAAGATCATCTTGGGGGGGTTGGCTCTGGTCCTATCCCTATTTCTACAACAAGTTCCGTGTTGCCCAAGGGCACGCCTACCGCCGGCCAGAAGCGCCCTTGGATAGAACTTGTTAATTATGGCATTGTCGCCAGCTGTGGCTTCACGGAAAACAGAGAAGAGGAATGTGGGACTGAGATTTACTGCGGTTTGTTCGACTGGTCGCCTTCACACGACGGCGCCTTCAAGAACTCCAAGGAGTGCCTCGACGCCCATGTGCCTAAGCCCAAGGCAGCCAGGGCATCGATTCCCCGCCAGTAACAACATGATACATGTATCCTACCAGACTACTATTGTTCCAAGGGTCCGCTGTCAATAGTATACAATACATTGTGATCCTTTTTGTTAGTCTACCCCTATTGTAACGGGCTGGGCTGTTACACGGAAATGGCTGGTTACACAAGGGCTACGGTCACGAGACCTAGGGCAAAGGCCCTCACCGACTTCTTATATAAATAGACGTCTTCGGTCCCTCAAGGCCTTGAGGAAAACCAAGGACCTTTGATACCAAAGACTGTTATTAGTTGAATTGAGCTATTGCTCCAAGCCTTCCATGTTGAACCCTTGTCACATGGGCCGTTGAAGTGCACACGGCTACCGCCAATACAATAACGCCACTAAATAAAGATTGTAGAATTTGCCCTCAAGTATAGACTATATAAACAAGTAGCTCGCTCCTTAAGAGCTTCTAGTTTTTCTCTTTTATAATGTAACTAGGCTTGATGACAACGTAAGCCCTTGTCATAAGTGTAAGCAAAGTGGCAAGCCGGGTGTCACACGGTTACACAAGGGCTACGGTCACGGGATTAGGGCAGAAGGTCCTCACGGACTTCTTGTATTTAAAGACGTCTTTGAACACCGAGGTCTTGAGGAAAACCAAGGACCTTTGATAACAAAGACTGTTATTAGATGAATTGAGTAAATGCTCCAAGCCCTCTATTGAGCCCTTGGCAAGCCGGGGGGTCAAAATTTGAGGCTTTAGGGCTGTTGAATGTGGGGCTGCTATTGAATTCGGGTCTGTTGAAGTTGCTGAATTTGATGCTTTTGAAGCTACTGGATTCGGGCCTGTTTAAGCTTTTTTTTTCTCCTCCGGGGGCGCTTTGGAAGGTGCCTCCAACATCAAAAGGCAGGTTCGCGATAATGCACAAAGCCAGGTACGGCTTTTAAATTCAAGCGAATTATAAATACTTATATTTAATAGTTTTATTTAAATATTTATTTTAAGTATATAATTAATAACGTTTTAATTAAAATGTCATTTTATTACGCTTATAATCTTATTATGCTTTCTCCGTGTAAGAAAATATGTCAAGTATACTATATTTAGATATATTAGCAGCTGCGCAATAGGACCTGTCATAATCAGGGATAGTTGCGGAGCTCAAAAAGCATCGAATTTGAAACTAGTCATGGTATACATGAAGGGGAACCCCAAAGCACCTACCTATTCGCGAATGCCAAGCCAGCCGGCAGCAGGAGTCCTCTCAGATGAGGCCACATGCATCATAGCAGATGATATACCAAGACTCGTATGCAAGGGACGCGGAGACTAATGCCGGTTGCTCAAGCGAACACTGAAGTTGATGGGTATAGGGCAATACTTGTGGGGTCGGGGCTGGGGTACAAGCCGATAATGCACGATAGACCTATGATAAACTGCGTTCTCATCAAATGAATCCTCGTATTCACGTTCCGGAAGGGATGTTGGATCAATGTGGCAAGCAAGGAGAGCGTTCCTATCTCTTTGAAGGTCGAGCACCTTGTGGGGTGCCAAGCCCAGGGGTTAGTAGCTAATCAGATAATAACGGGTAGACGGTACTTTTATTTACTTATAACTTTAGTAATACTAATTGTACTAATAACCCTGTCAGGTACAAGCAGCTACATTATATTAGTCACACGATTATATTATATACTTACTGCTTTTATGCCAGCACGATTTATGGGGCGGCGGAGCCCCTACCAGGTGCTCGACTCGAAGAAAATTGCTCTTTTCTAAATAACAATTTAAAATGGGGTTAAAAGGAGAGTAAGGTAGGGACTAGTTTCAAAAGAGTGGGTACCGTATATCCCCAGCTGCGCAGTTAGGGTTAGGGTCAGTAATCAAGGCGGCTACTTCCTAATTAGGGAGTAGCAATAGTCAGGTCAGCTCAGGAAGGCGAGCAATAGTCGGGTGGTATACATTCTCGCAAGAGTACCATGCATTCGCACACATGAAAAGAGAAGCAGTATAAAGATATTCGAGGTAGAAATAGTACGAGTACATATGCAGGGCTCTCAGATGCAGTACCCACCGCGGCGAAGCCAAAATCTCACGAGATTCGGCCTACTTGCAGAGACGCATGTAAGTCAAGGCTCACGGCACGAGTAGTGCGAGTGGCGCGAGTATCTGGAGCCAAAAGCTATTTTGGTGCAAACATGAGGGACTCCGCAAATATACGAGGTAGCCAAGAGGCAGTCGGGGACTCGGCTGTGATCCTGAGTCGTTCACGCATCCCTGCACCCAGGTCACGAAGCCCCCTTTTCTACTATGTCCGCTGCACATGTCCCCGGTCGCATGAGTTCCATCAAGCGGCAACAGGTGTAGACGATGCCAGGCACGCCGAATACGCCTACCTCCTCGCAAGTGAGGCCATGGGGGATATTGTATGTCTGTACCATCAACGTGATCAACCGCTTGGCTAGTTGAGGGCACATCTGCACAATGAAAGAGGTATAAATGGCACCCAGCTGTCTCGTCTTTCCGAATACAAACTCTTGAGGCATCGATCCCCTCTTGTTTCAGAACAGTGCAAGGACAGCGCCGTGACCATGCTCTATCCCTTCTCTCTCTACTTCGCCTTGGCTGGCACAGCCTTCACGGGTGCCGTCTCTGGCACTACCACCTCGGACGCACCACGCCGTAGCCAGGCTCCAAGTGACGGGCTTACAACTCCTCAGTACGGAGATGGAAGCTGCGACACCCAGGGCATGATCAACATTGAAACCTACATCACCCTTTTTGCCAACAACGAAACACACGAAGGTGGTTGGCTCGGCGTAATCACCCTCCACTTCCATACAAACACACAAGCCGGGTTTCTGACTGCACACATAGGACGACATTGTCGAAAAGCAAATAAAGGCCCTCAATGAGGGGTTTTCCAGCTGCCGCATCGGTTTCACGCTCAAGGGACTGCAGAGGAGCATTGACGCGATGCCCCTCGGGTTCGACCCCGACGAAAAGCTCGCCTTTGGATTCTACGGCAAATACAGAAAAGGCAGCTACAAGTCGCTCAATCTATACTACTCTCCAAACCAGACAGGCGGCGTCTGCACCCATCCCGGCATGAGAGGCGCACTCCATATAGGCACAGCGTTCAACGTGGATGGATGCCAAATGGGGACCAACACCATGCCCGGCGGAACGCCCCCCTATGAAATGGGCAAGACGACGGTCCACGAGGTTGGCCACTGGCTCGGACTGTTGCACACCTTCCAAGGCGGGTGTAACGAGGTCAAGGGTGACTTTGTCAGCGACACGCCGGCCGTGAACGAGACCGTGGGCCGAGTAGAGGGTACCTGCCCCCGTGGCCAAAACAGCTGTCCTGGTCTTCCGGGCCTGGATCCTATCCATAATTACATGAGCTATAGCTCGGAGTAAGTTGATTGCCTCTTGGGCCATGGCGGACAGCGTGCTGACATGTTCGTTTAGCGAATGTAGGACGGAGTTTACGCAGGCGCAGTGCGAGCGCATGAGGAGTATCTGGCGGTATATCCGAATTGACCCGGAACACAGTTGATCCATTCGTGGGATTCGTCGTGCCTGTGTTCAAGTGTTGCAGTATTCGGACTGGAAGGCATGAGAGCCTCGATGGGAATCAATTAGAAACCGATCGATCCATCCCCGATGACGGACAGGGCAGCTGCTTGTTATCGCCTAAGTCCAGGCTGGGTCAAAGCTCGGCTGAATTAGAGTACTTTTAGCCGTCCAGACGGTCGACAAGAAATCTCATTACTAAATTATGATTCACTTCATCCTGGTCCTAATTGGCTCGTAAATCATCCCCCTCCGCCACCACGACGACTACATTGAGCAAGGTTACAACCGCGGCCGCCTCTCCCTTTGGGCAATCAGGTGCGGCTTGGAGTACGTAGATATTTGTGCCACCGGATCCCCGATCCCTTTGACTGCGGTAAGGTCCAACTTTTATACCCTGTAAGGGCTCTAATTAATTAAAAAAAATAAAATAAAAGATATAAAGGTACCTAATAAATATCGTAACAAGGTGGGCCCGATACCTTTGTTGGACCTTACCGCAGTCAAAGGGATAGGATCGGACTTGGTCCGACCAAGAGCCCAGCTCAGACATCCCAGCTGCCGCGAGTCAGGCGCCCCAATGGATTTACTCGTGTCAAGTACTGACATATTTCCGACGGCCCCGCGGGGAATTCATGGATATAGATGCTCGCTAGACCAACGTGAGAGTATTCCAAGCATCTACATCCTCATGGCAGAGCTGCAGTGCTATCGACCAGATGTGCGGACGTGACGCGGGGAGAAAGACAACCAATGCCCGTTGCACACACGTCTCCAGCTCCATGTCAGGAAAGATGACTGCTCATTTGGTGCGACCACACGAGTTGATGTAGGCTGGGTTTTGCGTCACATGGCCTCCAGCCGCATCCTCGACATCCTGCCCCGTTTCGTGAGGCGGCGATACTCTGCCTAGTTCTGGCAGTTGCCATATCTGATGGAGAAAGACCTGGATGAAGCGGTACTTTGGGGATGAATGATTCCAAAGAAGTTTATAAGCCTATTAATCAGTGAGTGACGAAGTGGAAGTTTATACCATGTTCGAAACGTGGTGATAAAAGCAACCACGTCAGAGGCCGTCGACTGCGCAGCAACGGCCAAGACACAACACCACCACCCACAAGCAATCAAAACCAAAATGGTGTACCAACACATGCAGAATGTGACAGAACCTGACCCTACGGCGACAGCTCTCGTTTGTTCGTTGCCAGGCCCAATGAAACGTGCATTTCCATAGCCCGCTGCAGCCTGACTCTTGCTGCACCGCCGACAACGCCGTCAGCTCACCGGTTTGAACTGAAATGCCGGTCAGGCATTCACGCCGCTCATCTAGAGCTTATAAAACGCAAAGAACGGTCCCATATACCGCATCAGCTCAACTCCAGCTCATCCATCTCTGCTTGGAACCTTGACCAGCCATCGACAGGACCAGTAGTCGTTGCCAAGTTTCGTAAAGGAGCCCAGCTGCCTCACCCGTCTTGACAAGCAGTCAAGTCGCACAATGACGAGCGTACTCATTACCGGTGTCTGCGTCACCGCCATGACGTACTGCATCTACCTCGCCGTCTTTCGAAAACGCCACGCCCACAACCTCCCCCCCGGCCCCAGGGGCCTCCCGATCCTAGGCAACATGCGAGACTTCCCGCCCGGCGGCAGGCCCGAGTATCAGCACTGGATCGCGCACAAGGACCTCTACGGCCCCGTCAGCTCCGTCCGCGTGCTCGGCCAGACCATTGTCCTCGTCCACGACCGAGACGCGGCCCACGAGCTGCTGACGCGCACGTCGTCCAAGTCGTCGGACCGGCCGACGTCCGAGTTCGCCACGAACCTCTGCGGCTACGGACGCCTGTTCGTCCTCCGCGGAGACGACGCGCGCTTCCGGCGCTGTCGGAAAATGGTGCACCAGCACCTCGGCACCGCGGCGTCGGCGTCGAGGTTTGACGAGGCGCAGGACGCGGCCACGCGCAGGTATTTGCTACAGGTGCTCAATAGCCCAAACAGCCTGTTTAGGCATCTCGCAAAGTGAGTTACACCCGGGCTCCTGCACCCGTAACCGCACGCCGGGCTAATCGCCGTTCCTGTCCGGCCGGCAGCCACGCCGGCGGCTCCGTGTTGAGAATCACCTACGGCTACGCGACGAGCAGCGCGGCCGAGGCCGACCCCCTCATCGAGCTGATTGAGCTGTCCGTGTCGCAGCTCGGGCTGGCCATTGTGCCCGGCGCGTGGGCCGTCGACGTCGTCCCGGCCCTCAAGTATCTGCCTGCCTGGTGCCCCGGGGCCGGCTTCCAGCAGACGGCCAGGCGGTTCGGCAAGGTGGCGCAGCAAATGGCCAGTGTGCCGTTCGAGTTTGTCCTGGGCCGGATGGCGTCGGGCACGCAGCGCGAGTCGTTTGTGTCGCGGCTCGTGGCTCAGCATCGCGAGGCGGCGCCCGGCGGGACGCTGACGCCCAGGGACGAGGACGAGATCAAGACCACCGCCGCCGTCATGTACCTCGGGGGCTCGGATACCATTGTCACCGCGCTGCGAGTCTTTGTCCTGTGCATGATCCTGTTCCCCGGCGTGCAGCGCAGGGCGCAAGAGGAGATTGACTCGGTCCTGGGGCCGCGCCGGCTCCCTGCCGCTTCGGACCGTCACAGGCTGCCCTATGTCGACGCCCTGGTCAAGGAGGCGTACCGGTGGTCGCCGGCGGTCCCGCTTGGCTTGGCGCATGCTACTTCGGAAGAGGCGGTGTGTGGGGGATATCGTATCCCCAAGGGCGCCATCATCATGCCGGCCGTGTGGTGGTTTCTGCACGATCCGGATGTGTATCCCCGGCCGGGCGATTTCGACCCCGAGCGGTTCCTGGAGCCGCGGAACGAGCGCGACCCGCGTCTGGACGCGTTTGGCTATGGGCGCCGGTTGTGTCCGGGGAGGTATGTGGCCGATACTATTCTGTATCTGACGTTTGCGCAGACGCTCGCCGCGTTTGACATTGGCAAGGCCGTCGACGGGCAGGGGAAAGAGATTGACGTGGAACTGGAGCTTGGCTGTGGAGTGGCCTGCTTTCCAAAGGAGTTTCCGTATGCAATTGCGCCGAGGAGTCCGGCGCATGCTGATATGATTAGGCGGATGGATGCTGGGAGGCTGGGAGAGGCTACTGACTTGGATTGTCTGGACATACGAGCAATGATGAGGAAATGGGACGACTAGACGCGAGTCATGTAAGTTGTTGGAAAAGATTTGACCAGGAACAGCGAACTATATGCCATTAATTCTTTTTAATCTTGAGGACTTGCCTGAGACTCGTGGCACATGGATTATATATATCCGTAAATTAAGAATAATAATGCAAGGCAAAGAGGCATTAACTGAGACTTGTCCTGAGCATCAAAGATTGCCCCGGCTTCTATTAAAGTCCGGATCGCTCCAATATGGTTGTTCTTTGCTGCAAGGTGAAGCGGCGTCCACTGTGCTTCGTCTTAAGCATTAGCGGTCGCCAACATAGTTGCATTGGAGAGTGCGCACAGAAACCGTCCCTGACACAGAACCATCTGCCGTCGTTACGTTTGACTAAACTGGGGACAGAATGAACCGTAGCGTGTGCGTCGTCGGGCGCTGTTTGCATTTTGAAGGCAGGATTGGTCAGAAACCACTGAAGCTGTGCCAGCAGCTCAGCACTGCGTCAAGACCAGAAGGGTAACATTGATTTCTTTCTGTCATCATTCGCCGCCCGAAAAGAGAAGCTACGTTGCGTTTTAATATAAGTCGTATCTCCATTCGTTCATGTAGCTTCGTAAGTGCGTGGCAAATCTGAGTGAAGAGTTCATAGGTGTTCGTCATCAGAGTTCTCCGGCACCAAGTTCTGGTGCAATAAACGTTCTTGTCTTCACATAGTCACCGCTGCTAGTTGACGACGAACATTCTCTATGACCAACACAGAAATGTGTCAACAACACAATATCCTCTCGCGTTCAAAGGCCAATCGTCTGATGTGAATCATGTTATTGAGGAAGGTACAATTTCACTTGTTCCAACAAACGCAACCGACACATCCCCATCAGACAACAATTCATTCACGATCGGTGTTGACGAACGTTCTTTGCCCCCTTTGGCAACTCCGTTGTCCAGAATGATGGTTGCGACGCAGCGCTTTGCCAATAATAGCATTGCGTTTCGTCCACTGTATGTTCGGTCCATTCCTTCAACTCAGTCTGATTCTCCTCCCTGTTTAAATCCTTAAAGTAAACCTTTCCTCTACGCGTATATATCTCTACCTAATACGAGGTGCCTGGACCTGAAAATGTAGACACCGTAGCCTGACCAGACGACCGCGTAGTGCGTCGCGCTGTACCTTCCGTACGTCGCTGGCACGGGTGGGTTCTGTTAGAAGTAGAGGCTGGGCTGATAGAATTCCTCGAACGCTTCAATGTTCGGCTGCACTGGGTCTGTGGTAAAAGTAGTAAAACTAGACGTAAAACTTATTTATAGGTTGTCGAGGGCTAAGACTACCGATTCCTGGCTCAGATTTAGTAAATCTTTCTCCACGTATAAATATTAGGGTGTAGTAGTATATGCCTTAGTGTTATATTACGGGGAATTCTTGCTACTATTAGTAAATTATTGCTGAAGCGCGTAGTCCGTATCCTGCCAGGTGGTATGTATTGTACTATCTCCGGACTTGTGTAAATCAAGAGCGCTTGAGACCTCTTCGTTCGTTTTAACGAGCTTATCTTGTCTTACTACTATCCCTTAAACAGCTCCGGTGTTTGTAGTCCAGATAAAACTGTTCCGCTGCTGTTGGGCTAATCCTTAAGATTTCTAAATGCAGTCGCGCCTTTCACGAAAATCTTATAGTCGCCTGCTAATGCATATGCTCTTAGGAACGTCATGTGGTACCCGGGCCGCTCCTCAGCTGTTCTGGGGGCGGTGATGTGTTGAGCGTACAGCTAAAGGGTACTAGTGCTAGTCTGGTAAGTGAAGCTATAAGTGTAGGTATTACTATTATATGTCTGCTTGGCCTTATAGTAGTTTTATAAGGCGTGTATAATGTAAGCACTATATACTCTATTACAGTAGGCTTGCTACGAGGCTATAAAAGTATTACTATTAGGCCCCTTAACTTCTAGGAAGAAGTTAGGCTCTACTAGGATACTAGGGTAGTTATTAGGGATACCTATTAATAAAGCAGCTTAATTAGTCCTAACCTTTCAACTAAGATCTCCTAGGTAAGCTCTATTAAAGAAGGCCAGCTGCGGTTTTATTATATCCTGGATTGTTATAGGCTTAAGCTTAGTAAACCGGACGTTATACTAGTTGTGGATAGTAGAGTTGCCAGAAATTACAGGAATAACAGGTCTCGTGACGTCTTTCTCAAAAGCTGCTTATGTATTCTTTTGTTTAAAATCTCGGAAAGCCGACAGAGAAAATTGAGATGGTGAAAGCGATACTCTTTCAATCGTCAGCTCTTCATGCATTTGAGCCAGGTTTTTAGGTTTAGGAGCATCATTGTCATAATCGTGGTCTGCACGATATATATTGTAATCGGTGAGATGTTGTTGAAACTCCTTGCCGTAGGCAGACAACTTCTTCGTTCTTGTGGCGACGCTCATTGCATTTGTTAACAGTGTCTGTTGACTTCGAGACGGTAAAGAGCGACTTGAGCTTATATCGTTCGCAGTACTGCAGTGTTCGGTATACTAAACACATCAATTAGTATATAATTACTATATTGAGATTGGGGCCGTACTCCTCGAAGTTGACAAAGGTCGGGGCCACCGTGCCTCGCAAATCGATCAAGGTTTTTTGAGTACAAGTCAGGTACTGCGAATTTCGTCGAAGATCGTCGCTTATTCCGATAGTCAAGCTCTCTTAGGGCACGCGGCGTAAGCCAGACTTTTAACAGATTATCCTAAAATTCCAGCGAGAAGTTGCTCTCTCTACTAAGTTTAATCCTTTTAGCTGAAGGATTACTTTACGAAGGCTCATTTAAAAGCAGGTGCTTTTGATTCTGTGGTCTTGCTATGAGCGGCCTTTCGTTCAGGGTGTTATGCTTCTCCTATCCAATTATCACGCGCTGTACTCAGTTGTAGAAGGTCCATGTTGGCGAAGGTAGGGTTAACCTTTTCAGACTGGTCCACATACCTAGCTTGTATGACTTAAATGCAATACTAGGAAACGTACAGTACTTGTACACATGCGATACGCCAGGCAAGATACTATCCGCAGCTTGCACGTAGGCATGTGAATGCATTCCGCTTCGTTGCCGTGCAGGTTTCGCGAAAAAGGATGCCAGTGACATCTTACCCGACGACTCTCAAGCTGGCTTAATTCCCACAGATGTTGCGATGAAGTAACAGCGCGTGGACACGCGTCTCCGAGTTATCATCCCAACCCAGCCTTGCCTGCCCTCGCCCTTCTCACTCTCTCATCTCCGTGTCGACGACGTTTGCCATGGCGGCACCGTCACTTCATCTTGAAGGTATGAATAGTCCTCAATAAATCTACACGAGGTCAACTCACATGAGCCTTCGTACAGGATACTATGGTCAACAAAAGATACCGCGTCGGCTATAAAGTCGGGGAAGGAGGCTTCGGCCTTGTGTATGCTGGTACGATCTTATCACTTACCATTTCAGAGTGAAGGCTCATATAGTTGTATTAGGAACCGACGTTGAGACAAAGCAAGAGGTTGCGATGAAACTCGCACATATACGAGACGGTCCCGAGGCACTCGAATATAAAGCCGATGTACGCTGCCCTATCTGGCGAAACTGGAATACCGCGCTTCCTGTGGTTTAGTCAAGAAGGCGATTCGAACTGCTGGGGCCATCACTCCAGGATCTGTTCAACTACTGCAGTCAGAAATTTTCGCTTAAAACGGTCCTTCTCATAGCCGACCAAGCTATTCGTCGAGTCAAACAAATCCACGAGCATAGTTACCTACACTGTGATATCAAGCCAGACAATTTCCTTCTGGGAATTGGTCATAACGGTAACGTACTTTATACCATTGACTTTGGCCTGGTGAGATATTTGGATGTAACTGATGGGTCAGGAACTCGGGACAACCGCCCTCCTGGAGGCACCACACGATATGCCAGTCTCAACAATCATAATGGACCTAGTGAGTTGGTATTTGCAAAAATGGTCCTCAAAAATCTAACAGAAGACAGAACAATTGGACCAACGTGCAGAAAATATAATATAGCGCAACAGTCCATACAAGCCGCCTGCCCAGATGTCTGTTCCGACATTTACCAGATGGATTGACTTGTTGCTCGGTGGAGGACAAGTGGCACAGCCATAAAAGTGAACCGGTTTTCCATTGACATCTATTCCACATTCACGTTGGCAGCTCGGCTGGTCGCTTCCTCCGTCAACGCGGCATTCTCATATGGTGGGGTGGACATGATTGCTGTTGCGGCTGGTGAGGCAGAGAAGCGGCGCAAGAACATGCCCAAGGCGGTCAAGCGTGTCTTTTGGCGCATCCTCTTTTTCTACGTCTTGGGCTCTCTTGCAATTGGTGTTTGCGCTGCCTCCAACGATCCAGATGTCCTCCATGGCACCGGTAGCGCTGCGTCACCGTGGGTCATTGCGATCAAGCGTGCCGGGATCGAGGTTCTCCCATCCATCATCAATGCCGTTGTACTGACCTCGGCCTCTTCCGCCGCCAACGCCTGGTTGTGAGAAATTTCGCTGGGGCCAAAGTGGGAGCTTGGTTGCCAGAGAGGTTTTGTGGCGAGAGGTGGCTGCACGTGACACGCGATAGTTGGTGCACGCGATCAATAGTTTACTGACGGCGCCGGGTTCGGATCTTTTCCTTGGCCCTCCTGGGGAAGTCTTTTTGAGGGGTCAATCGGACCAGACCCCAGACCCCAGACCCTCCATCCTCAGGGGTTCCACGACACATGCAGGAATCTGACTGCAATGCAATGCCTTCCGCGACCTCGTCGTCGTCGTCATCATTGGCATTACGCGCATCCTTCATCTTCGCCGACAACCGCACGTTTTTGCAAGTGACGTGCGAGACGATATCGTGATCAAACATGCCTGCCGACCAGACTTGTGGCCGTGTCGCACGCTCCCGCAATGGCTGCGTGACGTGTCGCGCGAGACGTGTAGGTCTCCCGCATTTCATCAACTCTGGAAATCCCAAAGGTCAGGGAAACAATCATCTAAAACCCATGTCACAGATCAAATGCGACGAAACGAGACCGTCGTGCCGACAATGTGCTACCCGTGGTCAAGATTGTGGTGGATATCGCTTACATGTCCGATGGTCCACCAAGCACGAGAGTCGTCCAGTTCATCGGGCGAAACACCAGTCCTCGCCTACATGGCTTTACACAGCTCGAAAATCACAGCCTGCCCAGTCCCGACAGCTTCCTGCAGAGCCTGATGCTACCCCCGAGTATCCCGCTCTGTCAGAGTCGGAATCGCAACTCACATCAACAACCGCATGCAGCAGCAGCTCCGCCGACGCTCCTTTTGACTGCCCAAGAGACGAGACAAGGTCTGTCTTGGATCTGGGACTGCTCGGACTTGTGAGTCGTTTAGCGTGGGATCCGTTCAACACCGGCAGCAGCAGCAGCAATGGCGCTATCGAGGGAGACTGGGCACACGCCGGACCTACAGGGTTTTCCGGATGGGATAGCGATGAGCCAGCCCCCAACAACGAGGACACGGCTCTTTGCGACACAGAAATCACTTGGAGTACGGTTTCACAAGAATCAACAGCTTTTTCGGATGACTCGGGCTGTTTCGACACTGACCAAGACGCAAGGCAGTCATTGGTTCCAATCTCCACCGTCGCCCACGGGCCATCCATGATGGTTGAATACTGGTTTCGCGATATTTGCCCCCTTTGGTCCCAGTACGATTCCGAATCCAATTTCAATCGCACTATTGCTGCCGCCCTTTGGTCCAACTGCGAAGCCGTACAGCTCAGCCTTCAGGCCATGTCTACAGCCTACTTGGCTTCCAAGGTCCCAACCATGAAGGACATGTCTTTCTCAATGATGAAGGCTGCTGCCGAGGTGATCACCGCGGATCTACATACTATAAACTCACATCAGCTATTCGATACCGTCCCTGTAGGATTGCTCTACTCATTACTCTGCATCGGAACAAGTATCTGCTGGCTCAACGCCGGCCAATTGGGATTGCCATTCTTGAGCGAGGCTAAAGCCTTGCTATACAATATCAATCAGCACTCAGATTCACTACCTGCCGACCAGCGCCAACTCTTGCAATTCTTCAACAAAAGCTGGCTCTATGTCGAAATGCTCCTATCCATGGTCCTCTCAAACTGCAAGAGCCTACAAGCTGTCGAGGGCATTGGCGAGGCGGATGTACGGACATGCATAGGCCCAGACTTGCCTCTTGTACCCGTCGATGATTGCCCGCACCCCTGGACTGGCATATGCAGTACGAGTCTCCGACTTTTCACGCGCACCATGAAATTGTGTCACAGATTTCGCCATGCCGCTCGTACTCGGGCTACGTTCGCTTCTGCGCATGTCACCTCGGCCATGAGGTTGATGGAACAAGCTACATCGGTTGAGGAGCAATTACTTGCCCTGGATCTTAGTCATCTCGAGGCAGGAGGGAAGACGGACGACAGCAAAACACCCAACCAACATCTTGTTAGGGTGGGCGAGGCTTACCGCCAAGCGGGCCTGCTACAGCTGTACCAGACCTTCCCGGATCTTCTTGTCGCACGTTATAGCCCCCAGACGACTGCGGAAAACAACGCCCACTTCCCATGGCATACGTGGATTACACCCATAGCTCTACAGCTCGTCACTCTCCTGAAGGGTCTTCCAGGATACTCTGGAAGTAAAATGACACAACCTCTGCTCTGCATTACTGCCAGTAGTGGGTTGAGGTTACAGCGCCCACTCACCCAAGGGTTACGTCAGTCGCAAACGGCAGACGCCTCAGACAAACACATTGAGCATCATGACATGCTTCAATATATCGAAATCGCTCGCGAAAACAGTGAGCGGGAGCATGGCGAACAGGTCCAGGATGACGCAGAATCAACTGTACTCAGTGCACGACAATTCATTCGAGATCGTTTGAAGCTGCTTAAAACTGTTCTTCCTTCAAAGCCAGTCTCAGTAGCTGAAGAACTTGTCGAAGCTATTTGGAGGGCCTACGATGGCGAGCACTCGTTGGAATATGTCACTCATTGGATTGATATCATGGAACGAGAAAATTTGAAATCCAACTTTGCTTAAGTTATCCTAGTATTGCATAACGTTGAGAGATGAGCCGAAACGTTGAACATGACCTCGTTTCTTGTGCTTGTGGGAAGATGCCGTGAAATAGGCAGACGGGAATTCTCATGGGGCCACCACTAATCCATGTTTGCATAGAGCCAGGCGTCAAGCTACATTCAACCAAGCCACCATGCCCATTCATGCGACAGTTTCGCTGGGCTCATGCGCAGAGCCAAGGTCGTACATGTGCCAAGTTTTTACAGCTTCGGTGGCTTGCAGCAGGACTGGCTGCCCATGGCTATTAGTTTGCTCGCCTTGTCCGTCGTGTCGAAACCTGTCCTCTTTGCGGCAATCTCACTCGGTGTAATCGAGTACGACGGCGGCACGTCCATTACCGGGTTGCTGGTGAAGAAGTTTCGGGGCCTCAAGAGAAGCGTAATGCCCTCAGCCGGCATGATGGGGAAATCCTCGGGGGAGGGGAAGTGTGTGATGCCAAAAGTGTGCCATAGAACAATGTCTGTGTTGGCCACGTTTTGTGTTCCATTGCCTACCCAAGTGCCCAGTCCCCTGGAAGGGATACCAGATGACTGGACAACGTGGTCTCCGGCTGCCCAAAGCTCATCATCAGAGTCTAAGTAAGGTGCAAGTCAGTATCCATAGTCGAACTATATTCTCGACAAGGTTGATTCGGCATTACTGCTTACATTTTGTGACATGGATAGCATGACGGGCGAAAAACGCTCGGTTCCACACAAGTGAGCCTTCCTTTGGCATCAGATTGGGTACATCCCTGCTAACGAGCTTGTAAGAGACTGGTTTGCCGCTGGCGCTGTTGATCTTGTTCTCATTCACGATATCCCAGGTTCGCGACGTGCTGCCATTGTAGTCGGTCATGGCTTGGCCGGTTGTTTCGAGCCTGGTACGCTTCGCAACGAAGCCGTTGCCGTATGGATTTTCTGCACTTCCAACTGGTGCATCGATTGGGACGGCATCGACCATGTGAACCGTGTTCTGCTGGCCATCGACGCTGGGGTTAATTCGCAAGAGAAAGATGTGCTGATGATTATGCGCATTGACGCCTGTTCTCTTGATCAGCATAGCGTCCTATATCATTTCGTTACATCAGGAGAACTGACCCTTCTTCACTTGCGTACCAAAACCTTCTAGGTCTTCACCAGGGTTCATGACAAATGTATTGAGGATTCCGGTGAGCTTGATATTGGGTTGAATTGTGCCGTCCTGATGGAACACCCACTGTGGCTATATTAGTTCCACATTCCCGCGAATGCCTTTGCTAGCGTAACCCACCTGGACCGCATACTCGTAATTAGCAGCAGTAAAGATGTGTTGAACAATTAGTTTCCTGGCACGAGTCACGATTGTCGAGTTGTCGCGGAAGTCGGTGTGCTTGAACAGCAATTCGTCGTCATTTTCGTGAACGCAAATCGCCCTCTTGACCTTCCGGACCTCACCAGACTGTGTAGGTAGATCGACATCTAGGTAGTGGATAGCTCCCTTACAGTCGCATCCAAGTGAGAGACTGTTCGTCAAATAACCCGCACCATACTCGCCGAGATCAAAGGCATGCTTGCGGTGGTGCGGAGGCTCAGGATGACCACTGTGGATGATGAATTAGCAGCTATCACTCTTATATTCTGTCCACTGGAGACGGGGTTTGTTCTTACTATGGTACAACCATCTCGGCGATCGACATGCGATAAAAGACTGGTCGAACGTTGCCCTTGTCGTTGTATGTGATGTTGTTGAATACAATACCCTCTCGGTAGTTGAAGCCAATGTGGAATTTCCAGTTCTGCCACTCGATCTCGCGACCTGTTCCTGTCATGTTGAAAGAGACGCCCTCGGGTTGCGTAATGTATATTGGCTTCAGATCCGTCCTATAGCCTCCATTCTTTTGGATATGTAGATGGTGGTAGTCGATGGCCGGGTGTCGCTGAAGCGGGCGTCGCACCTTTGGAATATCGATGGCGACAATTTCCTTCTTGCTGGCATCGTAGATGGGATTGAAGTCCAGGGGATACTGGTACTGACAGTTGTCGACTTGGGGTCGGAAGTACATCAAACCCTGGATCATCCTGGTGCCGGTACCGAATCGAGGGTCATGAGTGATGGTCCACGGCTCGGCGTAGACCTTTTCCATCTCGTGCTCAGCAATACCGCTGATGCGACATTGTTCGATGACCATTGGGTCTCTGCGGCAGGCTGCTTCCACCTCGAGAAGTTCTTCGACGATAAGCTACATCGAGGACCGGTTATTGTTCCACTCGGCACAACAAGGACAGGAAGTTAATCTTACAATGGGTTGTTGGCCACTGGCCTTGATCCACTTGGTGATGTTGCGGCTCTGCAAATCCACCAAGCCATCATAAACTTGGCCATGCCCTTTGAGATTTCGCGGGTCAATTACAACAATCTCGGCAACACGTCGCGGTCGCGGAGCCTTTGCCGGGTCAGCAAGCCATGCGAGCATTTCAGCCTTTCGTGGCTCGTGAAGTGAGACGACATGGAAATGAAGCTCATCTCCATGCGCTTTGCGGACGATAGCAGTCGCAGCCTGGATTTCCTCGCCACTGAGAGGGTCGAAAGGGTGGGGGAGGTGAGATGCCATGGTGTATCTTGCTCTCCGATCGAATATGGCTCTTCGGTTGAGTCTTGCCCAGTGCTGAGAGAGAAATAAGAAGCAGGAATTTAAGAGCGTCTCGATGCATGAAATAGTCCTCGGAACTTGCCACTTGCGGCAAGCCCTACTCGCCAACTGCCTTCCCCTCCACAGTCGATGATGCCAAACTCGAGCACGGCCATGTTCAATGATCAGCCGTGCCTTCTAGTCGAGCATCTGGGGTGCTGTTTGCAACGCCTCTCTGCGATTGGCAGGTTTAGGCTAACTGGACTCGGTGGAGCTGCCAAGTAAATTGCTCGGCGGGCTTACTCTTTTTGCTAGGAGCGCTTACGCCCTGCCTAGTAATTACCTAGTTATTATATAAGTAATATATTGTAATATATTTATATGTATTTTAAGATAAGTAAATATATTTATATATCTTTTAAAATAAATTAATATATTTATTATAAATTGTTTAAATTTTTAGGTATTAAGGTGTAAGCGTACCTAGCAAAAAGAGAAAGCACACCGAGCAATTCACGCTGCGAACGCTGCACTTTCCATTTACAGCAAGTTTACGCTAGTGTCTGGTGGGGCAGAGCGGGAAGGTCCCACCTTCCAGTGATTGGAGAAAGCTTGGGCCCAGAGCAGTTTAACGCAAAGCCTCCCAAGTGCCATCACCTGACAACACGAAACAGCAGCAGATTGGGGCGAAATGGAAAGTACGCAAGGCAAGAGGATCTGTTTTGCTGAGTCAACGCCCCTATTGGTTCCGAGGCCCACAATGAATTCAATTGTCAAGGTGTATGGCAATGTACGGCGAGGAGTATCATGTCGACGATGGGCTCGCGAATGTCTACACTCTACAGACACAGCGTAGGGACGTATCATTAACATCCAGAATGGGTAAGCGATGGGCACACTTCTATTCGGAACCAATTAGATCACCATCGAGCTCTAGAAATTTGCTTTGCCTGTGAAACGCTCATTCTGAACGAGTTCCACCCAATAGTTGTCCGGGTCAAGAAGGAAGGCTACGTTCTTCATTTTCCCGTCGGTGAGCCGCTTCTTCCACGCAACCCCGAGACTCTCCAGTCTCTCGCATGCTGCATTGATGTCGTCGACGGTAACACCTGTAACCACTTGTTATTAGATATTCGAGGTCATGGTTGCCAGATTGCCTTACATATGTGACCAAATCCTTGCGGGTGCTCGTTTCCATTGTGGTACCGAAACCCGTCCTTCTTCTCAGTGCCATGATGCCATAGCAGACCAAGCATTCCTTCTCGTGCTGAGACGTCTTGGCCGTCCTTGAATGGACCCTCGGAGGGGTAGCCGAGCAAATACAATGTCGATCCCTCCACGCTGTTGTTGATACTGTTGACAAGGCTCATGCCCAACGTTTCAACGTAGTAACGAATAGATACTTCCGCATCCTTGACTCGGAGCACAATCTGATTCTTTGAAGGATTAGCGCGCCTAGTCTTGAATATAAGAAAAGGAGCATCGGTGCGACGCTTCTCTTACTGTGCGATGGCTCCAATAGCTCTCTGTACCCGGGGACAGTCGTGGCACATGTTGTTCGATGAGCTGGACCCAATAACCATCGGGATCCAAAGCAATCACCGACGTTGTGTTGCTGCTACAAGGGTCCTGCCGGAAACTATAGCCCGCATCCCTCAACACTTTGGAGGCGGCTTGCACATCATTGACCGAGATTGTGAAGCGTGCAAAGCCGAGATACGGCTCAGAATTCCCGTTGCTAACAGTGAAGCCGGGTTCATCTTCAGTGCCGTAGTTGTGGGTTAGTTCGATGAGGCCCTGACGGTCAAATGTAAATTTCCCATGCGAGGGGGCCGTCGGAGCATCGTTGCCAAGGAAATAGAGATCGAAGCTGTTCTCCGGGAACGAAAGCTTCTGAATGACACTGAGGCCCAACAGCCCGTAGAACCGAACTAGGTGTTCTTCGTCAGTAATTTCGACATGTTGCATCCCAGAAAGCGGTCTTACTTGTTGCCTTTGGATCTTTGACCCGAATCCTGAATATAAACACATCAGGTTAGACATGAGGAGTTTTGCCTTGTAGAGACGTGAGAGACTTGCATTCCGTGATTAAGCTTGTACGACTGAAGATCTGTCTTTGGACTCATGGTTGCTTGTTGTGCTTGTGTTGGAAATGGTCGACAATGGTTCGATGCTGGAGTCAAACTTGTGCCTCTTCTGCCTTGAAAACAGTCCAATTCCGTTTTAGAACGGTTGTTGCCTTAATTTTTAGAAAGGCAACACCTTTGAACCCTTTGCCAGAGCAAGCTTGCGCCCCAACTGTGGCTTGGGCCCAAGTCGGAAGCCACGCCTGGCGCTTCAATGTTGTTCTGAGGCTGCGCTCTGCCCCATGCCCCACTGTATTGGCTAAACCTGCCGCCTTCGTGCGGCCACCAACTACTGCTTGGGCAACATTTGAAGTTACATCGTCGAGCAATTGTCAGCTTGAGGTACGTTGAGCAGCGCCCAGCGCCATCTTTGCAGCACAGGATACTTTCTTGCCTATATAATAGCTTGACCACATCATTCACGTCATCTTTTGCGATATACTGCAAGATACACAAAATATCTACCATGATGTATTGAAACAAAGCCATCTTTGAAAGAAAAACCATGTCTCATGCCATCAAAGGAAAGACCGCCATCGTCACCGGCGCTGGCAGCGGCATCAATCTTGCCTTTGCTCAGCAGCTCCTGGAAGGCGGATGCAATGTTCTCATCGCTGATCTCTCGTTACGACTCGAGGCACAGCGATTGGTAGACGCACACACGAGCCCAGCGGAGGGCAGGGCTCGCGCCGTCTACCAACACACGGACGTCACAAACTGGAAGCACCTCGAGCGCATGTTTGCGGAAGCTGAAGCCCAATTCGGTGAGATTGACATTGTTTGCCCGGGTGCCGGTGTCTATGAACCGGTAAGTGCACTCTTCAAGCCTCTCCCGGATAAGTGCTTCTGTGCTAAATGTTGTTGTTTGAATAATTCAGAGTTTTAGCAGCTTTTGGTATCCCCCTGGAACTCCAAAAAGCCGCGACAGCGTCGAGGGTGGCCGCTACGCAAGTGTTGACATTAATCTTGTTCATCCAATTCGGACCACTCAGTTGGCTCTCGCTCGTTTCCTCAAATACAAACGCAAGCCGCGAACTGTTGTCATCATCTCGAGCACCAATGCTCAAGATACTTGCCTTTCCACGGCTATTTACGATGCCACCAAGCATGCGACAAGTGGTTTTGTCCGAGCCATGTCAAAGATTGACCAGGTCCATGTCCGAATTGCGGCAGTTGCGCCTGGTATCATCAAGACACCTCTGTTTATGGAAAACCCAGATAAGCCGGCCATGCTGGACGGAGACAAGGACATCTTGGTTGAGCCTTCCGAGGTTGCCACAGTCATGGTGTGCTTGATTGAGAGAGACACTATATGCTCCAAGATTGACGAGGCAAGGACAGGCGCGCAGGATATCCCGATTGGTAGCGGCACTATTTTGGAGGTGACCAAGAATCGGGTGCGGGCCGTCCATGCGTATCATGATCCTGGGCCGTCTGGACCTGGTGCGGTTGGGTCCAACTTTGAAGCCTCGGAGGCTACGACTTTGGCTTTGCTGTGTCCAGGTTGGGGTGAGCCCACGATCCAAAAAGAGGAGTTGACATAGGCCCTGGGTTCGACATGAATATTTTGTATTGATAACAGATCAGAAACGTTGTATTTCCCAACTTCAATAAGATAGTCTAGTCCGCTTTCTAAATCATCTTTGCATTGCACTTGCTGGTTAATAACATTGCTAGAATAGCTTGCTTCTGTCCCCTAATTAATTCCGGATTTACCTTGCAAAATTGTCCTTCGCAGGATAGCCATTGATTTAGCTTAAACCTCCTTCCTCATGTCTTTCTTATAATCCTTCTTCCCGTTTTTTGTGCGCCATCTCCTTAGCTAGGAGGTAACTCACTCACTTGGCGCAGCGACGCCAATCGATGGTGGATGACTGATCTCACGCAACTCCGTCGCATTGATACATAGTAGTGAAACCGGGCTAGAAGTGAGAGACGTGCCGGGTGTAGCACGTCTGAACTTGAAAATACCGCCAGAGAGGCGGCTAAATGGTATCATAACGCCAATTCATTGGACAACTGACCTCGGCCCTCGTGTTGGAAGCTGGAGCTGCAGACCATCATCGCTATTGCCCGAACCCACCGCGCTAGCTTCGCGCTCTTCACACGCCATTCTGGCGTCCACTATTATCAATTGATTGCACGAGAAATTGGATGGATTGTCAACCCACCAACCAACCGGAAGCTATTGGCCAATATAACATTGTAGGCATCTGTAGCCTGCAGCTTCTTCTAATTAATCTAACCGTTTTAGGCATCTGCAGCCTGTGCGCCATCAGCCCCGCAAGTTATCTTGAAGTATGCACGATCATCTCCACCCGTTGTGCGGAGGCAAGGTGACCGACCCTATTGGCTAGATACAGGCCCAGGCCTTTATTCTGCGATTCCTGCCAGGCTGAAGCCGACATCTATAACGGACTGACCAGCTGGCAGCCCGTTGAATCCACTACATGGCTTGGCGTATGTAATGACTTCCCAGCTTCCAAGACGATTTGCCCTCTTTGATTCTCCATCGTTATTCTTTGCATAGCTAACAGTTCTAACTCTTACTCCAGATGGCAGGCAAAAGTATACCCTACCTAGCGTCGAAAGGCAAGAGCGGTTACTGCATTCGCAATGCACTGCTCATGCCAGGGTTGCAGTCCAATGGCGGTTGTTTGCATCACAGCATCTGGAACAACAATAAAAACGGACTTCACCAAAGCTGGCAACAGAAAACGGCAAAGCTGGCAGCAAGGTGTATAACCAGCGACGCAAGGACACAGCTCGAAATAAAGGGGGAGCCAAGCCCATCGACTGACGCTGTTACAAATTGGCCAACCATGAGACAATGGATCACAGCCTTTGGTAGGACCTAAAGCGAACTCTTATTCTTCTTGCTGCACTGCACAGTAGTGCTAACTATAAATGTATCCTTAGTATGCGTCTCTTCCTTGGGAGCTTCTGCTTACTACGCAACTCGCAATGCCGAAGACCCTGCAACATCGTCGACCTTACCGCTCTCGAATGTTGCTGAGATCCAGCACGACCATAGTCCAAGGAACTTGCGCGATGCCCTGGGCGAATTCACAAACATCATTGGCAAGGAGCACGTCAGCACCTCCGACAAGGACATTGAAAATCACGCCACATCTAGTTGGTCCTCGCATCCTGCGAAATCCACCGAGCGATCTTTTTGTGTACTATGGCCTGGAAGTACAGATGAAGTGTCGCAAATCATGAAAGTGTGCCATAAACGTCATATACCCGTTATTGGATATAGTGGCGGAACCAGCCTTGAGGGCCACTTTACACCTACACGTCACGGAGTTTCTATCGACTTTGGTCGTATGAATAAAATTTTATCCTTTCACAAAGAGGATCTTGACGTTGTTGTGCAGCCTGCTATAGCGTGGGAGGCACTAAACGATCATCTTGATCAAGAAGGTCTCTTTTTTCCACCAGACCCGGGACCAGGCGCCATGATTGGCGGTATGGTTGGTACTGGATGTAGTGGCACGAATGCCTACCGATATGGCACTATACGAGAGTGGGTTTTAAGCCTTACTGTTGTTTTAGCTGACGGTACCGTCATTAAGACCAGACAGCGGCCCAGAAAGAGTTCAGCTGGATACGATCTCACAAAACTCTTTATTGGTTCAGAAGGTACGCTTGGCCTTGTGACGGAGGCTACTCTGAAAATTACCACGAAACCAGAATCGACCAGCGTCGCTGTGGCTGCCTTTCCCTCTATTCGAAATGCTGCCGACTGTGTGACAAAGGTGGTAGGGAAAGGCGTCCCGGTGGCTGCTGTCGAGTTGCTCGATGATAACCAGATCAAATGCATTAACGAGGCCGGTCTGACCTCTCGAGCATGGCCGGAAGCTACCACGATTTTCTTCAAGTTTGCGGGAACCAAGGCGGGGGTCAAAGAGCAGATTGCGCAGGTCCAAGCCTTGGCCCAGGGTGCATACAGCACCTCCTTTGAATTTGCTAAGAACCAAGAGGAGCAGGATGAGTTATGGAGTGCTCGTAAGGAGGCTCTTTGGAGTGTGTTAGCCGTCAAGAAACCAGACGATCGCGTGTGGACTGGCGATGTTGCTGTACCTATGAGTAGACTGCCTGACTTGATTGAAGCTACCAAGGAAGACTTGACCAAGAGTGGATTATTTGCTTCTATTGTTGGTCATGTTGGAGATGGCAATTTTCATGGTGAGCTGACCAAATGCATCTACCTAAAGGGCCAATGCTAATCAATCCTAGCAATGATACTGTACAATGATCAACAACGAACACAGGCTGAAGCTGTGGTACATCGAATGGTCAAGCGGGCAATCGATATGGAGGGCACTGTAAGCGTAAGTTGATCCCGATGTCCTGTATAGGCGTAAAAATTGACACCTTGTAGGGCGAGCATGGGGTTGGTCTGGTGAAAAGAGATTACCTCTCTCATGAACTTGGTCAAACTACGGTGGACGCAATGCGACAAATCAAAAGGGCCTTTGACCCACTATGCTTGTTGAATTGCGACAAGGTGGTTCGCATGCAAGACATTGGAGAAGGGAGCACCCAGAAATGGTGATGAGAGACTTTGATCAGAGTGCCTGGGCGGCGCCGACTATCATAGCTGGCTTAGGCAGGAATACACAGACCCCAGAGAGCAGGCACGAGGCTCCAATCTCCCGACAGGGCCTGTTGTCAGTGGCGCGAAACCCTCGGCTTTTCAACCTTCTTGTTCGTCTTGGCTTCAGATTGCATTCAACAGAACACCTGTCAACAATCCGCAGCGGCAAGTTTTTGACAGCTAGAAAGTCAAGTATAGATGTATAAATCGTAGGTAGTCCAGCTTGAGCTACTACGTAGCCCATTTTGCGGGTAACTTAGCCCCTAATCTATCCATAGTGTCAGACGCACTGCACGATTTCCTCATTCACAGTTACCTGGAAACCATACAGGATACATCCTATCCTAAAAGACGCAGATGTACAGCTCCTTCAGCAAAGTTCAAAGTAAGTAGTTAAACAAGGGCTATTCTATGTTAATTTTGGGCTTTTGATGGTTTATGCGATTTCTTCTTGTTGTGTCCCACAACACCACCCACAAGTATATTGGTTTCTCAGCCTTGTGGCACGTTTCAGCCAGAGGGCCACTCTATGTATCGATCCTTTCCTTAGAAATATAAATGTGTTTGACACTTGACAGACTTTGGGTTTTGCCAAATCTTGTTGTATATAAAAATATATAAGGGGTGCAGGCAAACCCAGGTGTGTGTGCCGAAATTGTGGGACAAGAATGGATCCGCTGCACCAATAGCAAAACTCGATGTCGTCTTGTTCGCTCCATGGCATTATGAGTTCCTAGGGGCGCACCAGTCTCAACGCTAGCGTCTACTTACCACATTGAGTAAGTCTACCCCGGCAAGGATGCCGAGCCTCGTGTTTCTCCACGAGCCCCAAGGCGGCGAATAGTTCATGTTGCCAAGGTTTACCCCACACAGAGGCATTCTGGGGCTGAACTTCACGAGAGGCCAGAGCACCATTGTATGCGAAAGTATTGGGGGGCTCCCATTTTCTCTACAATTCGAATTACCTTTGATCTCGAAAGCTGGCGATAGGGTGCGGCAGTTGTGTTAGCCATCAGCACCTTACTTGTTAGATATGATAAATGCCTTGCCTCCGGCGTTTATACAAGCCTCCAATAACACCTCTTCATCATCTTGCCCTTCTTCAGCGTCCTGCTCTCTCAAAACCCGTGGATTCGACACCAAAGTATTGAACAGTAACGCAACCTCGACATCATGTCAGAACTTTGCAAGACTCCGTCCAAGAGCTCCGCAACCATGGAGGCGGTTGAGACAACTGGACAACTGAACGATGACCGCGCACTTGCGCAGTTGGGATATGCTGCTGAATTACCTAGGAATATGAGCATGCTCAGCATCCTCGGACTCTCTTTCGCCATTATGTCTGTACCTCTTGGCATATCGACAACATGGTATATTTCTCTTACCGACGGGCAGTCAGTAACCGCTCTTTATGGTTGGATCTTGGTATCGTTGGTGTCCCTCTGCACCGCCGCCTCCATGGCCGAGATTTGTGCTGTGTACCCAACAGCTGGAGGCGTATATTACTGGTCTGCTATTCTGTCCACCCGTTCGTGGGCACCTTTGGTCAGTTGGATTGATGGCTGGCTTGGCCTGGTGGGCAACTGGACTGCGGCTTTGAGTATTAACTTTTCGGGCGCGCAAGTTATACTGAGCGCAATCACTTTATGGAACGAGGATTATGTCCCCAACGCGTGGCAGACAGTCCTTACTTTCTGGGCTTTGACATTTGTTTGTGTCCTGCTCAACCTGGCGGGAACCAAGGTTCTGGATAAGTTGAATCAGATTTGTGTCTACTGGACCGTGGCGTCTGTGATTATCGTTATGATCACATTGCTTACTATGGCGGACGAGAAGCGCACCGCCGAATTTGTCTTTGCCCACTATGATGCGTCGGCCGCGGGATGGCCAAACGGCTGGGCCTTCTTCGTGGGCCTGCTGCAAGGTAAGGCCTTTTTTTCCCCTTCCCCCTTCCTACAGCGAAATTGAATATTGTCGTTTCCTGTTGTTGTGCCGAGTTTGTCTACATAATGCTAATCATTTGAATAAATAGGAGCATACACCCTCATTGGGTACGGCATGGTTGCTTCCATGTGCGAGGAAGTTCCGAACCCCGAACGCACTGTGCCCAGGGGCCTCGTCCTTTCTGTGCTTGCTGCAGGGATTACTGGTCTTATCTATATGATCCCTATCCTATTCGTTCTGCCAGACGTCAAGACTCTTTTATCTGTTGCCAATGGCCAACCCATCGGCCTCATCTTCAAGACAGTCACAGGCTCTGCGAGCGGCGGCTTCGGACTCCTTTTCTTACTCCTCGGGATCCTCCTCTTTGCCGGAACAGGGGCCATAACTGCTGCTTCACGCTTCACCTTTGCCTTTGCACGAGACAAGGCCATTCCTGGACATCATATCTGGAGCCGCGTGAATAAACGCCTTGATGTCCCCCTTTGGGCCCTCATCCTCACTGCCATCGTCAACGCCTTGCTGTCTTGTATCTACTTTGGCTCCTCAGCGGCCTTCAATTCGTTCACAGGTGTGTGTACTATCTGCCTCTCGACTTCCTACGGATTACCCGTTCTAGTGAGCGTGATTCGCGGCCGTCGTGATATGGGCAATTCGCCATTTAGTCTAGGGAGATTCGGGTTACTGATTAATCTGATCTGCATCACTTGGATTGGGTTCTCTATTATCATCTTCTGTATGCCAGTGGCCTTGCCTGTGACTGCGTCGACAATGAACTACGCAAGTGTTGTGTTTGCGGGCTTTGCGAGCATCAGCGTGGCATGGTATGTCGCATATGGGCGGAAACATTTCCACGGACCTCCAGCTCTAACTGCGGGTATGTAAGTTTGAGTCTTGGACTCCCTCTCATGTTGTGGTTTTACTTCCCCAAAGTTCGCCTTCAAGGGTCCTTTCTGAGGAGGTCGCATAGACGACCTTGCTCGCACTCAGGCCGAGATATCTGGCTAGTTGAACTTGACTTTACTTTTGAGCTATCATATATGGTACACAGCGGCCGAATTGACAGCCCGCTGCATGATTTAATCCACCAAGTGCTTGGTACCGGCGCAGGTTACTAAACATGGCTTTATGAAGTATGAACAATGATTCTACCTCGATCCTATTCTAAAGATGCCAGTAAAATAGTCCCTTTTAGATTATCAATATTATTTGTGACTGACCCACACAGGGTTCTAACTACAGGATCTTATGATGTTGGCTGTCTCGGTAGCCTAGGTCATTAGTGAAACTCATCTATCGCACAATCATGCTTCTTCGTGGCCTTTGTCTCTTCAAACACCTTTATCACAGGAAGACTCTTGATGCTGGGTTGGGGAATCAAGGGAGATACAGTGGGAAGCTGGCGATTGACTCGGCTTTCCTTGGACTGCTTCTTTATATCCAGTTGGCTGTAAAACCCCCCCCCCCCCTCCGAACTCTCGAGCGACTTGCCTTTTGCAATACTCTGGGAGACGAAGTCTAAGACGACACCACAATGACAAGGGTGTTCTCCTTGCTTCCCTCCTACACACACACACATGTCCAACATGTGTTCCTATATGCATCTTTTGTGTGAGGGAACTCTACATTTGTAAGTAACACACACATGACATGCGGGCTGTTGCCAATGGGTAATCAACGCTTAATGGCTCGTCGGCGTACAACGCGGCGCGGGAAATCAGTCGGCCTAGCACTCCGTATTTCCATTCACATTACGGTTTCTTCAGAATTGGCAAAGGCAACCATCGATATGCAGGGGTCATCTATCTCCGTTATTCACTATTTCCACTACCATTTCGTAACTTTGCCGCAATTTGTTAGGCAGTCCTGGCCATGGGTGGTTCAACACGTCAAAGTCTTGGTCCAGGCTCGATTCGTCCGAATGAGAGCCAGCTTACCCGCGCTCAGGTCTTCTGTCTGTCTCCAGAGACGCATGAAATTCCTCTGGTTTAGCTCCTCCGTTTCAGAGAAGTTTGGGTTGATTATGTCGAGGTCAACATTAATTAATGACTCGCATCTATTGTAGTAGTTTGCCAGCAAATCAAACCATTCATTGTACCACTCGTCCCATCTGTGTTCCATGAATGTCGTGCTCTAGATAGAAAATATATGCTCCATGTCGCAAGTCCAAGGCATTGTGCATCGTCTCAATGTCATGTACTTCAAGGACCATGCACCGTATCTGAGTTACGCATGGAGTCCTTGATATATACGGCAAGGCGTGCTGGCTGCAATTCACAGTATCGATTGCGAAGTTAACCCACGTCGGAATGCTGAGTTCCGCACCCTCGCTCGACAATTCGGAAGAGCTGGGGAGAACCCCGGTAAATATGGATAATGGACTCTCGGCAAACGCTGAAACCAGCCGTTGGCGAAGCCTTGCATACCGCGTATGTAACGATGGACTCGAGCGCCACGAACCACTCTGAGTCGGGATAGCACTCTTAACCACCAAGGCTGTGGCAGCCCTTTTCCGAACTACTATGTGCATCAATACTTATAAGCTGGGTACTGGCGGTATTCGACCAAGTGTTTTTGCTCCACGGCTCAACGATCTCGCCCATAACCGCCGTGACACTTGTATACTCTATATTATTATAATATAACTACTATTTATATATAATTGCAATTTTTAAAATCGTCTTATAGGATTTTCTAAGATCCCTAACGCGCTATTAATATCTACCCTGTCACCGTATCCATCATATATTATTAGCGTTTTGAACAAATGCTAGATGCAATGTCTTCCTCTCACCCGCAGCCTCAGTAAAACAACTCGCGCAGACTGCTTAACGGCAGACAACTCTGCCACCATGATTTACGTTGAACTATTATGCCATATTTTTTCAATCTTACCGGCTGAACGACCTCACTTTTCTTCCGTCGACTAAAGCAACTGGTCCGTGATATCTGTGTCGGCCGACAAGAGCAAAGTGCACCAGTGCCCCGATAAGGGCTGTGGCGAACAAAACCGAGGACCAATTAAAATTTCCTGCAGTGACGGGATAGGACTCTGGCCAAAAGGCCCAGAAGAACGTCCATAAGCTGTAGACGACTGCAGCCGCATTCATCGGAATCCCATATCTGCCCAGAGAAAACCGACCATGTGGGAGGGTCTCGGGGTAGTAGATCCTCCTCCACAAGAAGCAGCCAATGCTCAAGCAATAGCATTGGAGAAAGGCCACCGTCGTGAGTGAGGAAATGGCATAGAAAGCAACAGGACTGCCGAGGTAAATGAGCGCCATTGCCAGCGTGGACATGCTGGTCAGAATCGCGGCATTTCGAGGCACGGGTCTTTTTGGATCAATCTTGGAGATCCAGTCGGAGAAGGGGATTCCCTTGTCGCGAGAAAACGCATAGAGATCGCGACTAGCCGCGGTGAGGAATGAAATGTTCGAACAGACCACAAGGAAATTGACGACGACAAGGACGACAGTGATCCAACCAGTTGACATGGCCTGTCGCAGCACGTAAACGGCCGGGTAAGTTGTGCGGTCGCTGAGAGCAACCCCAATGTCGGGAATATGATATACAATCGTCACAACAAGAGGTAGAATCAACACAAAGCCGCATAGGAAGACTGCCAACATTGCCTTGGGAACTGACGAGGCCGCATTTCGAACTTCCTCGGACATGTGCACCGCCTTGTTGATAGTTAATAAGCCGATTCCACACAATTTGCCGGAGATACAATCCATTGGGAGTCTTGAGACATACCACATCAACGCCAACTTCGAAATTCGCACCAGTCATCTGGCCGATCAAGACAGCAAGTGTCAAACTCGGCCATCCTCCGGCATTCTCAAACTCTGTCCATACCTGCTCCGACGTAGCCCTGGGTGCATTCACCCAAATGGGGATTAAAACAGCAAAATAGGCCAGTACATGCAAGCCAAATGCGATGTTTTGCCAACGCGGTAAAGACCGATGACCCCAGATACTACCGGCAAAGGCTGTTATGACAGCCACAACGATGAAGAGAAACACGTGCCACGGCGGGCTTGTATAGTCCGGGTAATTGACAAGAATGGTGGTCTGGATCAAAGTTCCCGTTAAAAGAACGCCAAGTGCTTGACCGGCTTGCATCGCCAGAGTTGATGTCCATCTACCGATCCCAGTTAGACTTTAGTCACCCTCCAACTGTTCTGTCGGGACATCAGAGTCACATCACGTACCCGCTCACATAACTGAGGATTCTTTGCATGCTCTCCGGTGCAAACTCGCTGACCCAATGATACTGTGCGCCAGCAATGGGGGCCATGCTAGTCATTTCAGCCATGCTCAGGTAAATAGGGATGAAGCCGATGAAATTCCAGATGGTCGAGTATATCAAGCCCGGCCTGCCACCATCCAGAAGAGCGGGCGTGATCTGGAACATGCCAAACTCCCAGCCTGCTCCGGCTATCGCAGCGAACGAAGCCACCGAGAAGGTGCGAAAATTTCGGACAAGTTCCTGGCTTCTTCCCATGCGGCGCATGTCGGCAGCGTCGGCGGCCGTGGACTTTGTAAGCCGAAGGTCAGGCTCGGCATCTTCAATTACAGCATCATCGGCTCCATTCTTGTGGTCTCTTGGAGTGCACAAGGTCAAATTGTAATGATAACTGGACTTGTCTCCCAACATGCTGTCGTCCAGTTCAATTGATGTGTCATGAGGACGGTAGACAGACCCTGCCTTGTCAGCCATGATGACGGTAGAGGACAATAAAGGCAAAAGAATATCGCAAAAGTGCGAAAGAAAGTCTGGTAGAAGAAGAATCTCTGACTCGAGAAAATAAGACGAGAAAGAAAGAAAGAGAAACCGAGTGGATGTGATGGCGACTGAAACATCAAGTTGAATAAGGCTTTACATGGGAGCCTACCATGGCCGTCTGCTACCCCGGCACCAACCACCACGTTCGAATGGCCAATCCGGGCGCCAAAAGGTTGGGCGCGACAGAAGAAAAGTTTTGTACACAGTCCAAGCTTGCATAATGTGCCACGAGCCACATTCTAATCTCGCCGCAAATGGCTCTGATCTGATCACACAACATGCATTACCCCATAATGGAGAGACATTCTTGGTTCAAGCTCTTCCCCTCATTGGAGATGACTCCCCACAGAGTAAGCAGCTTGGGATTTTAGTACTTCAATTTGCCCCCAAAAAGCAGGGTCTCTGCTCCAATTGAGGTGTGAGATCGTCACCCTCGACCGTTTTAGGCACGAGCACAGCACCAACCGCCCAAAGCTCTTTGTTGATATGGTTGTCGTGATAAAATGTGTCTTTTGGATACTTTTGCGATCTATCACAGGTAATGCTGAGCTCTTCCTTCTTGATAATTGTTGGTCGCGGCTGTTCTCAACTGCCGAACAATGCCGCACAGGGCAACCGGCGACCATGTTTAGGAGAAGGGCAGATGGCGATGAAGTGCGCTTGTGGAATATCGTGACAAAGACGACTGAAGTGTCGCGAAGGCCATTGTCTTCGTGGCTGTTATGAAAGGGGCTTAAAACGGCTTGAAATGCGCTCATTCTGTGCATATATATCATCTGATGCTTCCTGCTTGTGGTCTCCATGTGTTGAACGTAACTCCTTGTACCAAACAGTTTGGCCTTCTGGTGTGACAATGGCAGAATCGGAAAATCATGGAAACTGGCTTGTCTGTGCAATGACCATTGTATGGGTTTGGTCGACGTTGATTTTCTTCGTTCGTGTTTGGGCAAAAGTCACTGCCAAACGCTGGGGTGCTGAAGACTATACGATATCCGTTGCGTTTGTAAGGTCATCCCGAAGGCACTTTGATTATAGATCCCCTCTCACCTGTTCCGTTATAGTTGGTCTCTACAATGGATATTGTGCCGATAATGTCAGCAATTCATCGAGGATACGGTCTGCCAATGGATCTAATTCCACCCGAGGATCAACTTGTAGTTACACAGGTGCGCAACCATCCTTCAATATAGTCTCTGTCAAAGTGTCATCCAAGCGCTAATACGCACAAAGTCTCTCTACGCCAGTCAGCAGCTCTACATCTTCGCCTTGGGACTTTCCAAGATATCTACGGCACTCTTTGTCATACACTTGGCGTATTCGGGTCCCCAGATTAGACCAGGTTATGTTCTGGTAGGGGTCACCGCGATATGGACAGTAGGCTCTATGCTTGTAGTCGCCTTGAGAGGCCACCGGCGCCATCCGTGGCAAACGCTGGATGGAACGACAACCATGGTGAGCGTGCAAATCTCCTATAGCGCCTATTCTATAGTTCTAACCATCGTCAAAGTATATCCGGTGGATCGTCGTAGAGGCTACCGGTCTCATTATCGAGTTTCTCTTGATCCTGCTGTCCCTGAGCCTCGTTAGCAGCTTGCAACTCAAGGCACAAAAGCGCCTTGTCATCTTGTCTGCTTTCGCTGCTCGCTTATTGTACGCTCCAGCTCTTCTAGTCCGCATGTCGGCCCAGTACTTACGACCAACAGGCTGATTCCTCTCGTTGCTGCGCGGCTCTGGTTACTCTCGCCAGGCGTCAACTCGAATCCGACTGACACGAGCATTGTACCGAGCATAATCACCCAAGCCACACTGCATTTCTCTGTCCTGTCCGCATCCATCACATCGCTTCGCCCCTTTTTGCGAACATTTCATATGGACTACAAATGGGACAGCAAAGTGACGTCAAAGCGCAACTACTCCTCCACGGGGTATACGACAACAGGGCCCTCGGCAAAAAATGTCTATGGAACTTCTTCACAGAGCGGTCAGGCTGATAGACACTGGGCGGACGACTTCACGGATCCGTCTGGCACAGACGCCCATTTCCTAAACAGGCCATCGACAGGAGGCACCGCGAGAAACAACGATGGCATAATAGCGTGGGCACATGTCGACGAGATCCAAATGCGCCCGCCGTTCCCGGCAAAGGCAATGGTCATTCGGAAGACGGTGGATTGGACAGTGGAGTACGAGCCAAATACCAATTTCTGACGCCGCAGGCAACTATGCGAATACATGACGAGATGTGAGCGATCGACAGGCGGGTTGCCGCGAAAGGACCAAAGTTTATTCCTATACGGTATCTGGACGATCTAGACGTAATATTTTGCATGATTTAATGAATTCCACTTGGCATATCTCCGACAACGCGTTTTCACGCAATCTATGTTGACCAGTCTTTTCATCATTGTCCGATATGATCAACTACCAGGCAGCACCACATTAGAGTCCTTGCGCAGAGTCAAATACAACGCTCGCAATTTCCTCTTTGTTCTTGATTGCCATTGCCGACGTTGAATTTGCTTCACAAGTCTTTATCAACAGTATCAGCACGGTCCGGGCTCTCGATTGTTCTGAACTCGAGCCGCTCGGGCTAATGGCGAGCCCAAGCTTCCTCTCAACGATTAGCATATCCAACGAGACTGGATGAAATAGACAAATGCGGCGAACTTCTCCTACGTGTAGAAGCAAGCCCGTCTGCATGTCTGACGAGAGGTAATTAGCCCGCTCAATCGGGGCGAATTGGCGCTGCATCAAATTCTTTTGTGTTGGAAAGCCATGTCTGAGAGACATGGCCTCCGATTGGCACCTTCATGGAGCAGGCTACCAGTCTGGATGATCTTTGCCGCAAAACGGTCAATTGAGTCAGCCCTCTTCATTTGCAAATGCACGTCTGCGACAAGAACGTCGAGCGAGTCCGGCCAACAATGGTGCGGTCAGAATCGTGCTACTCTCGTGCTCGAGAATTGAGGCGCCGTAACAATCGATCAGGATTGCAAAGATGTTTCTGAGGCACTGCCCGTACTTGTAATGGCTTGATCTGTTTTTGATGATTGAGGTGAAATACTTGGACCCATTCTTGGGAAGAATTGAGGTGGTGGGCCGTGTTTGTGCCATTTCGTGATGCGGTGACCCAATGTGTAGCAAAATAGACTGACAGACTAACCACAATAAATAGGTATTTGGGATCTCTTTGTAGTCTGTAGCCAGGCACTTTTTGACAATAAATTGAACGCAGAAAGCGCAAATATTAAGCCATTGTCGCCGCCCAAGCAAACTGTTCTGAAAGCAGGCCCTCGTATAGGGTAGGTGCCGAGTTGCGTTGGGTCAACGGATAGAAACAGATCGACGGGTCACGGAACCATGGAAGACTGTGAACGTTTGAGGCAGACCTGAAGCCCTACACAAGCACAAAGTCACATTGACTTGTACCCTGCAACGGCGACAATGTAGAATAACCCTCTCACCTGCTACTTTACTCAACAAATAGATGCAAATTATCTCAGACGAATGCACCAGACTCTTCTCATGGACAACATTCAAGTGGGTCCGAAAGCCGCACAAATCCACCACATTTTCCCACGACCGGAGGAGTAGAGTCTCTAGACTTCTACCAACCCTTTCTCCCGAATTGCCATCGCCCTCGCAATGACACAATCGAAATCAGCAAAGCGAAAGAGAAAGGCACAGGCCCAATTACCCAAGAAACATGTCAAAACCACGACCATCGTGACACCGCCCCCCGATAGTGATGCCACGCAGTTTGAACCAAAAAACTTGCAGACGGTCATTTCGGACGAAGAGCTCGACATCACCATTGAGACGTTGACAACCCTAGCGCAATATCCAGGCCTTACAAAGTCGAAGCTGTGCAAAAATCTACGAACCGCCGTCTACGATTTCCGGCAGTCATGTACCACGGGCGTGAACTCGGCCGAGGGCGCAAACCTCACCGGTCGCGTCACAGCAGCGCTTGCCGACGAGAAGTACCTCGAGGCCAAGATCTTGCTGGCTGAAATGCGACTGCGAGGCGAAGAACCGAAACTGGGTGCTCTTTGTCGATGGGTTCGGGATCTGGATGTTGTTACGCAGCCCAAGGGCGCGAGCATCGTCAACCCCAACCGCTCCGACAAAGAGAGGGAGCTTTTGGAAGTTCTGGATGCTGTTATGCGCGTCAGCTGCCCGATTGATACCAACCCAGAGGCGAAACCCCCTTCCCAATCGTCCTCCCACATAGCTTTGCAGCCTACCTGGGACTTGCGCCCATCCACAGAGCCACACCAAGTCTATGCCTCGGTCCTGGACAAGTCAATCCTGTCCTCTGGGCCCGACTCGCCCTCCTCCTCTCTCCGCATCATCGAGACGACGCCCGGACACCTCCGCAAACCGCCGAATCATCATCCAGCCATTTTATACACGACAGAACCAAACACCGTTGACCTGTCTTCGGAGCACTCAGGAATAACATATCATGAGCACCCCAGCGTTCCCCACCTTGGCCTTGCCACTGGTGTCCTTTCGCCCGAGGAATGCAAGGCCATCATTGCCACAGGAGAGAGTGTCGGCTTCCTTCCCGACATACCCGTTCGAGAAGGCGAAGATACCAGCGTACTGGCGCACAACTTCTACTGGGTCGTAGACGCGGCGTTTCACGATAAACTCTGGGCACGCATGGCGCCCTTCGTCCCCGCCTCGCTCAATGGCCGTCGTTCCCGCGGCGTCAACAGACGGTTCCGCGTCTACCGTTACGTTCCTGGGGCCGAGTACCGATGCCACATAGACGGGGCATGGCCGCCTTCCGGTATTCGCCCCGACGACACCTATGTGTACGACGATTCCCCTGCAGAAAAGAAGCAAAGTTCCCTATTCACGTTCCTGCTGTATCTCAATGATGAGTTTGAAGGCGGCGAAACAACATTTTACATACCGGGACAGCGTGAGGGGACGCTCAATGCGTATCCTGTGCGTCCGGTCATGGGAGGCGTTGCAGTGTTCCCCCATGGCGAGACCAAAGGAGCATTATTGCACGAGGGGACAAGCGTGCGCAAGGGAGCCAAGTATATCATCAGAACGGACATTGAGTATGATGTTGAGCCATCCGAGGAATAGGCATGAGAGGAATTGGACATGAATTATGACTTTTGAAAAAGCTACTCTCTTGAGGACACCGATATTCAGGAACTTAGGGCGTATACGATGAACCATGATATTGAGTCTTGCAATTTAGCACTCTGGACTCAAGCACAAAATACTCGAATCGCGTAGGAAATGTGGTTCTATTCTATAGGACTACGGGGACTAGACATTTTTCTACGTCGACCGCACAAAGTTTGTGTACCGCCGCTAATTTCTCTGACGGTCTGCCCTTGGTTGGGCACCCGCCGAGCCTGGTGCATATTTGCCCATGGAAGACGAATAACATGGTCCGAGACTGCATGCTCTAGGAAGGAGACCTTGGAACCAGCCCAGGGCGGAGGCTACAAGCCCGGTATGACTGTTGAAGTGCGACCATGGCTGCGCTGCACGGTATGAGTAGGGACATCATGTACCCCGAGCACAAATTCACTAGAACATATACAAGCGACTATAGAAGTGGTACCGTGACTCTCAATCTGTATTAGTCTGCTTATGACCAAGTCCGAAATACTTGGCAATAGCCCCAACAAGGCAAAACTAGCTACAGCATTTATTCACCAACCAAGCATCGAAAAGCTGGCCGAGCCTCAAATTTCGCTCCTTTGAACTACCTAGCAGCTGGGATCCTGATTTAGGCTCATTTCAGCCAGGCCATCTATTAATAGAGCAGTCGATTTGTGCCTAGTAGCTACAGGATCATGCAAAATAACTCCCTCAGCAGCAGCCTCTCAGAATCAAGCATAACTGCCAATATCCTGCTAGTTGTCAACAAGGACTAGCGCTTATTCTGTCGCGTGCCCATCTCAATCGATATTGTAGGTGCGGTTGATTCCAACAGGCATAAAAGACTTGTATAATTGTTCATGTACATGACGCCTTTCCCATCTTAGCCCAAGGCTGGGGGATCGCCGTCGTTCCGTGAGCCCGAGGGCATGGCGGTTTATGCGACGGCGTCTGGGGAACCGAGCCTCTTTTTGGGCTTTGCAGCCGGGACCAGCGCCGGACAGCGCCTGTCAAATTTGTTTCATAAAAATGGGCTGGTAAATAAGTGAAATGAGACATGGGGCCCTTTTTGGATTGCATTTAGAACACAAGAGTCTATATATATTGTCAACGGAATACGAAGGGGATAATTGCCTCGCAATCAGAGCTTTTTTTGTTGTTCACACCACACACATATAAGTATATCGAGGCAGTTCCAAGAAGATACTACATCTTTCGATAGAATTGCCTAAAGTTAAAGGAGAAGATGTGGCTAAATAGCATTCCCGAACAAAGCTAGCATACATATAGCAGACGGTGAATCAGGGAAATTCACTCGGCTCACACAAATATTGATGCTTTTTGAAAAATCACACACTTGCCACAATGGCCGCGTCTTTATACGCCAAAGAACGTTCCGCTCCTCTTACGCATTATTGCGAAATCCATCATGCGTTGCACGGAGGTCACGTAGCATCGCGACAGGGACCGACGCTCGAATCTGAGGATAGTTAGACAAGGAGTCAGGACCAAGTTGATACGCCGATTCTTATGAAACCGACACGGCTTGTCGATGCTTTCAGGTTTTCAGCACGAGTAGGCTGGCATCTGAAGTTACCATCACGGACGTAGTCATAAAAACTACTATCCCAATTCGAGTAGGGTTGGATTTGGGCCCTTTCGACGGACGTTTGGAGGCCAAAGCGTCTTCTGGTCGTTCATCAGTCGATTCTACTTCCACCAAGCAACGTCGGTAGGCAGTCACCTAGGCTGCATCGCAGAGATTTGTCAGCCAAGTCGTATTAATTCACAAGTCATTCCATCCATCTACCCGTTGTCCAAATCCAAATTCAACTTCAAAAATGTTAGCCCGCCGGTATCATAGCCCAAAACTATCATATCATCATGCAGAGCTACACTTGTAGGCCTGTAATCCTTAGCAAGCCAAAGCAGGTTCCTACCGTTGAGAGTTATCCACTCCCCACAAACACATGGAGCATGATTTGGACGCCCCTTTTCTACTGACCCGAGGAACACCTGTTGGTGCGCTCCTGCAACCTCGTCCCAGAGTCGGATGGTACTGCCATCGTCTGAAGCCGAGGCGGATATCTTGCCGTCGGGCGACAGCGCCATGGGAGCCGAATCACCCTCCTCGATGAGCTGCCACTGCGCTCCAGTGGCCACGTCCCAGAGCCAGGGAATGCCATCGCTCAATCTCAACGCAATTACTTTGCCGTCGGGCGAAAAGGCGATAGCCTTGACCTCACCGCTATACCCATCAAGGGTTTGCTGGTGTGCCCCTGTAGCTACATTCCACAGACGAATAGTACAATCATCTGATGCTGAGGCAGCCACAGAACCATCAGGGGAAAAGGCAATAGCCTTAATATCACTGATGTGGCCCTGGAGTATCTGCTCGCAACTCCCCGTAGTAGCATTCCACAGCCGGACACGGCGGTCGCTAGAAGCTGATGCAAGCATTTTGCTACATGGACAGAAGGCAACTGTATTGACAGAACCATTGTGCCCCTCGAGTATTTGCCGGCACTCTCCCGTAGAGGCGTCCCAGAGCCGAACGGTGCAGTCACCTGAAGCTGAGGCGACCATCGTACCGTCATATGAGAAGTCGATTGCGTTGACGCAATGAGTATGGCCTGTGGGTGTCTGTCTATACGCCAGCGAAGCCATATCCCACAGCCGGACAGTCCCGTCGGCCGATGCGGAGGCGATAATCTTGCCATCAGCTGAGAGCGCAACGCCGTTCACTCGATGATGTCCGTCGAGTGTCTCACGTAACACACCCGTAGTAGCATCCCAGAGCCGGATAGTACAATCGTGTGAAGCCGAGGCGATCAACTTGCCGTCAAGCGAGAAAATAACAGCATTAATCCAGCTACCATGTCCCTTGAGCGTCTGTTTATGCGCTCCCGTGGTAGCATCCCAGAGTCGGACGGTACAGTCCCCGGACGCCGAGGCGACTATGCTATCATCAGGCGAGAACGTGACTGCGTTGATGGAGCGGGTATGCCCTGTGAGCGTTTGTTGGTACGCTCCCGTGGTCACATTCCAGAGCCTGACTGTCCGGTCAACTGAAGCCGAGGCAACCAACTTGCCATCATGCGAGAAGGCAACTGCAGTAACTGAGCGACGATGGCCTTCTAGCGTCTGTTGATGCGCTCCCGTGGCCGCATCCCAGAGCCGAACTGTATGATCTCCCGAAGCCGAAGCAATCGTCTTGCCATCAGGAGAAAAGGTTACGCTGCTAACCCAATATTTATGCCCCTCAAGTGCACACCGGCATGCCCCGGTGGCCGCAACCCACAACCGGATGCTACAGTCGCTTGAAGCCGAGGCAACCATGCTGCTATCAGGTGAAAAGGCGACGGCACAGACATTGCCACAGTGTCCAGAGAGCGACCGCCGGCATGTTCCCGTGGCTGCATCCCAGAGCCGGACGGTGCCGTCGCTGGAAGCCGAGGCGATTGTGTTATCATCGGGTGAAAATGCGACAGCCTTGACCTCGGAGCCATGTCCTTCAAGTATCTGCCTGTGAGCGTCCCAATGGTTTCTGACACCAGCAACTGTCTGGATAAACGGCAGCCTCTCTTGCCAATGCGCCTGTCTGACCAGACTCTTCATGGGACTAAACACGAGCGCAGAGCCAAACGCCTGCAACGGGGCTCGTTCAATGATGGATCCGTAGCTGCTGACAAACTTTTCAGCATCCTCCAAGAACGCTGCAAGCTCGCAACATGACCCTGATTCCTGAACGCCATCAGCAACTAGATGTAGTGATAACAGTCTTGATCATACCTGTGCAGCGTGCAGAAGCCTCCGCACTGACAAAACCCCGTCTGGGAGCCTCCCCATGAGTGACAACGCTTCAAGCCAGTGGAGGAAATGTGCCTTGAGAAATTCCAACACTGACTCTCTGCTACACTCGAGACCCGAGGCGCTCAAAATGTGGTCTACCCAGAAGGTGCACGAGTACCTTATCGGGGCCAGCGGGTCTGGCTCGGGTGGTTTCAAATCGTCTGGCTTCAAGCCGTAGTCGAGGTCGTACATGTTCCGACGAAGCACCACGGACATGGCTTCAATTGAGCGTTGAGCAATGCTCGCATGTCCCGGGACATCTCCAGCAGACTGAAGCCCAGCCTTGAATGATTCCAACACATAATCCTTGGCGGACTGGTGGATGATGAAGACCTTGTCATCTCTCGTCATCAGAAACGAGCCGCATTCCTCCACAATGGTCGGCAGGTCAATCCCAGGTTCGACGCCGGCCACAACACCAAGCTCGGGGAGGGAGAGCGGGCGATAGGCCAGAGACGTGGCGACCAGGACGTTCTCGCAACACTGTCGGTCCATTGTGTCCTTCTCCATCTTGCCCATCATTTGCCCATACAGGTTCGGCAGCCCGGGAAGTGTCCTTTCAAGGACCCGGGTGGCGTTCCACCCGTATTCCGAGTCGAGCATTTTGAAGACGAGGGCGACCCAAAGAAAACTGTCTTCAGCTCGCTCGTGGAGCTGGTCCGAAACCTTGGCCATGACAGCGTCGGTATACCCCTTTCGCGTCCGTAGCTTGGAGAGCTTGCGGGTAATGTATTCGTGAACGGGAGCGTCTAGCCTTTCGGCATCGAGCTCGACGGCGGAACATGCCGTGCCCGGAGCCTTGATCTCGAGCGCCGGATCACTAGTGACGATCCATTTCACCTTGTCGGACAGCGTCAGGGAGGCTGAAATAAGTTGAACAAGGTCACTTTGCCCCTCCTCGCACTCGTCAAGTCCGTCGACGGCGAAGAGGGCTGGTGAGAGACCGGGATCTTGGAGCATATTACGAAACACTTCTGATAGAGCGTAGAAAGCATTTTGGTCTTTGAAGAGATTCGCACCCGACTCGTTGTATCTTTGGCGTAAATGTGAGCCGAGATGTGGCTGTTGAAGGATCAGAAGCCACAACAAGGATCGCAGGACGGCCGTTGCGTTATTCAAGGCCGTGTCCTTGCCTTGACAGAAAAAGTATGAGAGGCTGGGTGCGAGAATGGCAGGCTGGCAGGACAGCTCGCGAATGATGCCAATCATGAGCATAGTCTTGCCCGTACCCACGTGTCCCTTGATCCATAGCAGTCGGCTTGGTGAGGATTCAAGGCTGCCATCGTACCAGTTTGTGAATGCGGTGTATTCCCGGGTTCGAAAGATCCAGTTGTACGCACCGTCGATGAGCCCATCCTTGCTTCTCTCAATCCTCTCCATGTCATGCTGTGGGTCGACGACGCGCAGATCTTTTTGGCAGGCTGCGTCTATGTCATCCCTACGGATGGTTTTCTGCAGAGCAACAAAGTCTTGGAGGGTCTGGTGAATGTCGCCTAGCAAGCCCTGCATGCCTTCCGCCCTCTTGGCAAGCTCTCCCAGAACCTCCTTCTCGCGCAGCTTGTTGTACTGATCCGAATCCATTCGGAGAGATTTTTCGGCGGCTTGAATAGACTTCACGTCGGCGTCCCAGTCATCCAAATTCACGAGGTCGCGAAGAAGACTATAGCCTCGGTTTCGGTAGTAGGAGCAGACGCTTCTCATCTGATATAGAAGGAGAGACTTGTACAGATTGACAACCTTGACCTCTAGTTGTTGTAGGACATTTTTGCACGCGCTATCCGTAATACTCCCATCCTCGATATTGATGCTGTCCTTTTTCAGCAAATGCTCGGTCAAGGCGCAATACCAATCCATTCTGGAAATCACATATGTGATGCCAGATAGATTGGATGCTGTCGCTTTTGCGGGGTTCAAGAGAATCTGGATGGATGCGGTTAATGGACGTCGGGGTTCAAGTAGGCATGCTCACCTGCAATCCAATGCAAACGCCAGCCCACGGAAGAGCAGCCTGCGGTATGTTTTGGATGGCCAGATCTACCATTGCCTTGGCCGAGAGGCAATACTCGGCAATATCACTCACTCCCTGCCTGATCCGCGAGGAAGTGCTAACCCTCGCCAGTCCTTGTCGAACCAAGTCCTTCATGCAGTCCTGCCGCCTGGTGGGATCGTTCAGTTCGGCGGAATCATGCTGGCCATCTCCGAGAACAGCCATCAGGATCTTGGCATAAGACTTGACAAGTTTCGCCGTGTCACTCCCCTTCTCAAGGCTTTCATAGGAAGCATGCCAGACTCTTTGGGATGTGGACATAGCGGCGTCAGCCTGTTGTTGTTGTTGGAATTCGGCCACTGGGGGCCCTTTGGTTCGAGGTTCGACGGACGGGGCCAGCAGGGCCACTGTTGGCGCCACGGCCATCTTGGCTTCCTTGTCTGTGCCTGGCGAAGAAGATACTGATCCTTCCGAGATGTATTGAATACCCGGCTGCTCCGAGTCTCCAGAAGGCGTGTTTGGGTAGCGTTTAACGCCTGCGTCCGGTCTCAACCTACCTGCCCTCCTGACAATACGCTGCGCCATCTCCTCGCTCGCAGCCTTGAGCTGTGCCTTGACGAAGCTGACGACGGCTATGCTGCATTGAATCTCGATATCCTCCCGCAGGTAGAGCCCGTCGGCGGGAGCACCGAGCGAATCGAGCAGAGTATCGCGCGTCTCGGCTGGTTCCTCGCCCATTTGGTTTCCCGTGATACGATATTCATTGCGTAGGTCGATCTTCATTGGTGCGTAAAGGTGTGTTTGAAGGCCCCAGGGCATATTATGGAAGCAGCCTATCAAGGAGATCTTGCCAGATCCGACCTTGCCCACCCATGGCATATATTGGATACGCTCCTCAATCTCGTACCAAGTGTTGTAGTACTCGTCGGCAGTGGCTGTACGCGGCGCAGGGATGGGTCGGTGATGGACGACGAGAGGGTTGAGGGTGATGACCTCGTCGTGCGCGTGGAGGATATCGATGGCTAGCTGACGCGGTATGTCGCCCGGGATGGGCGTCAGCACAGAAAAGGTCTCCTTTTTTTGTGGCATTTCTAGTCTCCCCGGATTTCCACTAGACTCTGTTCCTTGGATACAGGCAAGCTTCAGGGCTCACGTTTCGGTAAACGTCTCAACTTTGGCTTCAATGTTACTTGTTGCCGCGAGTAGAGGGCGGTGTGCAGTGACTTGTCGCCGAGTTGGCCCATAACGGCGGGAGGGTTGATGCACGATGATGATGAGGCCAACATTGAAACCTGTTGCGTCAAAAGTGTAAAAGTGTAGGCCTGCGGAGTTATCCTCGGGAGCTTGAATAGCTTATATGCTTTTGACGTGACAAAGCCAGGGGCGAGCGAATGAAAAGATGCTGCCGAGGCAACGACAAGGCCTCGCCTGAGCCTGAGAAGCTTGCTCTTCCAACCAGACAGCATTGACCGTTTCCTCACACTGGCGGCTGAAAGCTGAAAAAAAGCTGAAAAAAAGCTTCCTGCCCTTCTGCCAACCAGCTGCCAACCAGCTGCCAACATGCACACCACCAACGACGCCGATGCGGTGGTTGCTTCTGCCATTTGGCGCCACACCGGGCAACGAGGCTGATGTTCGCTCAGGTTGGCTGAGTGTTGAGAGAAGGTTTTTGCCTCCAAATCTTCTGGCGCCGAATCATGGCATCTTCCACCAGACTACAATGTACATGACACTACACGGAAAGCGAGTAGTAGCGATAAAGATTTAACTTTAATTTTAGCTAATATGCTTATATAATAACTTTTCTAGTCTCTCACTGTCCTTGGCCTGGAACAGCCCAATACTGTTTTAGATTTTACGCTTGCACAATACTTGTATCATGCGTGTAATTTTATTTGACTACAGAGCGAAATAACCAAAAATTAATACTTATATAATAAATAAAAATTTAATACGCACGTAAAACTAATTTTATTACTAGCCGCAAGGTTTCGGGCTCCTAAGATATTTCTACTCTGATATTATTCTTCTAACCTAGAACCGTGTCACGTGTATATCACGTGCACAATAACTACATATACTTCCCCTGGAAAGGCCTTAGCTTTGCTGGACAACAATAAATTGCATCAAGAGAACCAGACCTCACAAACCGTCCATGTCGACCGCCCACTCCTGCTATAGCTCCCGAGTTTGTCCTCCGAGTTTGTGCACCACGTTATCCTGACTCCTCACTGAAGGGCAGGTTGGTTAGTCTTCAACTTGCATGTGGTCTTGCCCTCACTCGCAGCATCGAGGTTCAAATGTTGAAGTCAAAGTCCTCTCCCTCATTCGCAGCATCGAAGTTGAAGAAATAGTCCTGCCCCTCATTCGCAACATCGAAGTTCAAAAGCCCCTCATTCGCAGCATCAAAACTCAAGCCTTGCCCGTCATACGCAACAACGACGTCGGTGGGATTGTGCTGGTAAGATTGCGCAAGGTCGGCTGGTTGGCCTGGGATGGGAGGGGGATTGGGGTCGAAATCCTCTTGCACGTTGAGTCCTCCTACTGCGGCCATGAAAAGAGCGGCATTACCGGCCACATCGTCAGGCGCCGGTGTCTCGTAGGGTGGAGGAGACGGGGCTTCGGTAGGCTCCTCGTAACCCGAGTATTTGTGGCGACGCACCCAGCCGCGCCCATCGTCATAGTATTTGACTTCCCACTTGTTGATCGGCACCATTTCATGCTCGAGGGTCGACCGGTTGTGGGGGGCTGAGGCAGCCAGCATACAGAGCCACCACAGCGCGAGATCCGTCGTGAGCTGTTCCGGGCCTCTTTTGGACCATGGCACCGGCACAAGAGCGACTTTGAACCTGCCAAAGCGGTAGGTGGGATCCTCAAATATGGTGCAACGGCACGCGACGAGTGCGTGATCTGTCATGATGTAACCGTATCGAGTCTTCGCAGTGTGACATAAGTTGGCAAGTTGTCCCAGCGCCCACATCTGATCTGTCGTTGTGAGATGAGAATCATCGACCACCACGCTCGCCGGAAATCTGCTGTGGGATTTCACGAGGCCCACTACGAGATTCGTCAACGGGTGATCGTCAAGTGCAATAACGTGATCGACAGTGGGTGCCCCCTTTGCGGGTGCCGTTCTGATTCTGGCCCGGGCTGACCCGTCGCGAGTAGTGACATCGTTCAGGAGGGAGACGCCTGTGTCGATGCCAAGGCTTTCTTTTGTAAATTTTTGGGCCATGTCGATTACACGGCTATTCCATTCGATCAGAAGCCGAATATGGTTGACTCTGGAAATCTCGATTTTGTTATTCGGCAGATCTGCGGCTGGGATGCCTCCAGGACCTTCCCGGTTAAGAATATGGCCGTAACTCTCAACAAGGGATTCAAGGTTGAACTCGCTCCATTCAGCGATCCCATGATGCTTCGGTAATGGCCACCGGCCTATAGTATTCTTGGATGCTGTATATTTCATGCAAGAGATTTGTGGCTTCGCTTGGGTTAAAATAGCACGCAAGCTAGTCGAGTTTCGATCACCAGGTGCTGCCATTGTGGCGACGCGGTATGCCGTGGGCGATGCGGGCTTAGCTCTAGTATGAGAAGAATATTTGAACAAAGACTGGAAGTGAGGGGCAAAGTATTCTCTGTGCAGAGGCCAGACATGAGGTGGCTACATGTCTGGTTGCCTGAAATTAGAACAAAGAAGATATCTGGATGGCTATTCGTTGCGGCCCAGGTCGCACAACATAAGTTGGCCGCTGTATGGCATTGCAGCGGACCAACACGCTGGTATTTTTAGAGCTAACATAAATTACTACACGTAGCCTTTCTAGTAGTAACTTATATATTCTATATAAAATAAATATAGGCTAATATATTAAAATATATATAGCTTAATAAGGCTTTTTTAGGCTTTTTTAGGCTAAGCTAATACATAATATAGCTATATAATTAGTATCCTAAAAACTAGAACTGATATTCCCTTATTCACCGCTGGTAAGGAAATAAGAACCCGTCTTTCAGGTACCACTGTAAAAAGATTCCCGGAAAATCACCAGATCTCACCATGCCCGCAACACCCGGCCGAAATCGGCAATCATAATGCCACAAAGATGGCGTACAAGTCAGTGGTTTGCGTCTCCTAGAGATGGCCCCCCGTCGTGGAGAGCCTTCGCGCGCCCGACCATTTGATAACCGTGCTGATCTACGCCGTCCTATTGCATCACTACCGTTTGTCTTCAGATTCGCCCCGCACGTCCTCCAGTCATACGATCTCGGGTCAACGTAGGTGAAGATGCGCTCCCTGGCTGCCTTGTTTCTCAGATTGTACCGCAGCTCACAGCCACGACCGCCAGGAAATGCGGTGATGGAGATGGGGCGCGCCTTGCCCCCAAACCGGTTCCACTCGCGAATCATGTCGTCAAAACGCTTATAGTCGCCCAGTGCCTTGTCAAAAGTCGCAAACTCCATCATTGACACCATTTCGGCCGTGAGATGAGGGTTGATGTCCGGAGTCGTCAGGAAATGAGGAGTCGTGATGGCGGTGCTAAAGTCGCACAACTTGCCACTGACAATCTGCACGTCCATGACATCGATGCCGATGATGCCGAGCTTCTGCATTCTGATGATGTCGCGCAGGATGCTGCGAGCAACCGCCGGCCGCAAGTTCTCCTCATCGGGCACACCCAACTCCTTGACGATGCCGCGAATAGGCGGCGGCCTGCCGCTCTTTCCCACAAACCGCAAGCGCACATCATCTGGTATGGAGGCATCGATGGATCCGTTGAAGTCCAGGCACACCCCGCTTGAGTCGTGCTGGAACTGAGCTATCATTCTCCGCTCGTGCTCCTCGTCGAGCAAGACGTAGCCGTAGCACTTGAGCGCCAGTGTCTCGTGACCCGATTCCTGGATGCGCCCATAGGCACGGCACTCGCAGGTAAAAGGCTCCGCATAGTTGTAGAGGGCAGAATATAATTCACGGTACTCCTTGCCCTCCCCGAGTTCCTCGAATTCCTTGGTGTCGGGTTCAGGCAGTCCCTCCCAGTCGCAGTCGTTGGGAAACCGAAACTGCGGCTCAGTTCGTCAGCGTTGTTCGCTTTCCAAGACTTGGGCTGTCAAGATGCTTTACCAGCTTCAGAGCGTACAACTGGCCCAAGATTTCGACTTTGAAGACGTGTGAGTGAAGACCCTCTCCCATGTGCTCAATAAACTTGATGGCTTGAGGGCCCTGAAAGTCGAAAGGAGGCAGTTTCGGGCCATCTACCTAGAAAAAAGCGCAGTCGGTTAACATGTTGAAGTGGGGAGTTGACCTTCCACCGGTGAGGCAACACTTGGTAGTTGGTACTTGCCTGCGGGAGTGGCACCAAATCGGCCTCTGATTCTGGCCAGTCGGGATACATGTTGGCCGCTGCATAGTCAAGGAAAGGTGTTTGTACAAGGAAGAAAAGAGCTCTTGAAAGAAACCTGACCTCTACTTAAATAGCGATATCAATTCTTGTGACGGGCGGCGATCGAGGAGAACTAAACACAGCGTAACCAGTAGGCAAGCGGACTGGCCCTTTTGGGAAAGACGCTGCGTCGCATTACAGTGCGGCATGCTGTGGGTTTACTGTGATGCATCAGCTGGGTGCGTGTGGCCAGCACAGACCAAGGAATCGGGCAGTCTCTTTGTTCCTGACTCGGGGAGGTACTGAAAATAAATACTGATACAGGGCTCTTTTGTAGTTGTTGTATTGAATTATAATGAGTCTGGTACAATGGAAATCCCTCAACAAAAGAAACCACCCAAGTCCTGGTGATGGTCTTGCTCACCCTCAGTTTGTAAATACACCGCGCTAACAAACGTCGGCCCCATTTTTTCCCACCCAGCGTTTTGTCTGCTCCTGATGTCCGCTCTTTGCGAACATTGAACCTCGGTGGTCTGGGCCTCATTAGCATTATTGGCGTGTAGGTCCTTTATTTTATTGGGGAAGGAGAGCTGCGCTCAATGAGCAGGTTTGCCGGCTATGAATAGGCCACAGACGATGCGTTTCAGGAGTTTGGGGTATAAATTTACACTAGATAATTTTAATATAAATACTTCGATGTTTCCGAGTAGATGTCCTTGTAAAAGTTGATGAACGTCGTTGATCCGACTTTAAATTACCACTGCGCTCGGCCTTTTTACCCCTCGCTTCGCTCGAATTGGCGACGGACATGCCTGATCTTGTGAGTAATAATGACCTGTAGGGACTTGATGAAACTGGCAAACGAAGCACAATGTTAGTTGCTTGCATGAATGTCAAGAGCCGGGGACTGTACATTATGTATTGAAGAAGACGAGCGTTCTGAACCATTGGTTCCGGTATACGAATTTGCAATAGAGCTGCCAAGCGACGGCTTCCTGGTGACACCAATATGGGGGCCGCGTTGATAAGACGGCCAGACTTTCTTCAGCCTCGGGAGCAGATGCGAAACAAATCTCACAGCCCCTGCATGGTAACGAATGGTCGATTGACTCCTTTGAGATGCGGATGCGGATGCTTCCGCAGTACATTACCGCATTTAGCACGTCAGCCGGAACCGTCCGCCAACATCCGGGACTATGAATATATGTAGCTACGTTATTCCTATGATTTAATCATCTCATTCCGTAGCCTGATGCTAAGAGCAAATGTCGTGTCACCGTCCAATTCCAGTCACACCGTGTGCGGCTTATACTCGCCGGGATACGCGACACCTCCAAGGCCATGTGTAAAGACGGCATATGGTTACATCTATGTCGCTGGGTCAAGTCTCATGTTTTGCTTGCAGCGCCGAAATTGCAGTCAAGACGCACTGGGGCGCGGGACGATATGCAATTAGCGAGTACATTAATAACCGACTAGATAATCTCAACCAATGTCTAAAGCCAAACAAGGAAAAAAATAGAGAGCTCGTCGCTACTCATCTCGCTTCTCAGCAGATCCCGCTATTGGCATCTTGTCAATGAATAGAGGCGAGAACCCGGCCGAGCCATTTTCGGGCCAAGTCTGGTTTAAATTTTCACCTTTGCCACACCCTTTCGGCCACAATTTGTGCGATTCGCTGCCTTGGGCGGCCCCGGAAACGGGTCGGCTATATACCAGTTAGTAGTATTCGAGGTTTGGACATCATGTGTAATACCTGGTGCAAGGCCTAGTATATACTTGTTCTTCTCCCGGAATTCTTTAGCGTATTTCTGGCAGGCTTCGCCGGAGAGATTTTGATCATAGCACAAGCCAGCGTCAGTGGCTGGATCTCTTGGCTTAAGGCAAGCCTTGACATCCGCTTCAAATATTTTGAGTTCTTCTTTATTGCACCATTCCTTCCTTCGAATCTTGGGTATTGCATCAATCCACAGTTGTACGCATTTCTCCCAAATATGGTTTGTGCAGTAGTACTCTGGTATTTTCAAGGAAGGGCAGGCATTGACCCAAATTCTATAAGCTTCCGTTTCGAGCTCTTCAAAGGTATTGCCACAATCATGGAGGTTAGATTGTCGAGAATAAGATTGGATAGAGAATGCCTGGCCTGCGAACAACGCAGCGGTAATAAATGCGAAACCCTTCATGTTAAAATGAAAGTCTGGGGCAAAATGGCTGGTTTAGATAAAGTTTTGAACAAGGCGGAGAAGACCAAGGCAATTTACCGATAACGGGAGGATAATAAAACAGGTAAAGATTGATGGGACAATGGAAACGTAGCAGCTTTTATATCTTGTCCTACGAGTCATGGAAGCTTTATATGCAATTATTTAAGCAAGAGCTTATACAAGCAATCTTGCATTATTTGACCATATTTGTACCCTAAATTCATGCCAATGCTAGTTTACACCACTTGACTTGAGACTCGCGACTGGACCCTAGAACTCGCAATATTTATGCAAAGACTTGTAGTCGAGTCATGGCGCTGGGGTTCTAATATTCATGCAAAATTGCGAGTAGCGTGGGTTACGTGGCAGAAGGAAGTTCACTCCACAGCTGTGACAAGGCCTCAGTGCTTGTTAGAGAGCTTGGAACGAAAAGGTTCAAATTCAAAGATAATAATATCAAAGAGTGTTAAAGGTCCTTGGCTTCCTAGGAGGAAGGAAGGGAACAGTAAGCATTGTATATGTAACGGGAATATTTATGCCTAAGGCACTTACTTAGACACGTGTTAAATATGTCTGGTGTAACGAATAGGTTCTTTATTGGTGAAGCCTGATTATTGGGCCTTTTCCGTGTAACAACAGCGGCTCGGCATAGAAGAAATTTTACCGGACGCGTCTAGGGACTATTGGTAATGCCCTTAAGTTATATGCCTGTGGCTCCAATAGTTCATGCAAAGCTACTTAGTATACATCTTGTACCCCTTAACTAAATATTCATAATATATGTGTAACGGCTAGGTCCTTAACATTCAAGGGATGAACCAATCAGGGTTCATGTTAGCATAGTCCCTCAGGCTGTCTGGTCACGTGGCAGTCGATTAACATTTTACCTACATATGCAGCTGCATGGCCATGACCAGACTCTTACAAGGGCATCCATGTGACCCTTATGCGACCAGACCATCATTGATGACTCTAACCACTGCGACATGGACATCAGCATGGATCCGAACCGTGTCTGGCACGACCCAGTTGTTGAAATTTACAGTAACCTTATAACCCCCGGTGTGCGATGCTCTGCAGAGGCATACGATCTAGCCAATCGTCGCTGGTACTGTGTAAAGGTCGAAGCAGAGGTCGAGGATGACCAATGGCTCTCATCAACCATCGCCACGCACCTTGGCCGGTATTACGCCGCAAATCGGGAGAAGCCACCCTGGAAGACAATGCGGATGAATGCAGAGGGCAGCCTGGTCACGTTTGACTCCCAACCGGACGACAAAGTCGACAGACCCATTCGAAAGTCACTGTGTTACGGGCACAAACGCACCGACAGATTGCCAACCACGGCCGTTGACAATCTCAAGAATCTAACCTACATCAGTCGCTCAGCAGACCGATGTACCTGGAATGACCAAGACTGCGTCTTCAAGCGCATCGAGTTTGATGTTGATGTAGAAGTTATCGAGGGCGAGATCCAGACGCGCGAGACTCTCATCCACGCCATGGGTCGCATGCCAGCGATTGAAACCAATAATGAAATGGCCAGGAGCTTCTGTCTTGTCCCATTCTCGCCGTTGTCCTCGCCGACAGAAAGCCCTGGAAACCCGGCACCGTTGCAGGCATCCTGATGCCATATGCTGGCGAGGACTTGGAAAGTTTGGTGAGAAACCGCAACACCGGTCTTTCACTCACCCTGACACAGCTTCTAGACCTGGTTCGAGGCGTTCGAGAGCTTGCAAAGTGTGGTGCGCAACACGGCGACATCAAGTATTAGAACACGGTGCTGAAGCCGACGGAGCAGGGTGGCGGCCCAGGCAAGCTGATGCTCATTGACGCAGGCTCCGAGGCTCCAGAGTACGATGGAGATGCCAGGGCATTGGGAACGCTATTGCTTTGGTGTCTCGAAAATACGCCAGCCTTGAAACAGGACAGGCAGGCCAAGGCCATGGTGGTTGCTGCGGCGAGTGCTCTTGTCAATGGGCATTTCGATGCGGCCCTCAGCTGCTTGTCTGCGAGGAAACAGTTTGACAGACAAGGATGAGGTTGAATAGCGTAGCGTGTATTTCCCTCCAAGAGCCAACAAGTGCCTCCTGTAGGATTTTCGTGCATGCCATTCCGGGCCGACGTGGTGCTTCTTGGCGCCGAGATGATGAAGGTCGAATGATGCGAGATTCGAGCAAACAACAAAATCTTGATACGAGTTCGGTCTTATCCAGAGCATTCCCGGCCGGCATACAATCCTGCAAACATGTATCGGATGGGAAACATGCCGTTCGTGTTGATCGCGAGACAACCGAGGCAACAACGGAGGATATCATGATTGGAGTCTTGCGGGCTATTCGGCGTCTACTGCCATGCAGCGCCGGCCTGATACCACCCGACTATAGCAAATGCTTTCTTGTCCTGGCCCTGGTTGCGGCTATTCCTAACAGGCATTCATGGGGGGAAAAAAGGTTATTGCGGACGCGAAACTCGGTGTTCTTGATCATTACACCGAGTCGCTACGTGACGCCAAACTTGGGCGACCTGCAAAAGATTTCTGGACGAGACCTATCCTCGTCGTCTGATATCGATGCCCTCCGCGGCTCTTGTCCGAATCCCGTCATGATGTGCCCACAGGGGCTACAAGATGAGTCAGGGGCATCGTGACTCGAGCGTATTCACCTGCGACGCCATATTCATTGGTCTAGAGGGAAGATAAGACCTGTTTTTAGTCTAGTCAAGTGAATCTCTGTAATATATATTGATACAGGCTTATTGTCATGCCTATGTTTGCGCTCATCGCTTTTCATCCCGATGGAATCTTTGGTCGCCAAGACAGTTTTATGTGCACTTTAGTGGCTGCGCAGAAGAAATTACAGGTGGGAATTGAAATTATTCATCATGATATAATGGTTGAGCTTCGTTGTGAAACATACTGCTATCATAATGATGTTATTTTCGGGACACTAGCCAAGAGCCGCTATGAATCGAGCTTTTTGCACCCGTGCCATTGTGAAGGTCAACCAATACCCGTAGTGGCAATATGATCAACCTCTGTCGTGTATGGCTATTATCAATTGCAATGCTTAAATGTGCAAATGTTGGTATTTGTCACTATAACAACATGCTCCAACTGCGAGGAAATTATACCCCCTTATATGTTAACGGTATTCCTCATTGCTGAAATCACCACGTCTTGGGAGCTGCCCCGACCATATGATATTTGGCGCCTACGAAAATTAGTATTGACCGCACTACCATATCTCAACGTCAATATCTTTCTCAACGTCAATATCTTTCGCTCCCACTTCTTCATACGGCTCATGTGACAAGGGCTCAGTGAGGGCTTAGAGTATCATGACTCACTTCATCTAATAACCCATTTTGGTATTAAACATCCTTGGTTTTCTTTAAGGCCTAGTTGACCGAAGAGCTCTTTAAATACAAGAAGTTTGCGAGTGTCTTCTGCCCAAGTCTTGTGATCGTAGTCCTCGTGTAACCGTGTGTCAGCTCATCACCAGTCGCAACTGGGCTAATGATGAAGACAACGCAGCAGAAACCGCAGCAAATTACTCCTCTTTGCTTCCTTTTTCGGAAAGACCTTTCCGCTTGCCCAAGTGTATTTCGCAAGTTTCCCAACACTTCCAAATTTGTGAACCGGCTCTCCAGTTCGTTCAGAGTCGATAAAGTCGACAATATTGACATGGATGCGCTTGATGGCCTAGATCCCATGATTGTCCATTAGTCATGTTCGCTTTCGGAAACTGTCACTCCTCTTACTTTCTTGCAAGCAGTTATGCTAGTCGGAATGGGATCAATGCCCAATTTTCCACAGAGCCGCTGAAGGGCCTCGAGCTTGTTCTCTTCGGTCCCATATATCGATCCGAATTGCTCCACGAGTGCGATTCGAAAAGCAGCATTGGCTTTTTTTTCTTCCTGGCTCTTGGTATTCCACCCGTAACGCTTGACTAGGCGGCGATACTCTGACCACACTTCGTTTGTGGGCTCGTAGTCAAAGTCAGGATAGGCTGCAAAGAAGGTGCCGATGTGATCGTTAGCTTTGGCCATGGTGTCACTGGCGGGAGCTATTGTCTTGTTCGTATTGTTTTCTGCTGAGTGAGTCTGAGTATCGTTGATTGTAAGAATCGGATTGCAAATAGATTGGACTTTGATATGGAAGACGAAGAGTAAACTTGCGGAATAAGGGAGAGATTGGATCCGTTGTGAGTGTCATGCTTCCCCACGTCAGTGCATATGACAAACGGCGTTGATAGCAAACGGAGTCTTCCATGACCTTCTATACACACAGCACAGCACGAGCCTGTAGGTGACCAAAATTCACTGTGTCTCTCATCAGGGAAGTGAGTCTGCGTTCGTCAAATGAATCGGACCAGCGACTTTCAGACCGTAGTTCTCCCGGCGGCTTCTCTTGCATGGAGCATTGGTTATATTGGACCTGGTTGAATTGATAATGTATTTTCAGACGCAATCCGACAGAGTCTTGCTATCAAAATCAACCCACCAAGAAGAATCGAAATTTCACTTCCTCTAGTGCCCTAGATAATTGAACATTATATGCTCTCTTAATTGTAGATGCCCTGCATCTTCACCCGTTGACACTTGAAGTGCCACGGGGAGTATTTTTGTGGGTGGACGGGTTTTGCCTTATGATAAATACTACGTTCACGATGCTATAAACATTTAACTCACATATAGGAGTGGCCTCACATGTTGGATTGATTCATCATAATAGTAGCTTTAACTTAAGCCATGTTAGTATCAATATTTGCTGACTCTGGAATGCTAGAGAATTGCCAGAGATACGCGGAACTACTACGTAGTGACTTCCTCTATTTAAGGTAATAATGCAATGCATTATTTTGTCTCCGTTATCATTATCATTTAGCCTGAAAAGCTAAGGGCTTTTGCCTTGACTAGAATATGTATCTCAAACTACACCTACAAGACATGAGTATCCAGGTATTGCGACAATGTCGCTGCATAATTATCGGAGTGACACATCGGGATAATAGTAGCATCTAAACCTATGCGTTCTGCAAACTCTAGCGCTGCCACAACGTAATCTCTAGTAGATAGACTGCAAAAGAGGGCTTCTTTGCGTGCCAGCGTAGAGGCAACCTCCCGAGTGTTTCACCATCTCAAACTGGCATGATTGTGTCGGCCGTATTGTCTTGTCATAATCGCCAGCTTGAATACCATCAATAATGTGTTCCTGAAGGGCCACATGACGGAAAGCTGACTCTACCGGCTAGACGTCGACAAAGCGAGTGAGAGGACCATGCTCTTAAAGACGTTTCGAGATGACGCGTATACAAGCGGCTGACCCGACACTTGAAATATTGGCGTTTATGTGACTGCCAGTCTGCTTCACAGCTGTTTCTCCACCTGAGCGGTAATGTATGCGCCGTTCTTTTCCTCCCGCCGTATTTTTAACTCGTGTGTGTCGATAACGCAGATTGAGACGAGTTTAATCGACTGCTGCTTGCGGGTAAAAGCGGCACAGATGGTGCAATAGGCGACTGCGACCGCTTTTGTCCGAGCTGAAGAGATGATCGAGATTTGTCACCTCGAGCCGTAGCTGCTAATGCGTCCAACTCTTTGACGGTGTCCAGGTTAATTTCTGACTTCATAAATGAGGCGCGGTCATCAGCCATGAGACGATAGCGCGCATCCGGGTTCTTTCTCAGCATTATCAAGGTCGTTGACACAATCACCATAATCAACAAGACGCAGGCGAAAACAGCGTTGAGAGCAAACAAGACAACCCCAAACACGCCGACAACGACTCCTGGCACGCCAATGACATTAGTAAATATAAAAAGGAATATTGCGTTAAGAAAGTTGACTACGCAAATAGCGATATTAAAAGAATTAGTCGGCTTATCCATCCACGGCCGCATGACTGATGCGCTGATGACAGCAGCAGCTTCAATCACTAGCAACGCGACAGCTTGCACAACGCCCCTTGGCTGAGCAAGCGCAATAAACAGCGACTTTAACATGATATATCCGAGGTAAGGGATAACGAAGTAATAAGCTGATGCCCGGAATTGAATGTATAAGAAGCCCAATTTGCTGAGCACCCGTGAATCAGAGTACAAGATGTACGCAGGGTTTTGGTACACGGCGACCGAACGTTGCGCAGTTCTAATGACCATAAAAGCTCCCCAGCCGAGGAACCCAGTGAGACCGACCAGGAACAAAACTGCCAAAGCCGCTTCAGCTCCCGAGTCGACGCGCGTGAGCTCCCAGAGTGAAAGGGTCGCCATCTGCAGAAAGCCAATGAGGGCCACCCGGTAAAGAACTCCCTTTAGGATCACACGCCAGTCCCGGCGGAAGTCGGTGAACCGATGGGATTTCATTATTCCCTTTTGGACGAGGAGCTGGCAAACGCCCTTAAAGCCCGCGACGGCAATAACAGTACCGAAGACGAAGATGACGAAGAACATGACCCCTGTCAGAAACAGGTTTGTCGTCTCGATGTTGGAGAGAAAAGCAACCCTCTCAATACCACGGACAATGTGCATGCCCGACTCGTCCTCTTTGCGTCTCACATGCGCACTGCGTTTCTGAACAGAAACAGAAACGCTCGCCAGGGAATCCAATAACGTAGCCGGTGTGCCTCCCGTGGCGCGCTGATACCACGTCGCAATGGTCTGTAAGAAGCCGACGCGGATAATGCCCATGGACCACTGGAAATTCTGTGTCCAAGACTGGACAATGGGAGGCAGGTGGACGGCCATTAACCCGAGGGCAGCCTGGCCCTGGAAATAGCCAAACAGGGAGAGGGCGTTGGCGGCAAGATGAGCAGCGGCATTGAATTGACCCAGGAAGTGTATTACCGCCGACGCGGTCAAGGCCAGACCGGCAATGACGGCAGTAAGCCACTTCACGGCCAGCTGGTTGACCGTTTTCCCATTGGATATCTTGGCCTCGAGGCAGGCGATGGACTCGTTGGTCCCCGTCACGTTGATGAAGACTCTGACGGAAGCGTCCAGGTCGGGCACACTGTACGCCAAGCCCGGCAGGTCTTTGACGAAGGCAGGATCGACCTTTTGGTTGAATTTGTTGGTGAGCCTGCTGGCCTGCATCGGGCAGAGTCCCACGTCGAGCTGGCACGGGTCCACGACCCTCTGGAGAATCTGGTAGCCGTATGCGTAGGCGCGAATGTCAAAGGTGACGTAGTTCTCGACGGTGGACGTGGCGACGATTTGGAAGCTCGCCGAGTTGTTGTTGGGGGTGAAGACGACGTTGAATAAACTGGCGGAGAAGCGAGAGTTTTCCTGGCAGCTGGCGAGAGCTGTAGATTCCAACTTTTGTATACAAAAGACGGGGGAGAAAGCTAGACCCATCAGGGTTATAAGCAGGTACTGAGCGCGGAGGAAGTGCATCGTGGTGGTCATTTGGCCGACCGGCTATGCGGTCACGCGAAGAGGGTACGGTGGCCGAAAGGAGAGGCGGTTGGGTGTGCCATGAGACGTCGTGGCAAGCAAGGCTGAGAGGGACGAGAGCAAAACGCAAGCAAGGAAACGAGGGACTTTGTTTTGCAGACTCGAGTGTGACGTTTGAGGAGGACGTTGGAAGGATGAGATGAAACAGTCACAAAGCGCCCACGTTGGCCACGGGAACTCGGCGGGAACCCAGCGGGAAACAAAAAGCGAAACCTCCACATTCGAGATACAAATCGGCGACCGTCCGAACGGTTGGCCTCGAATCCATATTTGGAAATGGCAAATTCAAGGGTGTGGCTATGCAATGCACCGGCGCTTACAACAAGTATGCGAGTCAAGTCGCAATATGCGTCAAGTAATACGGGCCACCTTTATGCAGCTTGCTAACCACTCAAGGACGAGAATGGAGCTAGTCTCTCATCGGAATTTTTTGTAGCTTTCGACAAATGGTGTAACATTTGGTTGCCACATGGCCCGAGGCAGAGAGCCTTTTGGACGGATAGACGCACACGAGACGCAACAGACGCAGACTGCTCAGTGCTATTGAGCCCAGAGCCTGATCGGAACAGGAGATTGATCATGGAGCTGAAAAGGATGCATGCCAAGGAAGGGAGGCGTGCCATGGATGGCGCCATGCAAATGCTTCGCGGTGGACCAAGACGGCTCGGTACTCGGAGCGGCGAGTCTGGTCTTGACCATCTGATCGTCTTGGTTGGGCAGCTTCGGGATTACAAGGTCCCAGTGCCAGATTGATGTCAATCTAGTGTAGCGACGTGACCCCTGTTGATTGTTTGTTCGTGAAGTGGCCCAGACGATGCTCCGCCACAATGATGCCCTCGTATGTACATAAGAGCTTACTGCGGCGACCAGACCCTTGTTCTGGAAGCCTGACCTGCCCACACACTACAGACCAATCCAATGCTCAATTATCTCGTGTCAACTGGTATATTATTATCATGGCGGGCTGTGCTTGAGCCGTCCGTTCAGACTCCTGCGGTTTCAATCCCCGCAACCTTGATCGGACTCTTCACGCGCAACATGGTCAACTCATGCGATTGACGGTGGACAAAGGCTACAACGAGGCAGCAGCCGACCCAACGGTAGTCTCACTGTCCTGCGTTGTTTGCCCCGATTTACATCGCTCATCATGATCTTGAGAACGAGCTGCGGCTTCGGTCGCTGGGCCGCCGCGACGATTTGCCTCATTTCGCAGCTCGATTCGCGTGTAAGCGCCGCGTACAAAATCGACACCGTAGGTACGACAGCTCGTCTTCATCCACGCGCCCGTCTGAACCGCAGCCGCAGCTGACGCATACACAACCACTAGACGGCATCAAGGAGACGGCTCGCTCCATGGCCGCCGACCTGAGGAGCCATTACCACGGCGATGAATACGGCCAGGTCCCCGGCATTCTGCCCGGGCCCCCTTCGGAGAACAAAGGCCCATACTACTGGTGGCAGGGCGGCGCCTTGATGGGCACCTTTATCGACTATTGGCACCTCACCGGCGACACGACATACAACGACCTCGTCATGCAGGGTATGCTTCACCAGGTGGGAGGCTCGGCCGACTACATGACGGAGAACTACTCCCTCTCGCTGGGGAATGATGACCAGGCTTTCTGGGGAATGAGCGCCCTCCTCGCAGCCGAGACGCGTTTCCCGAATCCCCCGGCCGATAAGCCGCAATGGCTCGCGCTGGCCCAGTCCGTCTGGGCGACTCAGGCGGATCCGAGTAGACATGATGAGTTATGCGGAGGAGGTTTACACTGGCAAATCCCCCCAACCAACAAGGGATATGACTACAAAAATAGTACGTTTGTTTCTAGTATCCTCCGTCTGTCCGCGGCTCGCCTTGTTATCTTACCCATTCGACCTACATAGCCATCTCAAACGGTTGCTTCTTCAACATGGGCGCCCGCCTGGCGCGGTACACGAACAACGATACGTATGCCAAATACGCCGAGGCTTCTTGGGACTGGATCTGGGAAGTGAAATACATCGACCACGAGTCCTGGCTGGTGTATGATGGCGGCTATGGAGCTACCAACTGTTCAATCCTTACCAGAGCCACGTATTCTTACAACGCCGCCATCCTTCTACAAGGCGCGGCGTTTATGTACAATTATGTAATAATGCCCTTCTTTCCCCCGACAACCACGACCTAGAGCTCGATTCTAACCTTGTTCTGTTTTTCGGGGGGGTAATAGACCAACGGCGATGAGAAGTGGAAATCCCGCATCGACAAGTTACTCGCAGCCTCACTGAAGAACTTCTTCCCCAAGGGCGTGGCATACGAGCCCAACTGCGAGATGAAGCAGGGCCAGTGCACGGCCGATATGCTCTCCTTCAAAGGCTACGTCCATCGCTGGCTGTCCGTCGTCACACAGGTCGCGCCCTTCACGCGCGAGACGATTTTGCCCGTCTTGAAAAACTCCACAGAGGCGGCTGTTGCCCAGTGTACGGGCGGGAGCAGCGGGAGAGTGTGCGGCTTTTACTGGTCCTCGGGAAAGTATTACGATCCCGAGGTCGATCACACGAGCGGCGCTGGGGAGGCCATGAGTGCGCTGGCGGCAGTGTCGAGCTTGTTGATTGATGGTAGTAGTCCGCCGGTGACTAATGCGACGGGTGGCATCTCCAAGGGCAATGATGGGAGTGGTCATGCTAATAATGGCGAGAAGAAGCTTCCGGATATTAGCACAGGTGACCGGGCGGGCGCGTGGATTCTGACGGTTCTGTGTTTTGGACTGTTTGTTGCTGGATTCGTGTGGGTTTCTATGGCGGACTAGTAGATGCTGGTGTGAGGTCTTGTGTTATAAACAGTCTTTCTTGTAGTATAATGCGTCTGCAGCTACTGTACAATTAATCTAAGCCTGGACTCGCGTGAGGAATTACAAAGGAGTTCTAACGGACTGTTCCTGGTTGCGAGGCAGTTGCATTATTGTTTGTCACGGCGCAATTCGAATATTACAAATCCTGGCAAAAAGGATGAGGATGAAGAAGGATCATGGCCAATAAACGTTCCCACCGACCGATAACATAGCCGTCTGCAATTTGACCGGTTAGTATGTCCAAGTATTGGACTAAAAGCGAGTATTCCCATTGAATGACAGCCAGAATTAACCGGCACTCTCATCGATCATGTGAAGCTACCTGGGGCGTGCACTGGCTAGTCTATTATTCAACACCTGGGATTAACTCGTGACTCTCTCTGTCCTACGTCACATATTAGTTCCTACTTTGTGTGAATAAGAACCAATAAGCAGTCTCACGTACTGCCCTTCCCTGTGGCCACCTAGCTATAATAGGAACTCTAACGACTATAGCTACATTTTCCCTTCCCAAGGAATCTTTGGTGACTCTTGTCTAACCCCGCCTCAAATTATCTCAAAAACCTTACTTCTCTAACCTGATTTAATCCTATATTGTTGTCAGACTCGGACACAATATTCTGGATAAGACGTTCTTAACGATCTTGATTATTTGTCTTAAAGACGGGGAGTGTTAACTTCTGGGATTTATTATCAGTTAAAGTAGAAAGCCAGATAATAGTAAAACTCTTATTTTTTCTCCTCGTCTTGATCAGTAGACCAGGTACTGCCTCCGAGATTCCCAAAAACGCTAATACAAGCGGCGACATATATCTACAGTGAGGCTTGTTCATCCGCCAACGTCCACGTGTAGCCGCTTTCTGTCTTTTACCACCCTTTACATGCCATCCGCGATCTACTAGTACGCAAGGTATGCCTTTTGGTATTAATGCCGTCACCGAGACCGATGTATGTTTCTGTGCTCGAGTTGAAAACTGGGGTGTTGGTGATGCATTTCACCAGCGGTTTGTAAACTAGTTTGTCGTTGATGTCGGCTGCGACATAGACGGATGAGATATAGTCAACGTTGGAAGTTTCTTCTTCAGCATCATTCCCATTAGAATGTTGTCCCCTGAAGTTGACGTGACTCATGGATTTCTTGTTCGGCTTATTGGCCTCGACGTTAATGCACTGATGGATTGTAATGCCCAGTATTCCCGATAGCAGATATGGGTCGGGCACGGTATTTTTTTTGAACCTGCTCCTCGTCAACAACTTGTTTCTTCTCGCGATGGCGGTCCCTTGGGTCCATGGCGTCTGTGCCGTGTCCCTTTTTGCACGGTCTGGTGCTCGTGGAAACCGGCCAATCTCCCACTCGAGAACCCCTTTGACATCAGTGCGCGCAGTTTCTCCCTGGAGGCGGTCCTCTCTCCAGTGCATCTTGTTGTCATCTAAAGTGAGGTCCTGTAAAGTAAGCTCGCAGACACCAGAGACATCGTCTGATTCCATGGCATTCGAGTCCCGCAGTCGCAGTCCTGACGAGCCAAGTTGCGAGCTCGGTGAATTTTGACCATCAGTACCTCGACAACTCTTAATATCGGCGCGCACCTGTCTATCTATGCCTTACAATTGATACTAAATACCCGTCCAATAAAACTGTCTGGCTGTTGCTGGAGCTGCATTGGTTCCTTACGCAATCTATAAGCAGTAATATGGGAGGAAAGTAACAGGTCGGTTGGCGCCTGTGGAAATTCAGCTGGACCAGAACGTGTCCCGGGACTACATCTCTTAAATATATATTTAAATATACTTAATGCCAGGTCTATACCTAGTATTCATCAGTGATTATTATTTTACGAAGGTCCTCGGCCACCTTCTTGTCCTCCTCCACGCCATGACACCACCTTTCACCATCCTCGGGTTTCACGAATCCATACACTCCCTCAAACTGGAACGGACCACAGCAACCATGATTAAGCTGTCCATCACTGCTATTAATATAAGTTCCGCATTGGCCGCTCCACACTCATGCAGATTCTCCTTTCTTGCCATATTTCATCCTCGTTGTGCATCATCCCAGGCAGGCAGGCAGTAAGCATATGGCGGAAGTTCCTTGTTTGCAGTCTCAATTTCATCCCTTGTTGGACATTGATTTTCAACTTGGTCCTGGAGTAGCTCCTTGTGCGACGATTCTAGCTGGTTTCGAAACTCATTGTAGTTAAGGAGATGGATGCTATCATGGAGCACCTCGCTTATTGAATCACTTGGAAGCCATCCGACTTATTCGTCTTTGTCTTCACACCGGAATTCGCGCAGAGGATCGTATTAATAGGCTTCCTTTATGATATCTGGCGTTCCGCCTTTTTATAGCCATTATAGAGGACTGCCTCCCTGCAAAAGGCTTGTGCTCTCGTGTGGTCGACATACGCATCCCGGTTTACTACCTCCCTGCCGGAACAACGATTCAGCCTCCCAGGCAGTGATACAGTAAGGTGCGGCTTGCATAATTGCAAAGATCTTTGTTTGTTCGGTCCTTTTCTCTGGAGCTCTTCTCCTTTGCTTATCTCCTAGCTGCAATGTCGGGAAATTGGGCCTTCTTAATAGAAATAGAAACAGTCTTTAGCATAATGACAAAGCTGGGCAGGGAGTGTAATTGTAACTTGTATTGATAAGATGTTGACTTTTATCGGCTTATCAGGTCTGGTATTATCTTGCCCTACTAATAATCTCTTTAATTGGCAGTAACCCCCCTTGTAATATCTGGTCACACATGGGTGACACATGGCAACATTCAAGGGTCATGTCTGTGACAAGGGCCTAGCTTGGAGCAATTACTCAATTCATCTAATAACCGTCTTTGGTATCAAAGGTCCTTGGTTTTCCTCAAGGCCTTGAGGGACCGAAGATGTCTATTTATACAAGAAGTCGGTGAGGACCTTCTGCCCTAATCCCGTGACCGTAGCCCTTGTGTAACAGGGCGATTTCCGTGTAACATGTCCGGCTGTACATGTAGTTATGCATTGACCAGATTCGATCCATATTTGATACCTGGCGCCCTTTTTGTAGGAACTTTGAAGGCAGTCGGGGTATTTAGGCATCAACCTACGTGGTCCACCAATGAACATTGAAGTCCGGTTAGCACCGTGCCATCCTTCCTTCTGCCAACATTCAATGACTAACAGCTATTGCTGCAAGCTGCGGGCCGAACCTATTGAACTTTTGGGGTGTCGATGCAAATTTTACTCTCAACAACTACAGGGAAGAGCGATAATCTTCTCCCGTCCTGGTTTTAGCAAAGAGACGACAAACAATACCAAGACGTAAAGAATCCCTTCAATATGCCAAATACGTCCCCAAACGCCAACTGGGTCACGTCCGACAGCCTGGATGCAGGCGCCAACAGGATCCACGGGCAAATCCAGGCGGTTCTGGCTACTGCCAACTTTGAATACCTCCAAGAGGTGGCGCTCCTCTCCCGCAAAGCTCGAGATAAAAGCATTCCAGCAGGCGTCACCTGTACCATTGACTCGAAGATTTTCACATACGGCATGAACAATCTCGTGCTCAAAGTTGGGTTTTCCGACCATGTGAACTGGATTGCTAGGGTCCAGCACGTACCAGTGGACTTGTCTCACGCCCGCGACCATGCCATGGATATGCTGAGTGAAATTGCCACCATGAAAACTCTCAAAAGCCGAACAACTATACCAGTTCCAGAGGTTTTTGTCTTTGACCCTTCGCTATCTAACGAGTTTGGCTTTCCGTATATCCTCATGGAGCGCCTGAAGGGCCGAGTCCTCGATTCCACCATTGCGAGTGACGTACCGGCTGAGTGCCTTCCACAAGTTGCAAGGCAGCTGGCAGATGTCCTCTTCCAACTTGAAAACCTATCTTTTGATCGTCTTGGGCGGATCTGGTGCGGCGAAAACTGCGATGAGCCCCCTACGATTATTCCATGGGAGAGAGTGGATACGGCCTCGGCGATACCACATATTGAAACATCGCTAGAGTGGTTTTATTTGTCGCGGCAGAACGCAAATAGGAGTGCTCTTGAGGCGCATGCTAGCGATCCAGAGTGGACGACCGCTTGCTGGGTTTTAAAGACGGCCATCTCTCATATTATTATTGAGGACAGGCTTCGTGGACCCTTCCCCCTGTGCCACTTTGACCTTCACTATGGAAACCTTCTTTTTGACGATGAGTATAACTTGACGGGTGTGCTTGATTGGAGTCTGACGGCGACTGCCCCATTGGAGCGTCTGGCTGTCTCGCCGGAATTCATCACATTTCCCGCGTTGCCGGACCAAGAAAACCAACCGATTGTCGCCTTCAGAGATGCAACCCGCAACTGTTTGCAAGAGCTGGTGAATAAAACAGAACAATCTTCAGCGGCTATTGGCCGGAAAACAACGCTCTCCATGATTCTCGGCTCCAAACAAGCCGAAATCACTCATCGATGCACCTATAGCCGCCCACATCGAGCTGTATGTGATGGGCGGTTGGTGTCCAGACTCATTTATGGGGACAAGGTATCATGGGAGCAGCTAGTTGCCGTCTATGGGGGAATCAAATTTTATTAGATAGGCCCAAATAATAGAGCCAGTGCTCGACGGCTCTGTGCTGTGCTTGCTGAGCCGAGTTTTAAAATATGCAAAGTGCAAAGTGCCTGAAGTATGTAGTTGGACTTGTTATATATCTCGTCATGTCCAGTCTTTATGCGACACTATAGCAAATACTCTTCAGACGAAGAATCAGAGTCGAAGAGATCTTGGACTACAACTCTGTCTTCGATTTCGTCGCCATCCGCATCCCATGGCGCGGCAGAGGAAAGTAGCATTCGGCGTCCCGTTATAGCATCAAACGAGTGCATTTTCAGGCCAGGAAACGTATGTGACACGATCCTTGCAATACGTGGATTCTTCATCATTTGCACAACCTTTGTCGCGTGGGATTCTACATCTGCCTTTAATCGAGGAAAACTGTCGCCGGGAATATGCTCACAGCGGATTGGGTATCGGTATGAAGTATCTCAACTAGACATTTCCGAAAGACTCAAATTAATGACGAAATCCTCGAGACTAATGAGCGCGCCGTTTCGCGGGACGTCTAAGATCCGAGGACAGATGTCACTAGTCCGGCAGCGAAACCGCCGAAGAGTCGGAAGCATTTTGTTGATGTTTGTACAAAGATGCATTTTGGAGGTATTGTTTTGAATGAGACGTGTACCTCCTGTATCAATTTCAAGGCATGTAAGGCGGCTGATGAAGACAAGGCTAGCCAGAGGCGATGCCATCAAATAGTCGCGGCGAGGAAGGCCAGCCCGTGGGCCATGTCCCTCCGGTCGTGTCTCAAGTTTGAGAGACTGCAGCTTCGTACATTGTGTGAGTATGCTAGCGAGAGCAACCAGGAAGTCACTCAACTCGGAGGTCCATGTATTCATAGTTTGGAGGTCGATACCGGACAATTCTTTGCTACTTGGCTCGAATTGGGCTGAATGCCAGTTCTCAAAGACATCAAGGGCAAGGCTGAGTGTTTTTACGTGATTCCGTATCGAACGAATCATGCCCGCCTTGTTCGACACGAGAACAAAGTTCCGAAGTGATTCTGCAGAGAAGTCTAGGTCTTGGAGAAGAACTGGCCTGGCAAGCTGGTACCACTGCCTGGAGACAAGAAGGCGACGAGCATCTTGGCGGAAGAAAGCTGGGCTTAGCAAGCGGAAGACGTAGAGTAGAATCTCCGGGGAAGTTGATACAGCGAAATATATAGGCTAAATTACTTTTAATAAAAAGGCGTATTATTTCCTCTTTTTTATAGCTAGAAAAAAGCTATTAATTAATATAATAAAGGTATATATTATCTACTGCTAAGGTGCCGAGCTTTCCGTGCGAGAGACGCTTCCTCGACTGGGGCGGAATATCATTTGACAGGAAGTACGTGTCGTCACACCGCACAATTTGATTGGACCAGCTTTAACATGGATGTCACGTCGAATAGTAATTCCAGGTGAAAGCAAACGTGAAGTCGAAGGCGGTGTCGAATGCCACGTCGAACTTGAAGGTGAAGGTGAAGGTGCAGGTACAGGTAAAGGTGAATACAGGGTGAGGTAAGTGGGATATTACAGTTAATGCGATCTTTGATAAGCTATATGAAATAATATATTAGTAATCAAGCTGGAAAACATATTTGGGATGGGATTCACATCTATTTTTCCGCACGTCAAAGTGCGAAACTAACCCTGGCCCCGACCAGCCTACTTTGTAAGAGGGCGATCCGAAGCGGGGCCACCATGAGTCGTACGTGCTGCCTTCGGCTAATTTGACGTCCAAATTCATGCCGAGCCGATCCAAAGCCGGCCCCGGTGGGCTTTTTGACCCAATTATGACCTATTTGCAAGGGGCATGAGGCTTATTCAGCCAGAAGCGTGTTACGAACCAACATATTAATTGCATTGCCAAGAAGAACTTGACTCTTAGGTGTGGGGCGGGGCACGAGTACTACGAGTAATTGATCCAAAGCTGAAGAAGAAACAGAAGAAAGAACAAGAAAAGGAGAGCTTGAGGAGCCCTTGAGCTCCTGAGCTGGCCGCTGCTAATCTCGCTCATTGGCAGGTCCCAGGGGCGAGAGCGCAGCCGAGTCATTCTCGGGCCCAGCCCGTTACAAAATTAGCATTGACTATGCGCACAGCAATCAATCTTGTGAAGGTTTGGAAAGATTGACTTATTCAATCTACCTAACGATCCTGTTACAAAAAGGAAGAATTAAGGAGCTCAGAGGAGAGATCCCCTGTAATATCCTTTACGTGCACTGACTATGACGTTTGTCTAGGCAACCGTTTGACATTAGTATCGCGACCGTGGTCGCGATCAATTTCAACGTGACGACGCAACAAGGTCTTCGGCCGAGTCTCTTCCAGGGTCTAACCCGTGACGTGACACTGGCTATTAATTCGGGCTATAACAGGTGGAAGGGGCGGGATATTCGGGCCCTCATAATAGCCGTGCTCTATTAAGCACCCTTGATATAGGCTTGACTCAGTTCTTTGAACCCTGCGGGTAAAATACTAGCCTGACCCTGTAAGAGAAAGGATTAAGGTTCTTGGCCTTTATGCAAAGACTATTTGACGTAATATATTAAAGCTGTTACTTCGCGTCACCTTTGACACCACCTCGTCTTGAAATAGTATCAATTGTGTATTTCAGCTCGTTTACTATCCATATCTATCCAGGACTTTAATCGTTTTAGAAATTAGCAGGTTACGACACCATGAGATCTTTTGTTCCTCTCGTTGCCGCTTTCACCGGACTATGCCTTGCCGGACCAGTGAAGAGAGTGGACGACGGGCCGGTTTGGGACACGGCCCCAGCACCCTCGAATACGCCAGCAGTCGACTTCACTGATATATTCGGTGGGCCTATTGATCCCAAGAATATGGTAACCCTATAACCTTTTATGGAACCGCTATATCTAGCCAAGAACTAATTATTTTACGATTACAGACCGCGCAAGAAGCCATCAAATATTACTCTTGGAACAAGGAGACACCCAGAGACTGTCAACTTAGAGTAAGCTAGCACTCTCTAATAAAGAAGAAATATATGCTAATAATAATATAGGCCGAAGTGAGTGCGCTTTTGTAAGCTTTAGAGTAGTAACACGCTAACACTTACTAACAAGATCGACGATTTAGTAGTAAGGATACTTTTACCCCAGCCTATAAAGTAATACGTACACTAACTCTAATATAGGATCCGGTTCGTGTACTTCCATTCCTACTGAAACTAGTATAGTAGTAACTCGCTGACACTATATCCTCACAAGGCCAATAATATAGTAATTACCATCCCACTTCAAGTACGCTGAGACCGAGGTATACTAACACAGTGGTCTGATAAGGTTGTACACCGTGTAGGTACTCCGTAGCTGTACCGGCTTGTCTGAACATATAGCCATCAAGATTATTCTAATGCAATAGCTACAAACTAGCCAAGGCGTATTACTTGCATGCTTAAACCAATAGTAAGCAGCCTTTTCGTTCTATCAGTTTACAGCCTGTGTTAAACTAACATTTACAGTCTGGGTCGGAGGTTAATAGCCTTACTTCTGCTTGTGAAAAAAACGGCGGCGTAAGTCATGCATATCTTGGGGTGAATTCTTAGTAGGTCAGAGTGGTATATTAATACACGTGCATCGTTATCAGTGTGGAAGCTGCCACGAGACTGACGACCAAGTCTGGGTATGTTCTCCACGTTTAGGAGTACATTAAACGAATTATGCTAACAGAGGCAATTATAGTCCAAGTTCTTCTGCCTCTTGGCGGCAGACAAGAAGCAATAATGAGGAGACAGGGTTGGCGGGCCTGGCGTAAATAAGCAGGCTGGTTCCCTTACTTCCCCGAAGGGAGAGGGCATTCATGATTCGGGTGCCTAATCAGTCGGAAGAAGCAGAAACCAGTCCGGCCTACTGGGACGCAGGAGACCGTAAGTAAGTATTACCAAAGATGCAAGACGTTAATACTTACAACATAACTAGGTATATATCGCACCTTTTACGTGCTTAAATATAGGTGAGAAAAAGTTATGTTCTTGATTGAAGTTAGGTGCACGGTCCTATCTCGCAGATATTTTAAGTATATAGGTAGATTATTAACATGTTGTTTCATGTGGCTCATCAAAGATCATGCAGTATTTGCGATATCTAGCTTCGAAAAGACGAGTCTTATGGCAATGAAATCTAGGAAAAGCAGGGCTCTGCGCACGGACACCTCTGTTGGGCGTCAAGACTCGGCCTTGCCAGCCCAATCAGCCTTAAAATAAGTGATGCTGTATTTGCTTCGGTAATCTCGCCAAAACCAGCCTCTGGAGTCCTGTGGTTGATTGTGTGTAGGCCTGCGTGATATCTTGTAGGGCCATCTGGAAGGCGTAGTCTTTTATTAATATATGGCACGGGGCACTTGACATGACATGCTTGGCTGCTGCCCAAGCTATGTACAATGATGCCGGGGGGGATTTAGACTGCGAGCGCTTGGGCATCTGAGTTAATTCCACGAGAAACAAGGCAAAATCCATCGGACCGACTATCGCGGCGCGAACAGTCATTTGATAGCCAGGGCGGGACAGACTGGCCAATCGGCACTGTGTGCAGATGTATCCAGTAACAATAATTGATGGTTGCTGAGTCAGAAATTGCCAAGTTTGCTCCCACAACCGAATGACTTCTCCGCATTGCTTGCACGAAAATGGTCCAACCTGAGTTGTCAGAGGCCCAAGGATATGCCGCCCGAGCCTGCGATAAATGCACACATGGCAAGAGAAGATGTGATAGGAATTGGCCGCAGTGCGGGCGCTGCCAACGGTATCTTTTCGGCTAGTTGCCCGGTATGGAGGATAACCTGCTGACTCGACATCTTTTTTCAAGGCTCAGGTTTCCATGTATATACAACCATACATCGACAGCAACTCATGATTCAGCGGCTAGTCCTCATGGCACAGACGACAGAGTCGAGTGCCCGGCAGGCGGAATCTCTGTCGACATCATCGGCAATGGCACGATACGGGCCTCTCATCTTGGCTCTATACTTGAAACATACGGCATCGACTGGCATTACACAATGGAGAAGTACTTTGAGACTGCATATCATGTAAGTGATCCACCATCTGGCTCATACCGGCTGCCATTGGTGGACGTCTTTGAGTCCTCAGAGGTGCAGTCTAACTTGTGTTCGTCTAGTGGTTTCCCATCATGAATCGGCGCAACTTTGATAGATTGGTTTCCGCCCGGCTGAAGGACCATGACCTCGCGGCATCCCGGCTACAAAGTATCGCCTCCGCTGAGCAAATACTATTAATCCTAAGCATGTATCTTGCGACAAAATCGGCACGATACCCAGACACAGACAATGCCACACTAGATGCTGCCTACAAGGCGACGAAGAAGGCGTGGGCTTTGCTTTGCTGTCTGTCAGATCCGGCCATGGAACTTATGCAATGCGGCGCCATGATTACTTTATTTGAACTCGAGTATGGGGAACCAAGGCTAGCATTTCGCACCCTGACTGAGACTCTATGCATGGCTAGCATTTTTGGACTTGGGGCGGGAAAACAAAGGACTGACAAGTGCATATACCAGAGAGCTCTATGGTGGACGTTATTTATTCTTGACCAGTGCGTATAGTCTCGTTTCAACCCACCGCGATACCCGATGTTGTTATTAACACAAGTATAGAATTGTCCATCAGGACCCTTCGACTCAAGATTTACCATTCATCGTCCCACGCCCCGAAGATGATGATTTGTTGCCAAATACAGGCTATCTTTGGGATGGTCGCGCCTATCGACTATTTGTCAAGGACATTCCGTCAAATACACCAATTTCCATCAGCCTCGGCAGTTTTCAGCGAGCTGCGCAAGCGGCCATTCTCCTGCATGACGCCCATCGTTGGCGGTCGAGGCTCTCCCAAGCCTCGGTACTACCCGGCGTGGCCGAGTTTTCAGACTTGGACGAGAAACTTCGTGACCTGCTGAACACAATGTCGGACGAATGCGATACGTGGGAAGTTTGCTGCGGCTCTTTTGCCATGTGTATAAGGTCAAATTACCCCAGAAGGTGGATTGGCTTAACATCCTTCCACCGCAGCCCCTTTCGCGCCGACCTCTGTGTCACTGACTGCGCATATAGTGCTCTGCTTACCCTCTATTGCCATTATTTGACACCCCAACGCATCATGCCAGACGACCAAATGCGGCACGAAACGGACAATAATGTCCAATTCGCCAAGTTGGCTATCAAGTTTGCGTTGCAGTTTGTGACTGACATGGCGTCCCATTTTAATAGTCATCTCGAGAGACAATCTGACTACTTGACCGCTCTAACTCCTTCCATCACGATTACCTTCTTCCAGGCTGCAGAGTCTGCTTTTAATTTGGACGCTGTGGCTGGGGATTCTGAAAAAGGCACTGCGGAAATATGCAAGGCTCTTCGGACCTTTGCATCAGTCTCGAGAGCGGCAAGTTAGTTCCATCCTGGGCAGCATACAACGCGTAGCATCTACTGTGCGCGCAACGAAAAATCCGACCTACTAACAATGCGTAGATGTCATGCTCGACCGCTTGGCAGAATGTGGTCACACCGTAGTGTAATTGCGTGTAGAGGCCTGCCATGCGTATGATACTAAACTTAAGTATCTGGAGGATAGATATGCCGGTGGCTGTTACTGTGATGACTACATCGTTCGAGACCCCGTTTTGGACCGAATTTTGTTCTTCTGATTTTTTCCTTTGCGGTGGGATAGCGCCGACTACGCCTCTCAACGCCAACTACCTTCTCTCACCAAGAGGTAACGCAGCCGACATCATTTCTCCCCATGTCACTCAAGACCGGGAACTTCATTCTGCACTACTACGATCGCCTGATACCGTCACAGAACGGCCATGGCAACAATATATTAATGATTAATAGGGCTTATGCGTCTTATCTGAACTCTATCAGGCTATTTCACTGTTACTAAAAAGAGGCATCATGTCCATGTAAATCAAATTCGGTTATTAGTCGGAGAAATTCACCACCTCTTGAGCGTGTATATCTCAACTTCGACCTACATATATTTTCAAGTACGAAAACGCTCCTGCGCCCACAAAAATAGCAACCAGATAAAACATGGTCCTCAAAAGGAGACTTTGTAAGCTTTTCTGCGTACTACCCACGGTACCCTTGTTTCTAGTCTTGCCAGCACCAGCCGGAGCATTTAGTCCGCCGATCAAAAACTTGTCGAGAGTTTTGTCTGCGTCCTCTGAATGGCCAGCGTCATCGTACGCCTCCGTGGCTTCTTGTCCTGCCACGTCCATCAACACCTCATCCCCGCCCCTACATTACAGCGTGTTAACAGTGTGAAATCGCCAAACTTGCGCGACGGGGAAACTTGAAACGTACGGATGATCCTCGAGAAAGGCAGTGACATCGTAGACGTATCCCCTGATTGCTACGAACAGCTCCTTCTTCGTATTGTAATTTGAAAGCTCTTCGATGGTGAATTCTTTCGACATTGTGTTAAAAAGAACAAGTGTCACTTTGGATAGGGACAGGAAGAAAAGGATACATGGAGCGGCTGCTGTCGAGCATGATGGCGTATCGCGCTTTTAACAATTCTTACGTCAACACATTTAGTTCAATGATCATTTGTCCATCGGGCCGGCTATAAGCGGAATGGTAGTATGGTAATGATAGCACAGACAGGTCTGAGCTGGCGCGTTCCAAACGTCTCCGGCGTTCCGAAAATTGCGACGGTCCGGGATTGTCCGCGGACTCATGAGCCGGATCGGATTTTACCAAATTGGGTCTGCACTGCCATCGAAATGTAACCGTGAGGAACTCTATTCCACACGTGCGGAGAACACAATGTTTGTCCTTGCCTACAAATGTCATTAAGCAAGCGCATCTACTAACCACTTGCCGCATTGTCATTCCCTCCCAAATATCCATCAACGCCAATCTCTTTATTCTCTCCGACAAGACAACATGGTTCATTTTTACGATTCTATACCCGAAAGCCTGCAAAAATGGGCTCTGGAACAGCCTCTCTTCTTCACGGCGACGGCGCCCTTCCATGGTCGGCACATTAATCTGTCGCCCAAAGGGCTCACCTCGACGACATTTCACATCTTTGACGGAAATCACGTAGCTTACATCGATACCGCCGGATCCGGGGTCGAAACAATCTCCCACATCTACGAGAACGGACGGGTCACCATCATGTTCTGCAGTATTGACAGCAAGCCACGAATCATGCGGCTGTTCTGCACTGGCACAGTCGTCGAGAGAAATGACGCCCGATTTGCAAAACTTTTGGATGATATGGGAAAGACGCCCGTAGCAGGCACCAGAGCTGTGATTCTGCTTCAAGTGCGAAAGGTGAGCATACCCGATTTCAGCTTGGCAGACTCGGATGACACGAAGAGGGAGTAATCTAAGTTGACTTTGGGCTGTAGGCGCAGACATCGTGCGGCTACGGAGTGCCGGTAGTTGAGAGCATGGACGCTCACGCCAAGCATCTTGAAACTTCGCCTGTAGGGGCATGCTCGTGTTTCTCTGATCGTCCGACTCTGGAGAAGGCGTTGAAACAAATGGAAAAAAAGAATAGTCTGGATGACTACATACTCAAGATGAATACTCGCAGCCTTGATGGGCTGTTGGGCCTGCGTGAGGCGAGGCAGATGAATGGAGAGTTTCTCCCACTGGGGGAAGCTATGGCTGTTGTCGACCGTCATCTTAACCATCCTGGGGCTCTCCTCGCCGGGATTTTACTTGGTGTGATTTTGACTATATTGGTGGGCCGCCTTGAAACCGCCTTGGACATTTTACCACGCAAAGCATACATGTTATCGTAGCCGATCGAGATTGGTGTTTCAGGTGTTTCGTGACGTGGCAGCTTCCAACTTCCCAGGCTGCTTATACGAATTTTTTGCGTTACATGCCTTATTCCCAATTCCGTCGAGTCTTCATTTTAAGTAATTTCATAAATCTATCTCAGTATAATATCTCTAGGATAGGGACCAGATTAGTTGCAAAGAGATTCATTAAACGAAGTCACCGTACATTATTGGTCGAACGAGTCATGAGCCCTTTGAAGCAAGTGCGAAAACTATATACTTGCAATGAAAGAGATATGCTGTATTCTAACAGGTGACTTGTAATAAAATAATAACAGGTCCTTTTATTGTCGAAAGTCTGAAGTCATGTCTGTTCAGTATTCGGCATCGGGTTACAGGTGACTGGGAAAAGTCGGCATAGACTTCGGAGAAAATGCGCGAACATCTACTACCGGTATTTTGGTGGGGATAGCAGCATTAAAGGGACCGAGCTCGATCTATTTTTGGCGAAGCCTGGTAAAGACGTTCATTTTTATTAATGGCACAAGGGACAGTTAGTGCAAGTGCGGATGCGGGTGCGGATGCGGGTGCGGATGCGGGTGCGGATGCGGGTGCGGGTGCGGGTGCGGCGTGGGGCAGGGGCGGGGCGAGGACTTTTATTGTACCTTTACAACATCGCAAATATAAAACAAGCTAAATGCTATTGTAGTATAGAATAAATAACTTTCCAATATAACCTTATTTGGCTTTTAAAGTTAGTCGACAAATAATAGTCGTATTTTAGTAAACGATGGCCGGACGCCGCTGTGGTGGGCGAACTGAGAAGGCCACATGGCTGTCGCCCAACTGCTTGCCGGGCTTGCGTCTTCAGCTTCTGTCCTGAATACCAAGCAGATTCCTCGACGCTTGCGTGTTAGGAAAGAAGATGCCAGAAGATGCCTCCGCAATCTTGGCCTCTTCCACGCCCACAACAGACATGATTTCCATTTTGCACGGGTTAGTTCCCGTAGCAGTGGTCGCAACATGGTCAGTCTCCGCAAAGACTGTAGATTGGCGAACCTCTCTGTATTCGAGGTCGCCGCCGTCGAGGCAAATTCATCATGGACAAGACTGTGGTCAGTCAAAGACACTCCGATTTCAAGAAATTAAACCAATCATGCTGACTGTTGTTGGTAAGGAATGTGTTATCGCCATAACAACAGACGAATACCTAGCCTTGAGCTATGTATGGAGGCAAGCAAAGTCGTTGCGCTTACAGAAGGCCTGTTCAAGCAATTCAAGGGCCTGGAGGACTCTCCAAGATTTTCCCAAAACTCCCCGGACCATTCAGGACGCCCTTAATTTTGCGAAGCAACTTGGCCGGAGGTATATTTGGATCGACTGTCTCTGTATCTTGCGAGACGATGCAGGATTCAAGTCCAGAATCATCCACAAGATGGACCTGGTATATGGGAATGCATTCATGACTCTTATTGCTGCGTCAGGGTCGGACTCTGACAGTGCGCTCTCTGGAATTGGAATAGCCCCTAGGAAGTCTAAACAACGGTTTGCAGATGTAGGTCAGGACTTAAGACTTATTCATGCTCCCGCACACACCAACCTTTTAAAGGAGATCTGGGCGAGCCGCGCTTGGGCGTACCTGACACTACCTCATAACAACGAAACCGTCTGACTTGCACATAGCTACCAAGAATACTTCTTCTCGAAACGCAGAATAATCTTCTATCACGACAATGTTATTGTTCATCGCTGAAGGCAGACATGGGGACAATATTTGGCTTTTGAAGATTTCGAAAACTCGCCGCAGCAGTAGGCCTTATGTCCCAGACCTGCCCCCTTCTCAATCGCGTGGGAACCGTTGAGAGGACGAGCTGCCCATGCTGAAAATATCTATTGGGAAGCCGCGCGCGCGTATTCTCGACGAGCATTGACTTGGACATGGATTTCCGCCTTGGACTTGGCTCTGTTGGTCAAAGGGAAGTCTTGCTATCCAAAAAGAGTTGTATGACCACCAAACCCAATGTCTATCCCAGTAGGTGTCTTTGGACAGGCTAGCAAAGTCCAAACCCAACGCACAGCTTACCTATGACGGAAACCCAGGTTTGGAGGCTCAGGGGAATCACTTTCGGACACTTGCTGCCATAGCGGCCCATGACCAAATATCCCCGATATGCAGCTGATAAGTATGCAGATTTTGACTCCCCATCTCTCCCTTTGGCCTTGACAGTTGATCTCGACGTAAAGACGGGGGAGAGTGTGCGGCCGATAGCGAACGCACGAGGCCGATTAGTTGCAGGTCCGAGACCACATGTGCAGTTTCCCGATTGGGTTTCAATATGTCCCGAACTTGGGATGAACCCGTGCAAACACATGACGTGTGCAAGATAACAGTTACAGAATGGTGCCGGGGCTACATGAAGCTCCAAATGTCTCCAATGTGAGCGACCGGCGTTAAACGGGTGCTAGCGGCTTCGGGATACGCGGAACAGATATTGACTTGCAGACAAGTTACACCGCAGGGCATCCAATCAGGAAACAGACCTCTCCTACCTCGTGTACCATGTCATGTGCCGGAATTCCGGCACTTTGGGACCATCTTTCTCGATGGTATGCTGAACCGGTCTTCGGATGCATTAGCCTCCTGGGCTTTGGTATAGACCGCGCTCCGCGGTTTCATGGCAGTAACACTTTGCGCCGCCGCTATAACCGTAGCGTTGATGAGCCAATGCTACCAAGACTTTTCACAGAGGACAACATTGAAGGGTATCGTTGGTCAAGATTTTGCAGGCACCATCTTATAGCATTACTCTGCAAGGGGCTGTTCCCTTCGTGACTTGTTCCCAAATAATATTATGTATTACCATTGTCAAAGACCAGTAGGTCGTGTGCAAAAAAAAGAACGTGGCGGATAGTACATAGTGTAGATTTTGGGAGTCCATCAACTCACTTCATACGAGGCAGTGCCTCCCTGAATTATTTAGGATCAGAGAGCGACAGCTGATCGATAGCTTATCGCCAACCAGTGGAGGGACGCTTATGAATTGGCCGTCGCAACTATCCTTGGACTATTATTACCGCGCTCAAGTCCGGAGCAGGGTTTCCTGATCTACTACAAGGACAAGATAGTACCAACTCGCTTGGACCTACAGTAGTACGCCACCCCTGGTGCGCCATCTCTACGTAATACTGCCCAAGTACGCTGCACTTCCCCAGGTTTTCCATCTTGCGACGGTTGCAGGTCCAAATCACATGCTAATCCATGAGAGTGAAGCGCCATCAGATCCATGCCCCATGATCTGGAGATGGTGTGAAATTGTGAATACAACAAGACAGATGCGTCTGCTGAATCGACAAGGTTGTTTCCGCAGGGTGTGGCATCGAGAATAAGCGCCGTGGCATGCTGTAATCGAAGATAGCCAATTTAATTTCTGAGGGATAGGCGCCTGCTGTGTTCACTAGCCATGTGTTATCAGGGGACCGCGCTTTCAGTCAATACAGCCAGATGACATGGCTGTCAGAATGGTTCACTCCTCAGTGTCTACGAGGATCCAGCAAGTGAAATTCTATATATACCGCTATAGACTACTATAGACTCCGTATTTAATTAAATCATTATCCATAAGCTACTTTCTCCTTATTCATCAAAGAGAAGACACTTGGATCTCAAAAAAATTCTACAAATATCTTCACATTGTTCCATTACCTACCAACATGGTACTTCTACAATTGGAAGCTATGTGGCAGTCCGACACAATCAAGCACATGAGGCTATTGACTTGGTATCACTGGTTTCTATTCGCAACAATCGTACGTACGATACAAGTTGTCAAGTCAAGTATAACATTATACATGCTAACGATACCCCCTCACAGGCATGGATTGGCCAATCAATATATCGCCTCAAATTCCACCCATTACGCCGGTTTCCCGGTCCTAGAATCGCAGCCTGCTCTTCATTGTATTTTCTATACTGGATATACCACGGTACATTTCCTCAACACTGCGAACGACTCTTCGACCACTACAAATCCGATGTGCTCCGCGTAGCACCCAACCAACTCGTCTTTCGAACACCCCAATCTCTCAAAGACATCGTCGGACGCCATGACGTGTACCGAGGCGATTTCGCCCTTCGAGTCATTGGCTTCACGTCACAGAACGTCAGCAACATCAGAGATCCCGCCGCCCACAAGAGGAAACGAAAGCTGATGAACCCCGGCTTCTCCAACGTGACGCTCGCCAAGCAAGAACCTGCGCTTGTCGTGCCACTGGTGAACAAGCTGGTGGACGCGGTTGCAGCCAAGGCAGGCACCAAGATCAACATGTCGAATTACTTTGATTGCGTGACTTCCGACATTATTGGGCTCTTGTCGTTTGGCGCCGACTTTGGAATGATGCAAGATCCGGTGTCACACCCGTTTCTTCACGTCCTGCCCAATGCACTCCGCATGTCTGTCATTGCGCAGTGCATCCCCGAGATATTCCGGCTGCTGTCGTTTTTATTTCGACACGGGCCCCCATTCATTGTGCCGAAGACATTTACAGGGGTGGCCGATTTTGCCGCTCGGCACATGCGCCAGCGCGCTCAGCGCGACCGTGATGGGGTCGCCACGGATCGAAACGACATCATGAGTATCATTGTCGACGGGACGGCCAATGTCAAGGATGACAACCTGAGAATGGACAATAACGAAATGCTCGGCGAAGCCACTACCCTCGTTACGGGCGGCGGAGATACAGTGGCAACCGCCTTGACAGTCACCATGTGGAATCTGGGGCGAAACACGAAAGTGTTGGCAGAGCTGCAAGATCAAGTCCGATCAGCGTTTGCTTCCTGCGAGGAGATTACTTCGAGGGACGTTGCGAGCAAAATCCCCATGATCGACGCGGTGTTGAATGAATCCATGAGAACTAACCCGGTTCTGCCCGGCCCCATGTGGCGTCGGACTGATGCTCCGATCGTGGTCGCTGGCCATGTAGTTCCTGGAGGCACAGAAGTTGGTGTCATGCGACTGTCTGTGTTTCAGCACAAAGATGCCTTCCACAAACCCAAGGAATGGATTCCCGAGAGGTGGTTGAGGAACTTGGGTGACCATCTGGAAGCATTCCAACCCTTTGGAGTTGGCCCTCGGACGTGCATCGGCCGATATATCGCCATGGTGGAGATGAGATTAATCCTTACAAAGCTGTTGTGGAAGTTTGACTGGGAACTGCTTACAAAAGACTACGATAACCCGGAATATGTCGTGCTCTATAGATCGCCGCTCTGGATGAAACCGTCTTTGCGGAAGGACTCAATGGCAGAGCGCCCCGCGCAGATTCATAAACCGTCTTAGATGATGAGAGGATGGGACTTACCTTGACTGTGGGACAGAACTCGCGGAACGTGCTAGTTTGGTCTGATTATACTTGATGTCGGTCAGCGCTGTCTAATCACCAGGCTGGCATGAGCTACACCCTGTGGCAGAATATTTCATAAACTATAGCAATGTGCCATGTATTTGGTACTATTTCTCAACAATCACTTGAAACATAAAATGCACTGAGACCATTGTCTCAAGTCTCGCATCTGAGGGAAGCTCACTTCGTGATGCAATCTTGACTGCCAAATCTGCCATTGGCGTAGAGCTCAACAGCTCAAACACCGAAATTTCGCTCCTCATCTCCTTGAGAGTCCTGTTGCGAATCTTGACGGCCGTCAAGGAGTAACTACATCCAGCCAGTACGGGGTTAGCAACTCATCATAACAAACCAATACTTGCCGCCAAACTCAGGCAGAGGTCGTTGAACATCCACCTGGTCAGAATGAACGCCGATAGAAATGGCAATTTGTTTCCTCAAGCTCAACTCCAAAGTGGCAGCCGCCTCCGCAAAAGACGTTGCTTTCTTGAGCGTGTCGTCAACACTTTCTTCTTTGGTGCTCCCGTCGCCTCGGTCAACCTCGCCACGCACGCGTAGGCCAAGCTTTCCATCGCGTCAAGCTCAAATCCCGTGCTGCCAGACTTGTACACCACCTTGTTTCCAAGGCCGAGGACGAACTGGGCAGGAACGGGTTGGCCATTGGCCGCCGTTCCACGCATTACCGCCATCGGAGCAAGTCGAAGCTCTTCAAGGATGGTCTGCAGGACGTTCCAGCCGTGCTGATATCTATGGAGGTAGTTTTCCAAATCACCAAACTTTCCGGCCGAGGTGAAGTGCGACGAGTCAGATACTAACCCACGTCGATGCCAGTGGCGCGAATGCCGAGATGATGGTGTGCGTGTTGAGACAGTGCATCTTCAAATGTCTTGCCCGCCGCATAATTTGACTGAGCAGTGTTTCCAATAATGCCCGTAATCGAAGAAGGTAGAATGAAGAAAGGCTCGTCACCCGGCCACAGCTGAGCGAGGAGGTTGCGAGAACCACGCGTTTTCGGTACAAGGGCCCGACGCCACTCGCCGTACGTCATGTTTTCAAAGATGGTATCCTGATTCTGATAGCCCAGGACTTATTTCCGACGTTACGGCCATCATTCCTCTAGGACCATGGCACACTAAACCGCGCCTTTGATAAGAAACCCTTGCGGTTTCAACTGGTGGAAAACACTGGCGACGCTATGAGCTTCTCTGACATCACACTTGTAAGCGTCAGCGTGCACGCCCCTGTTCCTGATTTTTTGCAATTCCTCATCATTCTTTCTTCCACCAGACCGTGACAGAAATACAAGGTGCTTCGCTCCGTGATCAGCCATCATGTTGGCAATGTCGAGACCCGGCCCAGAGTTCCTGCGAGGACATACGTAGCATTGGAATGTAGAGAAAGTGTGGGAGCAGGCGGTGACATGGTTCATACTTCTTGAGAAGTATCTCCATGGTGTCTGGTTTGTCTTCCACAGGCGACGCATGTCAATTCGAATAAATGCTTGCATTCTTTGTCGACACGGGCAACTGAGGAGGTGGAGGGAATAGCCAAAATCCCCGATCAAACCAGCTGAAGGAGTAGTAGCGTTATTGGATTCAGGATTGAAGAAAGAATCGACTCTTTTGCCATTTGTGGCTTTGCTAATACCGGCAACAAACTTCCTGAGGGCAGAGTCAAAGATAATAGATGATGGCCACCGTATCTATCCATGAGAATCTCCTTCTCCTATTTCGAGGAGACCAGAACAAAGACTTTTGTACCAGCCAACTGAGCAATTTGAATGGCAACCTATCCCAAAGCACTGCCTGCCGAGTTCACGAGAACCGTAGAGCCCCAGCGAACAGAAGAGACATCGGGGAGGCAGTACTGCGCGGTGACGAAGGCCATTGGCATTGTCACGGCGTCCTGTGATGACAAGCTAGAGGGGTTGACCGCTACACGTCTCTCACAAACTCGAACAACCGTCTTGCTGGCTTCGGTTTCAAGGACAACGACCGGCAGGCCAACATGGAAGGGGTCGACCTCGGAGCTACATCGGGACATGGTCCCAGCAGCTTCTCTACCAGCCTTGGGAGGACGTGATGCAGGTTGATGCCTCGAGTTTGTCCAGGGCAACGTACTCAACCTGAGCTCCAGTCTCTTTGGCGTCCTTTACATATTGGCTAGAGCCATACTCAGAAGCGAGACATCTATCTCCTTCCGGTGAAATAGTAATCTTTGAGGAAGAATAGATATTGCCGAGGCTTTTCCTCACGAGCCTCGGTGCCCCAGATGCTGGTTGGAGTTTGTCATTAACTCCAGGTTCGTTCACAGCACGAGGAACATGGATTCCCCCCCCCCCCCAGGTTCAGCGAACTCCATTTCTGCATATTTCTCACGCGATACTACCCACACATTAAGTATCTGCTACGCATCTTTAGGGCTGGTAAATTCGAACGTGGACGACCAGTCCAGGTGAGGTATAGGAGCTGGTAGTGAGGGCATACTCGTTGCGGAGAACTCCCAACAGTCCTTGTGAAGGGGCGAACTCTGCCCCAGCAGCGAAGGCCTTCAAGATGTATCCTCTAGTGACCCAGAGAAGATAATCGGCAGCGGAGACGATTTCTCGAATGCTGGAAATCCTCTCCTTCACTTTGGAGCTCACACATGTACTCGGGAAGAACTGTGCTATGGCAGCATTGTGTTCAAGATGTTGATGTCGTGGTGGTAGAGAAAATTGTAAACACATACTGCCCAGGTACGTGTTTATCAGGAAGCAAGCTGAGTCTGGTTTTCACGGCACCTTCTTCATCCAACGGCACAACTAGTCCACGTTGGAAGCTGACGTCTCGAAAGCGAGGTCCATAAAGCGTCCGCGACTTGTCTGACAGCTAGGACGCCCCTTCCAAAGCCATGACGAGCATTCCCTCATCCGGATACAGAGTGGTGCCCGTGATTTGGTGATGCTCGATCCAGAGATTCTCAGATACGCAAGGATAATTGTTCTACCGCGGCTCGAAGGTATTCTTCAAATCTTCCAGCGCTCCAAAAATGTTCGTCCGAGGATAGACATGAAGCCGGTTGGCCTTTGTGGAGTATCGATGCTTTATGCCAAAAAAGCCGAGTATGATTCCAAGGATATGGAGGCAAGTTTGAGACGGCCTTTCAGAGAGAACCAAAGGCCCATACCAATGTCGCCAGTAGAGTGACCGACTGTTTCCCTGTGCACAACTTCCCAGTGCCGCAGAAAGTCTACTAATGCTACTTGAAGCACCGTAGGGCCCTTCAGCCCAAAGAACCAGGAGACACGGTTTGGTTCGCAATCATGCAGAAACAATTCCTTGTGCCCAGCCGCCATCAAGTCAAAGCAAGTCAGTCAACACGGCAGCCTCTAGGCTGTCGGACTTCAACAACAAAGCGCAAGTCCCGCCCATCTATTAGCTTTGCCAAAATCCACCATATAAGTCGCCAGCCACCGCAGGCGCATCGTCTTGATGCGGTAGTGTCTCAGGAGTTCTCTCAGCAATTCATTTCCCCAGGCAGGCAGGGTAATCATCTCTCCAGTCCTCTCTCGAGGCAATTCGCACGTCGAGAGGAACTCGTCTGCCCTCGAGTCCCGCGTCCCCCGGCCTCAGGTCGACAATAGCAATCGACCAGAATATATCCTCAAGTCGCTCAGGGACCAATCAACCGGGACGAGGGGCAAAGAGACATGAATAAGGAAGCCAATACGCCATGTACACTTTCCCCTTCGCCGTTGGCTAGCCATCCATCTGTCCTCTAGGTTGCAACACTACACGGCAGAAGTCGAACGACTCCAGTTTCACTTCATCCACAAAACGTCGCGGGATCCCTATGCCATTCCGCTACTCATCAGCCACGGCTGACCAGGGTCGTCATTCCTAGAGTTCGCGCCCGTCGTGCCGTCTCTTTTTCCTGCCCTCCGCAAGGGACGTCACGGCCATGGATATCAGCCTTACGCCCCTGGAGAGCTTCGTGTGCTAGCCAGACCCGACAACTGGAGCGAGGCTGGATTGAGTCTATAAACACCATTCAAGTGAACGGCTTTCCTACTGGGCCAGATACGAGGCCCAAATCTCAGTCTCATCAGCTGCACAAACGACTGATGCGCTCAAATACGAACACGGAAACGTCAATATACGCTGCTACCAAGACGCAAGAACTGCTCAAAAAGTCTACCCAACAATTCAAACTCTACTGATTCAAGTCACTTCTTCTTACCCTTCTTCCGCTTTGATGCCTTTGCCTTCGTTTTCGCCGCCGCCGACTTTTCAGACTTCTCCCGATCAGCAGCATCCTCCGCCAGTAGTTCTCTGATTCGCTGCTCCAAGTCTTCTTGTTCATCCACTGACTTTGCTTCTTCTTCAATTATTTTCGCTTGTATCTCAGCCATTTCGCGCCATGAACTTTCCAAAACACACTCTCTCGCCATCTCCCACTCATTGTCGTCGGCGTCGGCAACGCGTTTCCACTCTAGCCATCTCTGCGGCATCGTGTCAAACCAACCGACATGCCGCTCAAAGTCCCGAAGGCTAGGCTCGTCGCTTTTGCTGTGTACCAGACGGTTAGGCCACCTTCGGGTTATCGTGTTCTTGTCCTTGTATTCCATGCCAAGGAATCCCGTTTTGAAAACGCTCGTCTCCTTGTCGGTTTCACTGTCGGTTGAGAGATGGAATGCAAAAAGCTTCGCATCGTGCATAAACCTGTGTCATACACTGCTGGTTAGCCACACGCAGCAGACGGCCGTAGTACTCGAGTGATGTGACATCTTACCGCTCCGAAAACTTGTCCCAGTTGCGCCACATCAAAAGACCGATTCGCCGTCGGATGACGGTCTCTGTTTCACAGCCTTGTTCTATTTTGATTGGGGGGGCATAATCGTCAAGAATGGTAGACGATGGCTCAAAGGTTTGGTATCCCTCTCCACAAATCTCCTCTTGCAGTCCTGCGTCTGAATTAGTGACCGAGAGTCGACACATGGCCAGCATTGTGGCAAACGGATTCTGGTCTTGGTGTCGCAGGTTCCCGGCCGCAATTGTCAAATTGCACGCAGGGTTGAAATCCCATAAATCTCCCATCTTGTTACGTCAGCCAATTTGCTTGGTGCGCGGTTTTGGAACAAACTCACGTGAATACGATCATACATGACTGGCTCAGGAGCTCGATGAAGGGACATGGGCATACCTACCGAAGTGAGGCCAACCATTATGGACAGTCGTTTGCTTTCTTCTTGAAATCGGACCAGTGTGTCGCGCAAGTAGTAAAACAATTTGCCGTATACATCATTTTGAAGTGGGCCGGCTTGGAAGTCGAGAAACTCCATAGGCCACTCTGCGATGGGCTCTGCGGTTGCTCCGTGTGGGTAGCAACCGTCGCCTTGGAAGAATATGCTACATCAAAATCAAAGGTTAGTGTAACCAAGCCAGGTGAAGCGCAGCACCAGGAGAGGAACTTGCGGGTTCGGCATGTCGAATCCATCTGTCGGGTGTCCAAATGGCAGCAACAAGCCATCTGTCCTCCATTTCATCAAGCCGGCAGTCCTGGAAGGCGTCATTCGGGAAGCCGCTACTTTGAGAGGCTCACAACTCTTTTCAGCATCCAGAACTCGAACGATGGCTGCCTGGTCAGTAGACATTTGTTCGGTTGGTTTTAGAACTTTGCTTATCAGGCGCCATTGGTGCTCAAACAAGTTTCCAACATACTTGACCTGACCGCCGCCCCATGACATTTGATATGTTACGTCATATCCAACGCCATCATCGCATACACTCTGCTGGTCTCTTTTGGCATTTTCAAAGCACTCGTCAAAATCATAGTAATACCTCTTCATAACAACCTCTATATGGCGCCAGAGAGCAAGTGGCAGCTTCGCTGAATACCAGAGGTGAATCAAGGCTTCGGCATTCAAATAAGGATCGTGCTGCCGATCAAAAAGCAAATGAATAGCGAAGAAGTCCCGACAAACATGTGCCGGAGTGGTAGGGTTCAGCGCTAGTCGAAGGACCGGTTTGGCTGTCTTTGGTATGTTGAGAAGCGTGTATATGAAGTGTCGAAACGTAGACTCTAAGCCAATGTTATAATGCGAATCTCGGGGGTCATGAATTCAACCAACGTACGTCCTTGTATAAACATGGACAAATTTCCATCGAAAAACCGCCCTTCATTTTTCTCAAGGTTCAGTAAGTCTGTTGCGGCGTAGTTTGACCAAAAAGTAAAATAGCTATCCACATCATTTCCTTTTCCTTTGGCTGCGTGGTCATGCGTCGTCTCGCAGGCGAATTTGTGCTTGGGCCAATGTCGAGCGCGGCAGGCATTGCCACAATACTAAAGATTTTTAGCTCAGAGTCATCTTCAATGCCTCTCGTCGTACGTACAGCGACCAGTTGGCAGTCTAGGCAAGGCATAACAGGTGTAGCGCTGCATGGATTACCGGCCTCATCCTTTGCGGCACATATTGGCCGTGTGATGGGATGCGTTTCCATTTGCAAGCTCGGTGAGGTCACGGTGACATTGTATCAAAGGCAAGACGATATATATCTGGAAAGAAAAGCTCCCAAGTGAGCGGGGTAAACGCTATGGAAGGTCTGGTACGAACTGATGAGAATGAATATTCGTTATCGTTGGATCCGAGGATGATAAAGCAAGGTGGACAAAGAGGGTGAATTGTGCTTGGCAAGATGGAACGTCAATAACTGACTGCACGGCAACGGCCTTGTCAATATGAGCGCGTCAAAGGCACGTGCATGGCATGAGTGCCATCTGGGAGGCAGTTGCCAGCTAAATTGGAATGACGACGTGACTACAGCCTTGCCTTCAAGTACATGGCGTCCAGTTGCACCGGACCTGCTCCACAGTTCAAATGGTCACTCGAGCATCCTGGACAAGATTTTCCATCAAGGGTTCATTCATCATCCAGCACACGGGCTTTTGACGCTCTAACGAATAATTGTACATGGCAGGCTAGCACATCAAGACAGACCAGCCGTCGGTCCACCTCAACCCTCCCATAATCAGCACCATGACGGCGAACGAGACGACGATGCTCGTCGCGCCATATACGTAGGCGTTTCTCCTCCTCAAACTGTTCAGCTCCGCGACCCACGTCGACACCGTCGTCAAGCAGCCGCAGAATCCATCCTCGACGCCCTGCAGAACCTGACACCCAATGATGCCGCCGCTCTGAACGTGGGCAATATCCCATGCCATGCCCAGTACAGCCGTGCCAATGACGTTGGCGGCAAACGTCCCCAGAGGAAACGCGGCGATTTTACCATTCAAGTAGATGGCGAGGTAGAATCTCGCCAGGCACCCAAGAGGCGCGAAGACCAGGGCAAATGTGGCTTTCCCACGCCACTGATCATGCGGGGGGAAGATGGACATGAGCACGGCACCCAGCCAGCATCCCCACCCCAGCAGGACAAACAGCGGATCCAGGACTCTCCGCGTAATCGGGAAGGGTATCGAAGGGATGATGCGCTCCGTTGCGATGGCAAGGTGTGCACCAAAGACTAGCGCTGCCAGCGACAGTCCCACGGTGGTAATGATGACTGCCAACATGGCCATGAAGGAGTAGCCCCCGTTTCGGCTTTGAGCCTCGGTCCCGAATCCCGGCGCGACAATGTCATTCGACATGGCCAGGAAAACATCGCGGATAAAGGTTGAAAAGCTGGTAAAGCTTCCGCAAAAACCAGTCGCCAACCCAATGTACAGAGGTATCGTCTTTTTGGTGGCAAGGTGTTCTTTCTTTGCGGCCGCGAGATCAATCCCAGACGCCGATCCCGCCGTAGACGCGCTCTCCTCGTCACTCCGCCCCTTTGCACGCGCGAGGGTCTGGTCGTATGTCGGTGTGCCCCATTCATGGCGAAACAGCATTCGATCTTCAGCGAGGAAACCTATGATGAGGCTGCCCCCGAAGTTGGCCCAAATTGTGGTAAATATCACGGGAGTATCGACGTAATGAGTAAGAGCCGACAGGCCCAGTCGCGCGAGCGTGCCCATCAATGAGAAGAAGACCAGGTATGATAGGGTGTATAGCTGGGTGAGAAGTTGGGATACATTTCCCTTGCGAGCTTCTTCTTCCGCTTCGAGCGGTCCCTCGGGCAGTTGCTGCGATCGTCTTGTACGCCACTCTCTCTCGTGGCTACGTGCGACTTCTAAGCTCGAATGACGGTAGACGGGGCCGTCGGTGACGTTTTCAACAGGGCAAGGAGCCGCGAGTTCGTCGAGGTTGAGATAGGCGTCGGGGATGGAGTAATTCTCCTCTTCTACAGCAGAGGCTCTTCGGCGTCGAGACTTGGAGCGGCTAACCCTCTTTTCTGCGGTTGCTGAGGCAGAGGCGTTGTTGTCCATGGTTGTTGTTGGACCATGTGAGGCCGTGTTGGGCGCGTCGGGCGAGTTGGCGATGGCGGTGGTTGGTGTCAACTCGTCGTCGCGCAGCTTGTGCGTGTCACCCGCCATGATGCCTCAGGGAGCCGAGCTTCGTTGGCACCGTACGAGGCGGCTCAACGAAGAGGGTTGGAGCATCTTATAGTCTTGGATTGACAGTCCGACGTGGTTGACGACGGGAAGGATGGGTGATGTGACGGTTAGCAGGACCCACAACGGATATACCGGCCTGGCTGGGACTGGCAGGCGATAATTTCGTGTTGGCGATGGTGGAGGCTTGGAGCGGTCCCACCGTGGCCGTGGCAATGACTGTCAATTGATCGAACTGGTTTTATTTTGTCGTGTCAAGTTGCTATTTTCACGAATGGGCATAATTCGAGGTGGCCGTAATCGTGATTCGGCATGATACTGAGCCGACGTCGGTGTATGTACTCGGCACTCCTCGCCTGCAGCATGTTCACAGCCTATCACTAAACAGCCCCTGGTGCAAGCATGCATTATCCCGGCACCTCTGTCTCAAGCTACGAGCTGCCGAATCCCGATGACAGACCGACCGGTACACCCATCTTCTAGAAGATCCATTGCAAAGCAAGTCATCCGGGCCCGGGCCGGAAGACCTTGCTGCGCCGCTTGTAATGGGCCAGACGACAGCTGAAGCCGTCGATGTATTCTCGCAGTACGGAATCCGGCTTCCTGGCGCCATCAATTGATATCCTGTCATGCTCCATCCGCAGCCTTTTCCTACAGCGCATGGGTGGACGACCAGCCGTCTTGCATCAATAGCTGCGAGCTGGTGGTCCACCTGGCCAGGGAGGAATCCAGGCCGCTGCGTGTGTTTAGCCGTCAGACTGGAAGGCTTGCAAGAGTGTCATTTTGCGTCACTCGTGGCGCATTTCCCCACGATGCACGCGCAAACGATGAACGATGCCATGGGCTCTGTTGGCTATTCATCCAAATCTCATGAAATCCGCCCGCACTTGACTCCTTCTCCCTCGTTTCCGGACATGGACCTCTATGTGACATTGATGTCACGACAACCATGTCGCCAAATCACAAAAGGCAAGTAAAACGACATGGTCACTGATTCAAATGCAGCTTGTCAATCACCATCTCGTGTACTCGGTCCATCGTATCGAGGAACTCGATGCCAAACTTTTGGCAAACGATTTGCACGTTGGCCCTTTTGGAATATCCCTCGGGCGCTATGGCGATGCCCTTGCCCGGGACCTGCGCGGAAAGACCGAATTCTAAAAGACTTATCGGAGCCAGCGTAGCCGGGGGCAGGTACACCACAAGGTCGGCCGCGACTTGCTTGTCGAGCTCCCACAGGACTTGCTCGCGATATGGAGCAAAATTGATGTCCTCGCGCCATGTGCTGTCCCAGTCCGGGCGGTTGGGGTTGAAAATGGGCACGTCGAGATGGACTCGAACTGGGAACTAACATTGGGTAGGTATCAGGCGACGAGCCAAGAGTCCAACATTGAACCATCAAATGTGTCAACTGCAGGTGTTGTGCACGTGCCCAAAAATACACAGCATGCCATTGACGCCCTTTACTGCACGGCCTTGTTTCGAGCCTCTGATACTTGTGACTCCAGGTCCTCAGACTCCATCAGTCTTCCTTGCTTTCTATACATGGCTGCTAGTTGCTCCATACATGTAAGCGTGTGATGGTGTTCCATGCCCAGTACTTTGATGCGCATCGCCAATACCTGTAACAACAGTTCCTCCGCCTTGGCAAACTGCCCGCCATCATAGTAAATCGATGCAAGATTACTCGTACTTGTCAGGGTATGATGGTGTTCTGGCCCGAGGACCTTCTTGCGCAACTCCATCACCTGCAGACCCAACGTCTCTGCCTCGGGCTGTCTGCCTTGGCCATGATACGTCAATGACAGGCGGGCCATGCTTGTCAGGGTTGAGAAATGCTCTGGTCCCAACAAGACTTTGCGGGCGGCAACGACTTGTGACTGCATCGCTTCGGCCTCATCCCATCGGCCCTGGTTGTGGTAACTAACCCCAAGATTACTCATACCGCTCAATGTATGAGCATGGTCTTTCCCCAGGACTTTGATGCGAATATTCATCACCTGTACCAGCAACTCTTCAGCTTCTCGATATCGGCCCTGGTTATTGTACGTGTGTGCTAGGTTGCCTATGCTTAATAGAGTATCGGGGTGCTCAACGCCAAGTACTCTGTCAAGGTGCTCCCATTCTCGTTGATATACGCGGCTGCCTGGGCGATGGCAAGCGGGAGATGGGTAAGCCAGGCAAGCATTGCTTTTGCATCCCCAGGTGTTGTGTCGAGGAGCTTTTTGTCGATTAAACAGTCATGAAACATGCGCATTGCGGTACTTTCGGTCATTTTGGGCACCTCCATCACATTCTGTTGCGCCAGTTTGACACCAACTTTCCTGTCTCTCGTCGTGAAGATGACTCGACCAGCTTTGCTTCGCGGAACGTAATCAAGCAAGCAATTCGTCTGCTGGCTTTCAGATCCAGTCCTGTCAATCCACATGTGAATATCGTCGGCGTTATCAAAAACCAGTATCCACTGCCCTGCAGAGTCGTCATTCAGGGAGTCTTGAACAAGCTTTTTAATGTCCACTTCTTTGGCTCCAGAGTCCTTGATTCCCAACTGTCGAGCCACACTAAGGTATCCTTGGTCCAGACTCTCCATGCTTGTAGCCTGTATCCAAATGGCAGAGCAACTCTTGTCCTTGTCCCTTATTCGATACAGGAGCTCTAGCACAAGCTGGGTCTTCCCCACACCTCCGAGTCCATAGACTGCAATTCTTGTAGATTGATTGTTGGCGAAGAGCCTACTCTCAAGTTCGGCCAGCTCGGATTCGCGGTCAGTGAAACGAAAGTTTCTTTCAAAAGGCACAATCCATTCATTCACTGGGTGAAGAATCTCTGGCTTCTTGGGATAGGTAGTGTGGTTTCCCAACTGCCTTTCAATCTCCGACCGCAGCCGCTGAAGCGCGTGTTTTCTTCCTTCCCCATACATTGCCGGCATGTCTGGTACTTTGGCTGCTAACAATGTGAAGGGGCAATGGCCATCATCCTCCAGCGGGTGGTCAAAGTATTTACGGTAAAGTTTTCCATCAGACATCATGTCTCAAGTGCTGGTACCTGGCGACCAGCCTCACATAAGTAGCCAGAACCTGTCTGGTAGCGCAAGCTGTTGCGCTGATAATAAGCGAGCCTCCCAGCAACACTTGCCGCCGAAATGTGACTACGTAAAGTACACGTCGAGTCAATCGCTGCAAGCATTAACTAAGCTTGGCATGTCAGTCCAGCGTCCAGATGTCTGGAGGTGGAGTCACGGGAAAGCCCGACGACCTAGCAAACCCCAGGTGGATTGTATTGACTGTGTGTGCATGGGTGGACGGGGACCTCAAAATGCAAACCATGCCCTCGTCTTACATGGCAGGTAGCTGGAGGAGTTGGGTTCCAGCGCCCAGGCCGTCAAACCCCCGACGTGTGTAACTTCAGCCTGACATGCTCCTTTTGTTCTTCTGCAGCGCCCAGTCTTCGGCTGACGGTAGTAAACAATATGCCGTCGTCACGTCCTAGGGGGGAGCGGTGAGTCATATACGGTCATTACCAGGCACCAAACCAGAGGAAAGGGGGCGTCTGTTATGCAAAGTCCGGGGGGCGTTGTGACGGGCGAAGAAAACGGTGACAGGACATCCAGATCTGGATGGAGAACTCAGAACACGGTGTATTGTGGGGAACGTGAGTCTGGGGGAGCGTTACGGGTAAAGGCCGGGCAAGCTCAAATTTCGAGCGCGCTATCATCCAACTCATGCCCCATCCCTAACCGCAGCGGACATCTGGGGACCTTCGGAGCCCCCCGCCACATTGACGCCACAGATCGCCCAGGTGCCCCTCACCGACCCTCCACCAACATGATGCATCTGCCGCATCCCGTCAAGCCAAGACGTCAACTGACAAGTGAGATAGTACTATGTATCAACCGTCAACCGTGCAGTGGCGCCCAACATGTCAACTGGTCAACTGGTCCTTATCCGCAGCCCCCGATACGGGACGCGATGCCAAGTGACCAGCCCTCAATCCTCAACTTCACACCTCCATGTCCCAACATCCAATGCGCTTTGCCCCTCCTTGGCCTCGCCCGCTTCCCCTTCCCCCAGATGCTCGCTACCTAGATACCTAGGTACTTGAGCACCTCGACTGTAATCTCAAGCTCCAAAGGCTCCCGTCGCCGCAACTGCATCCACACCACGTCCTTGGTTGTGAACAACCAGCCAGTTGGCCGTTTTGCCTCTCGTTCCTTCGCCATGTCGTCCCTCCCCAACGTCCACGTCTCGACGCACCCGTCCCTGCGCACCAAACTGAGCCAGCTGCGCTCCCAAACAGCCGGCTCGAGACAAGTAAAAGCGCTCGTGAATGACATTTCGCTCATCCTGGCATGTGAAGCCCTGGCCAAGAACCTCGTAACCGGCCCCGGACCCAAGGTGAAGATCCCCCCCCAAGTCCGCTCTAGCTGTTTCGAAGCACGACTGACGCCGACGGCCAGGGCGCAACTCCGCTCGGCTTCGAGTATACGGCGACCGCGGCGCACCCGCAGACGATTTGCATCGTGCCCATCCTCCGGTCCGGCCTGGGCATGGTGGACGGTAAGAAGAATCCAGCCCTCCTACAAGGTGTGTTGAATGACAGGGCATTGACGCGCAAATCGCAGCCGTGCAGACCATTCTGCCCGACCCCGTCCCCGTACACCACCTCGGCATGTACCGCGAGCCGTCGACCCTCGACCCCGTCGAGTACTACAACAACCTGCCGCACCATAGCCCGCAGTCGTCCGCCGAGAACAGCACCGCCAGCAGCCTCGCCGTCCTGGTCGATCCCGTCATCGCCACGGGCGGCACGTGCGCCGCCGCCATCCAGACGCTGAGGGAATGGGGCGCCAAAAAGGTCCTCGTCATGTCCATCATTGGCGCCGAGGAAGGCGTCAAGAGGGCCGCCGAGGAGTGGCCCGAGGGGACGGAGCTGTGGATCGCGGGCGTGGACGCCGAGTTGACGCCCGACGGCATGCTGAAGCCTGGCCTGGGCGACATTGGCGACAGGCTGTTCCTGACGACGGCTAAGCAGGCGTAGATGAATCACGCAGTTACTGCCCGTCTTGTCTCATGGCCTTGTTGCCGATCTCCTCGTCTCGCAGCAGACAACGCAGAGCTGGAGCCCCCATCATGTATATATATATATATACCTCGAGTACCTTGGGAGCACGAGTCCCAGCTATGAAATCACATACTTCTCCTCGTCTAGCAATGTCCTCTCCTTCCAGCAGTCTAGAACCCACCCATGTCCCAAAACACGCGGCACCTTGGCCCAGGGGCTCACTTGTCTCCTGGCCGTGTCCGCCGCCTCCCCGACTTGCATGGCGTCGTCGCCCACGACCACCACGTGCGTGACGCCCTCGCGCAGGCTGTCCACCACCTTGCCGCCCGTGTACATGACATAATGGACCAGCTTCCCCGTCGGCCCGTCCACGCCGTCCGCGGCTCGAAAATGCACCACGCACCGCCTCATCATGAACCCCCTCAGCTCCGCGATGCCCTTGCCCCTCTCTTCCAGCTCGACCAGAAAACGGTCCCCGTCAAAGGCCTCCTCCACCTTGGGCATGGCGCCCACTATCCCCCTCAGCCCGTCCACCGAGACGTCGCGCGCATAGCTATCTCCGTACATGTCCGTGTTCTTGGCCGCAACAGCGCCCAGCGCCTCGGTCGCGTGAAACAGGTGGCCCTCCTCGTAGGGCAGCAGAAAATCGCCACCCTGCTCGACGCAGTCCCTGATCCACTTGGGGCGTATAATATTGGCGTTGCCGCCCTTGATCAAGCTCGCCACCTTGACGACATTCTTGTCCGCGACGAGAACCATGCGCGTGCCCGCGACGGCCCGCTGCGAGACGGCGCCGCCGTTTTCCTTGATGACGGCCTCCAGCTGCGCCTTTGTCTTCCTCCACGGCCTGAGCGACTCGGAGAGCACGCAAAACTCGAGACCGTCAAACACGTGCGACGCCGCGCCCCGGGACGCCACGGCCGTCGCGTCCTCGCCCGCAATCACGACGCTCCTCTTGGCGCGCTTGGGGTGTCTGCGTTTCCTGTCCTCCACCGTCATGGCCTTCTCCTTGGCCTCCCGGTCCACCTGGCGCTTGAGCTCCTCGAACTCGTCCACCGACAGTGCCGAGTCCCACGCGCGGTCGAGGCGCAGCCGGCGGAACCGGGGGAACCGCAGCGTGTACCCCATGGCGAAGCTGTCGGACGGGCCGACGCTGGCCGCCTTTGCGGAGAGCACGACCGAGTCCCGCGGCCGGATCCACACGTCCGGCCGCTCGAGCTGCCTGCCCTCCCCGCCGCCGAGCTCGACGTACTCGGTCGGCGGGTTCCTCCTGTCCCACTCGACCCATTTTCCCTCGGTGCGGTGCCGTATCTCGGCGTAGTCCTCGCCGCGGAACCCGCCGCCCACCTTGAAGAAGCTGTAGCATTTTTCGGGGTTGTCGCCGGCCTGTATGTGGTTCTGGGACACGCGGAGCCCGCACAGGAAACTGGACAGCGTGCCGCCTCGCTTGCCGGAGCCGTAGTACCCGCCTATCACGAGGCAGTCGAGCGATTCGCCAAACTCGGACATGTACTCGGGCTTCACCTTGAGCCAGTCGTCGTTGCGGCTGTTGAGTCTGTACATGGAGCGTGGGTTCTTCAGCACCAGGCCTTCGGAGGCGTTGGCCACGACTTCTCGGAGCATGGGCTCGATGGCGTCGGCCGTCGTGGCGCTCTTGTACGCGTGGATTTCGAGGCGCCGGTGAACGGGCTTGATTGCCTTTTCGAGGGCGCGGTGCCGGTCGCGAAGGGTGTACTGCGTGAGAGGCTTGTCGTTGAGGTATAATATGTCAAAGACGCGATACAGGGGCCGGTGACCTGATGCGTCGGAGCCGGACTTGTTCTGCTGCTCTGCAATGGCGGCGGTTTTCAGGGTGCCAAAGGGGACGATCTTGTCGACCGCCATGTCCCATGTGATCATCTCCCCATCCAGTATGAGATTCCGAACACCGGGGGCAAAGGCGTCTTTCAAATGGCGCGTCAAGCTGGAGTTTTCGTCCAGCACGCCGTCGCCGTATAGGTATGTGTAGTCTTTTGCCTTGCGTGACCAGAAACAAAAGCGTTTGCCTCCGGGGTGGGAGGCATCACCCACCATGTGCATCTGCATTCGCTCCCCATCCAGCTTCTCCTCGATCCAAAACTCGGCGTCATCCTCTGTCGGCCGCAGCAGCTCCGTCATCTTTTGGAAAGAGGCGGGCATCTGGAATTGGGCCAGTTGCGGCTGGAAGCACTGCATCAGCGATATGCCGGCTTCTTCCTGCTCCAGCCTGACGTCCGGGTCGTACAGCTCCCAACACACGCGCCTCAGGCTCGACGACACGCTGAATAGCGTCTCGCCGTCCGGGTGCCACAGGTAGAGGAAAGTCTTCTCTGTGGCACCGACCTTCATTTGCTTGAGGATGATGCGGATGAGCCACAGCATCTCCTCGGCGTTCATGCGGTTGTAAAACGTCTCAAATACCCTCAGGTTTTCCGCCTCTCCAGCCGATGCGGCCAACTTGTCCAGCTGCTCATTTACCTCGGCAATGGTCATGTCGCCCACCTCGATCCGCATCGGTCTCTTGGAAATGGCCTCGTAGCATCGGCCGGCAAAGTCGCCAGCCAGTCGAGCCGCCATTGTCTGGCCGGGCAGCTTCCAGTGCAAGAGATTGTAGCCATCTTCAGAGTTTTTGTCAATCTTGATGAGCTTGACCAGTAGCTTGCCGATGGCGTTCTCCTTGAGCCCGTAGACACCACGGTCGCGGTCCTTGTCGGGCAGAATCAGCCGCAGCGCGGGATAGAAGTCGTTGCCGACTTCTTTGCGCCACCTGTTGATGAATCTCTCGATGATGTGGCGTCTCTGCTCTTGCGGCGAGAGCGTAGTTGCGCCGTGAGGGCCCTTCTTGCGAGCCGGACCAGCCGCGGGCTGCTTCTTGTTCTCATTGAGCGGGTTAAAGAGCTGGAGGAACAGCTCGGAAAAGAGCAGGGTTTTGGAGTGATTGTGCGGCCTGTTTGGGTACCTGCCAGATTGTCAGGGAGGGCATCAATGACGAAAACGGGGGCGCCGTTCAAAGGCGGAGGTTTCAATAATTACTTTTTCTCGAGCTCTTCTTTCGTCAAGCCGACTGCGCCATACTGCATTTCCTCCTCACGCTCGGCATCGGCATCTGGCGACTTGGCCCTGTTGAAGCCGCTCATTGTGGGTGCGCAAATTTCTAGCAATCAGTCACAAAGGAAAATGACAATTTCAAGCGGCGGGCTATGTCGGTCCCAGGAATTTTGGTATCATGGCGAACACTGCGCAGTATCTCTCGCATTGGACAAGGTCAACCTGCTTGGCCATGTAGTTATCAATTTCAATGCTCCGGTGCAGAGTGCGTGAACAGGCAGAAGCTTGCATGTGGGGTCGACTTCGAATATCGAACCGGCATTTGAAGCTAACCGCGCCTGCCAACCAGAGCCAATGAGCAGCATTGAAATTGAATTCCAGTCCGCCACCTACCCTTAACACTCACGGCAAGCATTCACGAGGCACGGTTCTCCGACTTCCACTCTAATTTCTTTTCACTCATGCGCCCATGCCTCTTCTTCTCAATTTCATCTAGCCCTATGTGTCTGAAATCCTCATCAAGCTAGCCGATTGCAAAACCCTTTCGCTGGGCGCCGGATCGGGCTGTCCCTTGCCACGACAAACCAGCTCTGTCTCACCTCAACATCGTATCTCAAAGTTGTGCCTTTCGTGGCGAGACCATCGTCACTGACTGCTCTCGTGTCAGCGGCCGGTTCGGTTGCACAATTATTTCAGCCAACTTGGCTGCCATGCGTTTTCTTACCATGGCTCTGGCGCCATGCAATGTGCAGATGCGACCACGAAAGCCTTGTCCAGGATATGAGTACCAATAGCACGGTTTCTTGCTGTCGTACCGCATGCGAGCTGGCCTCTTGTGTCGCCAGCTGTGCACGATCGGGGATTGTGCCACCTCTCTTGCCCATGTTATGAGATGGGCATACCCATTTCTGCGCCATCCCCCCTTTCCGTGGGATCAAAATTACGCTAATGTGAAAGCTTTTCTGGCAAAATTTGCATCTTTTCCCACGAGAATAATCGAATCGAGCTGTTAATTTTATTCTATAAGAGCTCCGTCGGTATAATATGTTGGCATCAACACCTGAAGAAAGGGGCTCGGCAGCAGAAGCCAGTGTTGAGCGATGGGCATTCGTCCCAAGGTTCACCCGAGAAGGCTCACTTGGTGCCATTTATTCAGCCACCGCGCAAGGATGCTTTGCGTGGTTGCATGAGATTGAATAGATTCTGGGCTACTCGGTCTTGTCGACACCACATTTTGTCATGGGATTCAAATGTATCCCAAGCCACCTTACTGCCGTGTACGCCCCCGTCCAACCACGTACTATATAGAAACTCAGCGTGATCCAGGTCTGGCAAGCCCATGCAAAAACTCGACAAAACCCAGAATCCACAGCCTTGTAGTCCTCTCTCAGTCACCATGGCCTATGCTTCGACCCATCCCAGTGTGCTCAGTGTGGTCATCGAGGTCGAGTTTCTCGTGGCTGTAGAAAAAGACGGCCACAAATACAACAACACGGCAGCCGCTGGAAACGACACAGAAGGCACCGCCTCGCAGATTCACAAATGGGCCTGTCCGTCCCAAGCAGACGACCCATCGATGGATGTCCTGCACCAATGCAAGGCTGTCCTGTCCAGAGACCACGCCAACGTCATCATCCGCCACAACGAAACGCACCTGACAGAGAGGTCCTGGCAGTCTGCGCGTTTCGATTCCTGGATACTACAACCGTGCCACCGGGGCTCATCCGCCTCGTCGGGCAGCCCGACAAACTACGACTGGAGCGGCGTCAAGCTCCGGAGCCCGCTCATGCCCGACACCCAGCTCACCGGCGACCCGTCCCCGGCGCTCCGGTGCGTCGAAACCCTCCGCCGCGCCATCCTCATCCGCGTCGACGCCTCCTGCAGGCTCAGCGTCTCGCTCCGGCCCGGCAGCAACTTCACACCAGTCCAGGCCAAGAAGCTCGCGACGCTGGTGTGGCTCACGGAACGGGACCTGCTCGTTCCCCTGCGACACCTGGGCCGCGACGTCGCGGCCGTCGCCTGCCCCCGGCCAGTCACGACCGCATCCCTCGCGGCTATTTCCCGCCACCCCCAGACGGTTGACGCCGCCGAGCCTCTCGACCCGCTGCTGGAGGGAATCATGAACTCCCACCTGCCGACGGGGCTGGGGGACGCCGCCGCCCGCAGCTGCCTGCAGAGGCTGTGGGCGTGTCCCGACCTCGCCCGCCTCTCGGGCGCGCTTCGCGACCGGCACCGCGGCCCCCTAGCCTTCGCGCTGTACGTGTACGACGACGACGACGACACCGAGGACAGCGGCGCCTCGTGCTGCGCCGTCGCGTCGTTCCGCTGCGCACCGTGGCATCCCCGCCGCGGGCTCGACGTGTCGCCACTCTGGACAGACTTGGTCCTCGCGCTCGGGAGGGCCACGATCCTGGCGCCCGAGCGCTTCAAGAGCCTCGTAGCTGAGATTGACGACGTGAACTGCGCGTCTCGCCAGGGCGACGCCCACGGCGCGAGCCACCGCACACGGCTGATGAAGGCGCTGGGCACGGAGGACGCCCGCTGCGCCGAGTGGGAGCGCATCGTGGCGGACTGTAGAAACGGCGCTCCTTGACTGCCAGGGGACCCGACCCGGGCCATGTATATTTTTTGCAAACAAGTCTCGTATTACTCTATCTCTACATCATCAGCTTGCCGTGACTCCTCTGTGCCAAAAACTTTGCATCTTCATTAGGCGGCCAGGCACTGCCTCGAAAAAAAATGTCTTTTTTACCTGCTAGTCCCCATGGTCTCTCCCCAAGACGAGTCAGACCCTCCGCGACCTCCTCTTCCTCTTGCGAAGCGAGACGATCTGCTTGCGCTGCACCAGCCGCACAAACCAGGCGTATATCATGTCCCGCATGAGAATGACAATGGTTGCCAGCGCCGTCGGCACAGCACACGCCCAACTGAGCTCGATGTCAGTACTCATGCCTAGACCAGGGGAACAAAAAAAGAAAAGAAAAGGCTTACAAGTACCATATCCCGTTGTGCAGCTCCGGGAACCCCTCGAAATTCTGCCCAAAGAAGCCCGTGATAAACGTCAAGGGCAGGAAGATGATTGTCACCATGGTCAGCTGCTGCATGGACGCGCTCTGGTTCGCCGAGATGGTGTTGAAGATGAGATTAATCAGGTTCTCCGAGCTCTGCTTCAGCTGGCCCATTGCTTCCGTGATGAGGATGCAGTGGTCCAGCACGTCGCCCAGGTACGTGTGCGTCATGGGGGTGACGATGACGCCGCTGGCGGGGTTTTCCAGCTCCCGGCTGGCCAGCTCCTGGGTCAGGTGGGTGCGGTGGTCGCGGAGGACGTTGACGAGGTTGTCGATGGGGTTGAGGAAGCGCAGCATCTTGTTGATTTCGCTGATGCAAATGTACAGGCGGCGGCACTGCTTGATGCTCGGCGCCGTGAGCACGTCCAGCTCCAGGTCGCCCAGGAGGTCGGTGTAGACGGCGGTCAGGGGGAAGGCGAGGTCGATGATGGCGTCGACGATGGCCTGGACGAGGAGCGAGGCGTCGCAGGACTCGCGGAGGCTGGTGCCCGGCGTGGAGAGGCGGGTGACGATGGGCCGCTGCACGTCGTCGGCCGACACCTCGAAGAAGGATATCACCGTGTTGTCGTTGGTGAGGAAGATGGAGACCTGCTCGGCGGAGACGGCCATGTTGTAGGCCGCCAGGGAGGAGTGCTGCTCCATGTATTCGGTGCGGGCCTCGTTTCCCGACGCGTGGTAGCGCTGGAGCGAGCGTATCATGCATGTTTCTGGCAGTGTTGAGCCGTCGGCCAGGACTGGTCCGCCGCGGGCATCGCGGGCGTGGTGCTCGGGGTCTCTTTCCGCCTGCTTCGCTGTCTTGTGGCCGAGGCTGTGTAGCCAACGCTTGGCGGTGGTTTGAGACGGCGCGCTGCTCGAGGTGGATGAGCCATCGTCGTCTTCAACAAGGTGGACCAGTTTCTGAAGCGTCATGACGATGAAGGCATGGCTGGGATACCTGGGGCATCAACCGACATTAGCAATCGTGCCATGGCTCCATCCGTGGCAAGGAGAGACTGACCAGTCGGCTTTTGTTCTGTTCCGCAGATTCATTACATCCTCGAGCGCGAGCTTGTGCAGTCCCTTGTTGGTGCCCACGGCCTGAATCACGTCCCAGCTCAAGCCATTGACATTGATCCAGCGGCACTTGGCCCAGGCTTCCTTTGGCTTGTCCAAAAACGCGATGAAGGACTCGTTGTTGAAATGCTGCTTGGCCATGCGCTCCAGGGCGAAATCGACAACGGTAATGTCACACTCGGCGCTCAGCGCGGGCATGGACGCGTGGCCGCCATCAGGCAGTTCAGGATCGTAGCCCGGCTCGGAACCAGGCTGCCAGCCCGGCAGGGCGCCGTACGTGTCAAAGTCGTCGCAATCATCGACCGTCTTGAACGTGTTGGTGCGCGAGCTGCGGCGGCGGACGAGCACAGGCGACAGGAAGGAGTCGCGGTAGATTTCCGTGTCGGAGCGAGCTGAGCGCTTGCGAGGTTCGGCGCGTCGGGGCGACAGGTTCTGCGCGTCGACACCGGGATGGTATGCGGCGTGGAGGTCGGATGAGGTTTGGGGTCGCGGGGGGTCTGGTGAGGGCGCTTGCTCGTCGGGTTGTTTCTCAGAGGCCATGGTGTCGCGACTGTTGCGATGCAAAGACGAGGGTTGGATCGTAACGTCAGGATGCGCTCCTCGCCAGGCCAATGCGCATCAGTGCGGAAGGGAGTGCGGGTGCTACGATTGCGCGGCAACGCTGCCGCTGTTGCGCAAGTCAGGAGCGTGGGAAGCCATGGCCACTTGACACTCTGTGTTCTCAAGAGATGTGAATGGCGATCCTATCCCGAGTAGTCGCGCGTTTCGTGCTGATGACGTCGGGGAAAGCCACCACGTTTTGGCACCGACGCACCAGTGGCAAGTCTGAATGTCCGCCACATCCTTTCTCTGCCTTTGGTGAGATGAACGGTGCGGGAAAAGAGCGATAAATTCGACAATGCCCCTTGAGATCAATGTCTGGTTTGTGTTTGTGTCTGGGCATGAGTTTGCCCGCCCCGCAGCACGGCGTGTGAACTGTGCACATGTGAAGATTGAAAGCTGCCAAGAAACACGCCAAGGCATCCATCGCCTCATACAAGAGCCAAAGGCGACAACTCGTGAGCTGGCCGCCACACGAGATTCAACTTCACAAGCCCGACCCGGCGATAGCTTTCCACCGCTTCGCCCTGAACCACGAGGGGACCGTTTCTGACCAGCAACAGTCCGAATTGTCGATTGATGGGCAGGCAGCACAATTCATCCGCCGCCATGTCCCTCTCGCTCTCGACATCGAAACTGGCAGACCCCGCAGCATCGAGCCCGTCATGCTCCAGTATTTGGCCATCCATGAGACCATTGCCATTGATATTGAGTGTCGTCTCGGTATACTGAGGGCCGGAATTGCCCAGAGGACCCCCCTCGAGCCCGGTGTGACGCATCGTCACCAGATCCTGCGACAAGTAGACATCTGCTGCGCCTACTGCGCTGAAGTTGGGAATGCGAGGCCGCGTCGCATCCGCGCCAGAAGCTATCACATTTCTCTGCAGGCTCTTAAGCGACGCTCTCTTTTGGTCACAGGTTGAACAGGCGCAGGCATCGTCAATGGCCTCTAGCAGATGGATTGGATTCTCGGCACAAGATTCGCCTGCGTCGCCCGAGACTCTTGGTCCAAGCCTCACCCGTGCCGGGCTTCCATTGACGAGGAGGGACATGGTCCGGACCTGCCCAAACACATCTGGGCCGACGTATTCTGCTTCCACCGAAAGGAGCTCAATGAGCTTCTCGTTCATGTCATGGTATTTCGGCGTGATGCAGCACTTGACCTCCCCCTCGATCGACGCCCAGCTCCAAGACGGAGCACGGTACGTCGCCGGCCTGCTTGCTGCCCTCGACGCCACGGATTGCCACAGAAGGTCGTTTGTCAGTGTTCGCTTCCACAGCCCCGAATAGTAGTCGTCCTTGTTCAGGGCCTGGATGGCCCTCGCGCAGCCCGAAATGGCAGGGAGCTTGTCGGCCTCGTACGTCATGCGCCTCCTGGAGTAGTTCTGCACCATCTTCGCCCACCACGTCGACGCCTCCATCGTGACCCATCGCAGAGCCATGCGCCAGCCGACGTCCTCGCTGCTGTAGCTCGGCGCGTGTCGCAAGTGGTGAGGGAGCCGGGGCGCCATGACATAGTGGCTCGACGTGTCGTGGAGGACGTCGTCGCCTCGCTCCGTGCAGTGTCTCGTGTTGCACAGCCATGCGACCATATCCTGGCCGTAAATGAGCACCCGAGGGGACAGCGCAGTTTCCTGAAGGATCCAGGCGCGCCCGTCTCCCCTTTCCGAGTGTATGAAGGGCACGTTGGGCGGCATCTCCGACACGTACACGTCGCTGCCGCCAGGGAACGGGCCATCCATGACGTTTCTCTGTATCCTAGGGGAGAGACAGGGCAGGCACCTTCTGGGGACTTTTGTCGTGACGGCAAAACTCTGCTTCAAGTTGAGCCTGACGCGTCCAGCTGTCCTCCCGCGTGGGAGAAAGCAGCCGTACTCGCTTCCTGCGGCGCCGGCGGCACTGATTGTTAACAGCGACTTGTTGTAGTATTGGTCCATCAGAGCTGCTTCGCGCTGCCAGTCCGCTTGGGCTCGGGCATCCGTGCCCTGCAAGATGCAGAGAGAGTCGATCCATAGGTATCGTACGCCCAGCCTGCGCGTGATCAGCACGGCATTTCTAAAGGTTTCCGGCAGCTCGGACTCGGGGACCTGCGCTTTTCTGGCCGCCAAAGATCCGACGTCTGTGACGAGGGGTCTTGAGGCGCCCCAGCAGTGGCTCAAGGTGACGTAGAGTCCGTGAAGTTCTCGTTCCGTCTCGAGAAGAAACGGAGTCTTTGATCCATCCGAGGGCCCTACATCGATGACTCGGGTGGGTAGTAGAGGGAGCTCTTCGACTGGGTGTGCATCTGCATCCCTGACTTGGAACAACTGCTGCTGTGTGTCTTGCTGCCGCCCGATTTCGTCGTAACTCTGGGACATGTCCTGACAAAGCCTGGCGTCCTCGGCAAGATTTGGGTGGTTGTGTATACAATTCTTCATCCACGAAGCTATCTGGCCAAACACGGCCTCGGAATCCGCACGAGCATGGACCTCCCGCCCTGCGATTGTGCCCGCAAGCCGAGAGTCTTGATCAAAAGCGCAAAGTTAGTCGACGTGCCATGTTTTTGCGGGTTGCGGCGCACATTGATCCCATCATACCTGGTGCGACGAAAAGGTGCATGCGGCCATGGCGGTCCTCCAGTGCGCCATCACGTTCAGTACGCAGCACAGCTTTGATGCCGTCGTTCATATCACCGCTCCAGTGGAGCCACAGGCCCTCACGACGGCCAACTCTTGCCAGTGACAGGGTGAAGGCAGTGTTTCGAGCCGATCCCAAGGGCTCGGGGGGTACTCTACTCAACACGGTCCGTATTAGCGAGCAAAACTCGCAGCCCTTGGCCGCTGAGTCGTCGAGGGCTGAGGCATTAGGCACGTGGTGATGGCCTCCGCGATTCAAGCGCGTTATACTGAGGCAGTCGCAGAGATGGCACAGCATTTGGAGCTGACGCCCGTGGTATTTTGCAGTAAGGATGTCGGTCCAAGGATGTCATGTAAAACCGGTGGTCGAATGTGTTCTCCGAGTAAGAGTAAAAGACAGTCATAGGGGTGCTTGTATGTTCTCAAAGGCTTCCCTTGTTGGACCGAGAAGCATGAAAAATGTGTCAACGCAGAAACTTGGATTTGTTGAATGGAGTGGTTTCGGAAAGCTGATGGTGCATGTGTGTAGCTGAATACACTGGACAAAAGCTGAAAAGAATAACACTTGTCCCTGCAGCTGAGGACCAGATGGTCAGCTGAGGCTGACTTGCGTCAGATACCACACCGTACCAGCTGCGCGAAGCAGGTGAGATGGCAGAAAGGCAGCAGTTCAAAGAGGCCATTCGGCAATCAAGCTGCTAATAAATTATACATACAAATAGTCATACGGAGGAATAAATGAGCAGAAGCCTTGACCCTCGAGGCTCTCCGGCCGTAATGGCAAGCCAGCAACTTCATGTATGACGTGGGCTTGGTATCAAGCGGGATGGATATCGCAAAGGCTTCTTTTTGGAGCTTCGCCGTGGCAATGCGTCTGTCGGAATGTTGCAAGAAAAACTGCCGATTGTGAATATACCTTGTTGCATGATGGGATCTGAATTCTTTGGATGCAGTTTTATAACGAGTCAATCGTTTGACGCAGCATGTATGCCACTGGCGTCAACTGGTCTGACTCGGTGTAAGCCACGCTGCGGTTGACTGTGACACTGGAGCTACCGGGATACGTGTTTAGTGAAATGAGATGATGGCGAATGTAAAACACTCATGGGATGGGATGAATTCAACATTTGAAGTCTGGGCTTCTCCCAAGTGGCGTTCAGCGTGGTCACGTTGCCATCGTCGGGGAACTGGGGGCGAGCAACTTCCCAACAAGCCAGTGGAAGCATGGTCCTTGGATTAAGCTACCGAGTTGGCCGTAAATGCCTTTTCCAAGGATATGGCCGAGGCTGATGCAGTTATGTGACACTCTACCGAGGAGACGCGAGGCCACTGGGCAATATTGTACCAGTCCAACAGCCCTAGGGGTAAGTATTGGGGTAGAAATCAAGCCATTTTACTGTGTAACATTGACGCCTGGAGATATAAATTCCCATAGACGCGATTGAGCGCAGAGGCTCCTTGACTGTCATAATTAGCGCCAAGCGAGAGTGTAGTTTGTACATTTTGGCAAAGTTGGTTCTAGCTCCTCGAACTACAGGACGCATCTGGCTGATTCATCACATTCACCCGAATGAAAAGTCTTTCCAACGCTTTCCGTTCTGTATCTCATCTGCTGTGCGTAATAAAATTGTGTGTCGGTATGTGTGAGACGGCCCCTGGTAGAATTGGCTCTCACATCTTCACCAAAGAGTAATCTAGACGCCGAAATATCGATACTTGGTCTTCGGCTTCAATATTTGAACCCCGCACAAGAGTCAAGTATTTAGGTTGATAAAGGGCAGGCAGACTTACTACATGACCACCGGAAACATAATCTCCAGCATGATGAAAAAGGGGCCAACCTGGTTCGCCGCCGGCGCCACGTAGCTCGCGGAAATCAAGAAGGCGCGCAGGTACTTTTCTATGCCGCCAAAGTAGCCCATGTGCAAGTTTATCATGGTTTTCTGCACATTGTCCGCCGGCTTCAGCAAGGAAAGGAACGTGGTAGACGAGGATGCTGAGTCTCAGCGCGACAAGGTAGTTGCAACGATGAAACACTAAAAGGTGGTCATAAAGGTCATCTTTTGGCGGTACAGGAGCTGGCGTGTAGGAATCGTGTATTCGTAGAGCGAGAGAAAAGCCAACATATGTCTGCCACAACAGCTGCGGCGATTCCCTCGTGTACCGGGGAGCTTGTGTAGAAGGCGACGGCCGTTTGCGACTGCTCCGGCGGCCGGTTTGATCATGGGAACAGCTACTATCGGGCTGGGCCTGGTAATGCTGAGGATCAGAACACCGAGCAGTTAGTTGGACAGTCCAAGGGTGCTGGTAATAGCCCGACTGAGCTGAAAGTAGCTGTGAGAAGAAGCCGCCACTTATAGAGTCTCTCGTCGGACCAGGTGTTGATTCATGGTTATTACTTCTGGTTTGCCAGGGGGGAAGACGGGAAGCTTGAGATAAACGCAAACACAACACCACGGGAAGGCCAGGTTTTGTACCTCTATACACTGGAACAACTATCTGCCTGTTGAATACGAAAAATCGAAAAATTTCAAGTCGTAAAGGACACAGAGTTTGATTTACAAGGTCATTCAGATGTTCACATTCGCATAAGTTAGAGAAGGTTGACGCTGAGATGAACACCTTTCTTTAAGATGATCTTGGCTGCTCAGCGGATGGGTTGACCGCACATCTGTGCTACGGTCTCCTTGACATCAAGCCACCATACAAGAAAATAGGCTGCCATTGTCCATTGTAGTAAATTACAATCGATCCCTCGCTCGCATGTATTACAAGTGAGAGCTACCCTATATGGAGCTTAGGACTTCGGCGCTTCTCAACAGACACATCATCTTGTCCAAGAGACTGTGAGCCCTAACTGGCATGCCAGAACATTCACAACTGCTAGAATAACATTTGTTTCCTGTCTTGTTCCTTTTCTTTGACGTTTCCCAGGTCTCATAGTCCCTAGCTAGCTCAAGTTTCAGGAACTCTATCCGTGTTGTTGTTTGGTAAAAGCCAGAGCACTACCAGGGAGCTAATATTCCCTTCCACTTATTCCTTCACGTTTCAATGCTGCCCCCCCCCCCCTCTACATCGTGATTTCAAATCACTCCGTACGCTTCACGATAGCTTTCGGGGATGCCGGGGAATGGAATCACGAACCACAAGCTCCGGCATAACAACCTCGAAATGGCATAAAATAGAGCCACTATATTTCTAATAAAATCATTGATAATCAATAGTTTCTTAACCCATCGGTAGTTATGCAGCAAATACCTGCGCGGTGGCCCGAATACTTGACTCGAGTCGATATGGCTCGAACCATTGTTGGGAGTCGGGATACGCACTCGGATTCTCCCCACCTTCAATTTGCAAGTCCCCTTTCCCTTTGAATTTTCCTACTCTGTTCCTTCACGAATGAGCGGCGATGCCAAGATTCCTTCGATACCAATAATGGGTTTGCTACCAAGAGGCAACTGATTCAAGATGAGACGAGTCGGTCGGAATATTGATGGACAGGTGGAGTGGACATGGCAGGGGCAGTGGGCTGGTGAGGACGGGAGGATCATGCACCTGGCTTGACGATATCACTAGCTTGTCATAGTTGGCGTTGTTATATGCAGTCATGTAGCCTGATTGGTACATTTCGCTGATAACCACTCGCGTGTTGAGGTCGACGAGGCGTAGCTGCGTGAAATGTTGCTTGTCGAGTAGCGGACATCCCTGGTAATTCAATGAGCAAATATACGGAAGAAATATGCAGGCATGGTACATGAGGCGATGAAAATGTCACTGTGGCTGTCTGATATGTGTGAATTTGAAATGGCCTTGTATAGTCGAGGGCATGGTTTAGAGCGGCATCATATGTACTAGTACCCTGGATTGAGGGCTCCCAAAAACTTGGGCTTTATATCGTGGAGGTGTCGCACTCGAATGAGTAGTACGTAGTACTATCAACTGTGGTAGGTGACACTGATACCGAGTAGTTAGATGCTACCAGCACCACGCCAATCAGATTGCATGACCAGAGCCAATGAAGCAATTCGGCGGAAGCGGCAGCGAAGCCACAAGGGTCCATTCCGCGCGTGTGAATAACTTGTCGCTGACAACCCATCTGGGAAATGGGTCAACAACAGGTGCATGAGATTGTGGGCCTCATTTCCGGCTAGGCCCATTCCATGAAGCTGAAGTCTTCGCTCCCGGGACATGGCACATGGTGACAGACGAGTGTGACTGGGTGGGTAGTATTACTAGTAGTAATATTCCGTACTAGTAGTACCCTCTGGCTGACCCCAGACTTGGGCCAGAATCTCGGCGAGCAAGCGACAGTGAGCACAGGGTTGAGAATGTGGCATGGGACCTGGGCGCGCAGGGGGAGAGGGGGTCAGCAACGCCAAGACCGAATTCCTTTCATATTACGTACGGAGTACATGAGCTGTGATAGTATTTCCATCTGGCGGGCCGAGGCGAAGGGGCGCAACTCCTCCGAGCATGATGAATCATGGACGCATGCTGCGAGGTGGGCAGTAATGCCGGATAATGAAATTCCCCTGCTGAGACGAGTATGAAGTTGCGCCCTTCAGCAATATGCGCATCACTGGATGCTGTACCGTGGGTATCGAGGGATCAAGTTACACTAGATTAAAGGGAGCATGGCACTCTGCACTCTGTGCTCCGCATCCTGTGCTTTGCTGCCGTGCTGACATTCCGCCGAAATAAAACTCGGTATTAGTATTGCGGGGTTGGAGCTGCCGCTACCGAGTACTACTACTAGTACTTTTCGACCTCTTCCTCTGGAGAATCGTCCTGTTTGACCCGATACTGAATGAGAATGTGGAATGCACCGCGATGGTGCGAGGCTCAGCGGGCATCATGATGGATGGCGCTGCAAGCACTCCGCGCTACCGAGTAACTCCTGGCGCTGGATTGCAGCCACCCACCAGCGACACCGTAGTAGATTGAGGTGTTTGCCATCGATTCGGATAATTTCTGTGCTCGCACGGCATGGTGGGGGTGGTCGAGTCCACCTTGGCGGCGCTCTTGCTAAATTAGAAAGAGGTCGCGTGATGCCGCGGGGAGAGTCAAAAACCAGGCCAAACTGGACTAAAACTCGAGCCGGAATGAACACGCGGCTGGGAATTGTCAAATATACAGCGTGGAGGACTCGTCTGCCAGTCAACAGTCTGGCTGGCAGTCTTTTCCTCGATGCTGTCGTGACGTCGAGGTGGGCTTGAACAACTTTTTCGTCCGGAGTTTCGGAGTACCCCGTCGTACTCGGTGTTGTTGGCCCTGTGGAACTCCCAACTAAGAAACGAGGGAAGGAGCGAATCGCGTGTTGAACATGGCCGCAACCGGGCAAGCGCGGGAAAACCAAATGTGCGGCCTGCGGCTTCTGGTCCACCACTGGTGCGCCCTTTTGGGCCATCGTCTCGAAAGGCCTGGCTCGTATTCTCATCACTTGCAACATCCTTTCCTTTAAAACCGAGCCGTGAAGACGGACCCTGTATGCATACTCGTACAATACAACCCCTGAATTATTGTCAAAAAGACCCTTATACAGAACCATCGGGCATTTTTGTGACAGATGCCCCTTGACCCACCGCGTCGCATCTTCATCAAGACAAAAAAAAGGGGATCTCAGACCTAGAGTACAGTACTCCGTACATCGCGGCTATCGCTAGAACTGATGTCTGCATCTCCAATTTCATGATGCAAGCTGTGGGGACGAAAGCCTGTTGGCAGCCCTATGAGCCCTGGTCTGCCCTACCCAGTTCATGTCAGAGTTTTTTCCTAGTCACGTCTCGTACTCCGTACGGAGCACCTCGAATGGAGACGTCGTATCGCTTTTGATGTTCGCAGCTGTCAGTTCGGGGTGACAGCTCCACTTTCCCTACTTAAGTACGATACTGGAATAACTACTTGTTAAGCAGTAAAATTAACATTGGCGCGGAATGTTTTGCGTTTATAAAGCTATAACAAGTACGGAGTATGATGTCTCCCTTTATAAATGTAGAAATCATGCAAGATGCATTTACTAGTACCCTCTTATAAAGTCGCAGGTGGTTAATTAAACCGGGGTTGGAATGTAGGAGCTGTACGGAGTACGGAGTACTTTGAGATTTTCAATGTTTCGTTGATCAACATTTGTCAAGGATTTGGCGCCACTGGGGCCGTCGCGGATTTTCGGCGCAATTCCGACCCAGTACTGCCTACTCCGTACAGGCTACAGTAGAGGCAATGAACCCAACAAGTCGCTGACAGTACTCCGTACATTTTGGGCTTAGCATGGCACCGTGTGCCGGTGACTGTGCGGGACGAGCCACAGACCAGCTCGATGCCTGCCGGGTGGCTCACTCCGTATCCAAGCGCGGCTCTAAGGTTATTTACACAAAGGTCTGGCCGTGATTTGAGAGGGGTCGAGTCGATTCCGGCAACACAGCCATCGAATCCTGGCCCGGCTCAACGCCGATGCGCATTCCAGCGCGCTTCCCCAAGGGCAAGAAGAAACGCGCTCTTCGACAGCCCACGCTTTGAAACGCGATCTTGTTTGCCGATCGTCTCTGCTCTAAAAAGACCAGTTGACAGCCTGTCACGCCCCCCCCGGTTCCATCGTCGGTCCTCTTTGTTCCCCACTCCCCCTTTTCATGGTGGTGAGCTGCCAAGCTGCCCATCCGCCCATCAAGCCCCCTCCCGCCGGCGGCTCCAAACACACATCAGTCACCAGCCCTCTTCTGAGGCTGTCGTCCGTCGCCCATTTCTTTAGTCTTGTCCTTGGGACGTCTCAGAGCTCTACGCTGCCCAGGATTCTCGGAGCACATCCGGTGAGTCCAAGCCATCAATGATCTAGCGGCTACCTCACGCGACACGGTGCGAGTCCCTGGCAGTTAAACGGTGCATGCGTACATCTGGACCGGGTCCCTGGATGGTGGCTCTTGAATGTTGCCTTGGCCTTGGCCTGGCTCCCCTCGCTTTCATCATGTTGGCCGCCTCCCGCACCTCCATGTTTAATGTTGCCATGTTAACATGCCATGGTGAAATTGAGTGGCTAGCCCGTCCACCCAATGCGCCAGGCAAGATGGTCTCCCGAACCCCGTTCGTGATTGCGGCAGTCTGGCAGTATTTATAAAACACTGCAACATCCCCATTGAGGTGCTGGACAGTGGAAGATGCTTGGGGGAAACACACAAGTAAAGATTCCACTGGACATGTCGGGCAGGCCGGTGTAGTTATGTAGGCAGGATTCATTCTTCTCATCCCAGCCATTCCCCGCAAGCGAGGGTGTGCCGTTAAGAAAATGCTAGGCTCGTTTAGACGGCCGACCGGGCGTGGTGGATTGTGGAAATGGAAGCTTCCATATCCTTTCATTCCTAGAGTAGATGCACGATGCCGCTGCTGGTGCACTCCGCACGCTTTCCAGGCTCGTCTCGTGCCCGCCCTTGGCTCTTGGCTCTCGCCTCGTCGCCTCTCTTATTTTTGTTTGTCACTCGCCTCTCCTTCTCGACCTCTTCCCTTTTGGCCCTCCTCTCCTCCCTCCCCCCATCACGCCGCCCTCTTTTTACTCGCCTCGTCCCGCTTCACCTTGGTCGCGCGTCTTCCTTTGCTTTGGAGTTTGCCCATTCTACTTGTGCCGGCTCCTGTCGTCTCTGCTGGCTAGCTCGGCATACACGCTCTCTTCATTTCTCTATACCTTCGTTTCCTGCATTGGCAAGCCACAGGTGCTGGGAGAGCAAACGAGACCGCTTCAACAGCGGAGTTGCGCCGCATTAACGGACTTGTATCGACCACACACCCCTTCTGCAACATCCCGACTTGCCTTCTTTTCGAACTTTCCGAGTATGAGATATCGAGCCAACTCTAGACCCGCCGCCTCGCCGTTATGATCGACACGCCTCGCCGCTCGGCAGGCTCTCTCGCCTCCTGCTTGAATAGCCGACGTTGTGTTTTTACCAATAGACGTCTCTGCCTGGCTTTTGCTTCTCGCTTTGCCAATCGACGGCTTGTTTTCTCTATTGCTGCCGTTTCTATACTCGGTGCCAAATGGGTCCATATATATGCACACATTTCAGCCCTTCCTCCGGCCGAAATGGCTCGATGGGGGCTGTCATTCTTCGCGCAGGACACAGCTTTGTTACTGATGCTGCGCCTGCTGCTGGATGCTGAGTTGCCTCTATTTGCCGCAGTTGGATGTTTGCGTTTCTTGGCCACCAGTTTGGCCTGTGTTATCACGTTTGTCCAGCATGTCCTCGCCTCAATCAACATCTCATTCTTTGTCGTGGCTGGATCTGAGCTTCACTGGCGCAACATCGGCCTGGCGGGGGACTCATCGTCCTGGTCCGTGCTCTTGACTGGGCTCGTGTCATGCTCCATTGCCTTTGTCGCTATTCTCATAGCTGGCTGGCTTCTTCAGGACTTTAGCTTTGCGTTTGCCGGCATGGCTCTCGACATCGTTAAGCTGCCCCTTACTTTCTTGTTCAGCAAGATTCCCTATTGCGGTCGGGGCTCGACCGCGACCGTCAAGTATGACTACGTACCTCAAAAGGAGATTGATCTTGAAGATGGGTCGGACGGTGATGGCGACTTCAACTCGGTCGGGAAGCGCAAGCATTCTGGTCCCGCAACCCTGCGGGAGAACAAGATGATGTGGCTGCTCTACACTGTGATTGGCATTCTTTTGGTTACACAGGCAGTCTTGGCCATGGTTCGTCCTGTTGAAAGTTCACTCATCTTCATGTCCTGGACGCCGATTTTGCTGCCCTTTATCGACTTTGCTCATTCTTCGCCGACCCTGGCCGGTCTGCTCCCCTACTATAGTCAGAGTATCGGTTGGGGCTGGGATAATGAGACAGCCCTGGCTGAACCCATTCGCTGGAACTGGCTGCCCGAATCGGAAACCCCGCTTCCTGGATTTGAGGACTGGTATGAAGCCGAGACGGACCATTACAACGCTGCTCAGGACCCCCTGAAGATTTCTAATTTGGAGAATGACTTGCTTAAACCTCTCCGAGGCAAGTTGGGTGATGTGGATATTCGGCATGTGGTACTAATCAAGTTGGAGAGCACCCGAAAGGATGTGTTTCCCATCAAGAAGGATGGTCAGATTTGGCAGAAGTTCGCCGAGACTTGGGAGAATGGTACCTTACCTGATGAGGTGCAACAGCGGCTTTCAACTCTCACTCAGAATGCAAATTTTCTGACGGGCGATTATAATGATGGATTTGAACATGAGACTACTAAGCGACGAGGTGGTTTGAATGTGAACAACGACCACACAACTGGCACCTACACCCTCAAGAGTCTTCCCGGAACCCTCTGTGGAATCACACCTCTGGTCGCCGACTTCAATGTCGAGTATGCCAACCACATTTATCAGCCCTGTCTGCCGCACATTTTTAACGCATTCAACGCACTTGATCATTCCAACGACTCTGCGAAGCACACCGATGAGTACACGAAATATAAATGGAGCAATGCCTTCATGATGTCGGTTACAAATTTCTACGACAAGCAGGATCTTTTAATGCCCAAGATGGGATACAAGGAAGAGGAGCTTATCCACAAGGAGTATCTGCAGAGCGATGAGGCTAAGTTTGGTAAAAATACTATGCCTGAGATCAACTACTACGGCATGGCCGAGTCTGCCGTCGAGGATTACATTCGAGATGCCTTCAAGACGGCTAATGAGAAGAACGAGCGACTCTTCCTGTCTCACCTGACTAGTACCGCTCACCACCCGTTCAAAATGCCCGACGAGGAAACTTATGTGCCCCTTGCGCCCGAAGGCAAGCTCGAAGACCTTTCGCACTACGTGAACACTGTTGGATTCGTTGACCGATGGCTGGGAAAGATTTTGCAAATCATCGAGGAGGAGGGGTCTTCCAACAACACACTGGTGGTCATGGTGGGTGACCACGGCCTATCGGTTCCCGAAACCGGCGCGGTTACGCCGTATTATCAGCCCAATGTCGGTAACTTTCATGTCCCCCTGGTCATGTCACACCCGAAGCTTCCTCCCATCGACATCAACACTCCGGTCAACTCGATATCTATTCTGCCCACAATTCTGGACCTGCTCATTGAGACGGGCTCGCTGTCTCCGTCTGAACGCCAAGCCGCATCTGACCTAGTTCGCAACTACGAAGGCCAGTCGCTCATCCGACCTCTGCAGATGTCATCGAAGCATACTGGCCAGGCCGACTGGCAGTTCACGATTATGAACACTGGCCGAGCCCAGGTTGCCACCCGTAGCGCACGAGATCCCAACTGGCGGCTGGTGGTACCTGTGATCAAGGACATTGAGTGGAGATTTACGAATCTCGAAAAAGATCCGCACGAAAAAGACGGAGTTCTTTCGTTTGACTTTGTCACCTTCCTGAACAGCGTGGAGAAGAAGTACGGATCGGATGCAGCCAAATGGGCTGAGGAGGCGTCCTTCATGACGCGGTGGTGGGTCGATGAAAATGCAAAGCGATGGCGTTATACTCCCTGATTATTCTGAAGCGACTTGGACATGCATAGCAAGTCTTTTTTTTTTTTTCCTTGTCATGCCACACCATCACCACTATAGTAATTTTTCTTTTCAACGTTGGCGAGAGGGTCATTAGCATCAGAGGGCGGCTGCAATTGAATTCTTGGCTACTGTTACCTTGCATCTTCTGGTTCATTACCTTTGTTCTGTTTTTTTTTTGTTACAAATATTTTTTGGCTTTGTTCAACCCCCATTACGGCTTTATTTGCTACTACTTTTTTTGTCATTATTCGGGATTACGGAAAACTAGGGGCATCTGGGGCTTTGGTGCAATTTCTTGTACGATAGCGAGTACTACGGAGTATGGTTAATTCATGCTAGAAATGTGTATATTTCTTGGATTCATCTCATGGGGTGCTTTGGGTTTTGGTCCATGCATGGTATCTGTTCAAGGGCCGAACATGGCCACCGTGACGTCTGGTGTATGTAGTTGGGTTAGAGTTTGGGGCGTGGCTCCCGAAGGATGCTGTGTCACTACCAGGCGTTGCATGGTGCCGCATCTGGGCCAGCCAGTCAAAGCCAGATGCAAAGTCAATCCGCATGCAGATTGCCAGATGCGTCGGCGGAGCACGGGGCACGTGAAACGTATGTCTGGTGCTCACGGTGTCGGACGCGGGATGTGCTTTGCTTTGCTTCCATGCCGGGTCGCGTGGGGGACAATGGCTGCCAGGATGATGGACTTGGACGAGACATTTGGAGTTGTGCGCGTACCCAGCGGCTCGATCGCCAGGCATGGTGTGGGGCACAGTGTGTGCCATGGAGTGTCGAATCTGGCCAACTTTATTTTTTCCCTTGTTCCCAGGTAGAGCTTGTTGGGGCGTTGGTTTAGTGCCGATCACGGCCGTTTTGGGCTGACAGGCCAAGGGTCGACTTGACGCTACTAGTATTGTTTGTGTTTGGGGGGACAATAGGCGCGGGCTATTGTTGGGCTGGGCTGACAGGCTGCATGTGGTCATGTGCGAGCAGTTGACTGATGCTGGCTGGGTCTCGAGAGGACCGAGAAGCAGCCACTGACTGACTGTCTTGGGGGGTGAATGGAGTTGAATTGCCGCTGCGTTGACTGCTGGGGCTAATATTTATTTATTTATTATTTTTTTTTTGGAGCCGAGCGTTAGTTGATATGCTCTGTGCTCGTGGTGTAGGACATGCCGGGCCGGTTCCCGCGACACCGACTTAGAGACGTGATGAACCTGCCGGGCCTCAACTCTCTGCACCGGACCACCTCGACCCCTCAGCCTCTCTGTCTGGAAGTTCTGCAAAATGTTGCGCAGGATGCACGTGCTCGGAGTGACTGACAAAACAAAAATGGTCAACTGGCAGGTCGGTTTCGCTGAGTAGAAGCTGAGCGTCCTCGGTGCTGCAGCCCCGCCTCGGCTCCGCGGCCGTGACGGAGCAGAGAGCCGGGTCGTCCCGCCAATCCCATTTGATGGCATTCATTCCCGCGTCCCACCGGGCCAAGCCGAGCTTCAAATTCACAAGTCAGAGCGCGACACTGAAGGTTTGACGGACCACGGGTTTACTCTTATCCAATGAGCCCCAGGCTGATCAAGGAAAGGACGCGCGACGGTGGAAGCTGTGCTGAGGAATCCTGGCGTCTGCGTTTCGAGGTGTCGCTCGCTGCTCCTGGTCCTGGTCGTGTTCTGCTCAAACTTTGAGGAGGATTTCGGGACATGAGCAGCCTGGTATGTATGCTACCTTGAGCTACTCCCGGCTCTGCAACGAGGCGTAACGTGCAAGTTGTGCGCTGCGCGCATCTTGTTCAACATGATGCCTCATATCCCCACATTCGTCAGCTTATTCGTCCATGTTGTTTTCTCGTTGCTCACTGACATTCAATCGATGTTGATTTGGATTGAGATTGCGCAAGTGACCTTTTGTCATTTGGACGAGGCCATCTTGGCGTGCAAAAACAACCCTTGCTATGCCGACTTGCCATTGTGGTCACGGATCCCAAGACGACGTTCGATGAACTCGAGACGCAGTACAGCCTCCAGCACCAAGCCACGGCGCAGGGCGTCAACCAGTAGAATTCAAGGTCTGGCTGTCCATCATCACCGCTCCCATGTACACCTATATTCAAGCTCAAAAAGCGCCTCCCTCCGGAGATCACGGAAGTGATAGATAATCCCACCAGCCGGGACGCCCAGCACTCGAAATCCCAACTCGGAACAATGGCCATTTCTCACCCCTCACCAAGCTTTGCTTGGCTCTAAAAAGAAAAAAAGACATAGTCTACCTCTCATGATGAGCGAGAAGAAAACGCGGTCCAGGCGGACCTTTCCCCTGTCCCTTGTCGAGAAATACTACCCCCGCGCATGGGACTGCCGACTGCCGTTCCTGCACCCGTCCCTCGCGGCCACCCGGCCCAAGCTCATCAAAGCCGGCATAGTCAACACCATCATCATCCAGCTGCTCTTCTTCGTCCTGTTCTGCTACCTCTTCGGCGCGCTGTACCAGCAAGGCCCGCGCACCCACAACCTCGACGTGCTGTGGGTAGACTACGACGGCGGCCTCGTCGGGCAGGCCGTCAACGCGGCCTACGCGCGGCTGAGGTCCGACCAGTTTCCCACCCTCGTCGCGCGGCCCGTCTCGCAGTACCCCTCGGCCGACGCCCTGCGCGACGCCGTGTGCGACGCCGACTACTGGGCGGCCGTGTACACGGCGGCCGGGTCGTCGGCCAAGCTCGGCCTCGCCATCGCCGGGCTCAACACGTCGCGGTACAACGAGTCCGACGTGCTCTTCTACATCTGGAACGAGGCCAAGTACCCGGCCGTCATGGACAGCGCCCTGTCCAGCAACATGGTGGCCCTGTCCGGCGCCGCGCGCATCGCCTACGTGGCCCTCAACGGCACGGCGGCGCTGGCCACCGTGCCGCCGGGCGACCCGGCCGCCGTGTCCGTGTTCGCCAACCCGTGGACCATCACGTCCGTCAACCTCAAGGCCACGGCGCAGGGCACCCGCGCCGTGTACAACACCATTGCCATTGTGCTCATCCTCCTGCAGAACTTCTTCTTCCTCGCCACCATCAACGGGCTGTACGTGCAGTTCAAGATTTACAACCGCGCCCCGCCCAGGTTCATCATCCTCGTCCGCGCCGCCATAGCCTGCGTGTACACGTTTCTCGGGGGCCTGCTCATCACCGCGGCGATTTGGGCCTTCAAGGCGGGCTGGGACGTCTCGGGGGCCGCGTTCGTCCTGGACTGGGCGACGTTTTGGCTCCTCGGCCACGTCAGCTTCCTCGTGCTCGACGTCTTCTCCATCTGGATCCCGCCGCAGTACGTGCCGTTTGCGCTCGTCGCCTGGGTCGTCACCAACGTCACCTCCGTCATTGTGCCCTTCAGCCTGTCCAACGGCTTCTACCGCTGGGGGTACGCGCTGCCGGCGCACGCGGCGTACGAGGTGCTCACCGACATATGGTCGGGCGGCTGCAACCCGCACCTGTACTTTGCGCTGCCCGTCTTGTTCGCGTACGAGGTGCTGGGGACCCTGGGGACCAGCCTGGGCGTGTACAAGCGCTGCCACCTGGCCGTCGTGGCCGAGGAGGCCACCAGGCAGGCGTCGGTGCTGCTGGAGCAGACGCGCGAGAGGAGGCAGTCGAGGGCGAATGGAGAAGCCCTCATTGCGGGGGGGAGTGGCCGGGTGGCCGGCACGAGGGCGGAGGATGCCGAGGAGTCGGAGCGGGAGCAGAGGGAGGAGCTGGACGAGGAGGACGAACAGGCTGTCGAGGACATTCAGAGGCTGGAAACGCAGGCGACGAGGATATATTCCAACTTGGGGCCCTCTTTTCAGCTGGTTGGCTCTGATGAGAGGCAGGGTTAGGGTTAGGATGGCGCTGCAAATCGTCGGACTTGTCTTGTTCCTTGTCCCCTAGCTGAATGGAGTAAGATGGTTAGCAATGGGCAATAATCTTGAATCTTGAATGTTGTGCGGGGACATACTACTCGTGGTTGAGAGTGCGCATGGCGTTGCTTGGCCCGCCTCTATTCGCGGCCTTTGCCCACTGGCTCGCTACCCCGCGGCGATATCGGCGCAAATGCAGCCGCAAGTTACTCCGTACCGCCAGGCTTAAGCCGTCAAGTCAGTCAGGGCCCCACGTTGCCAATTGACATCAATTGATCAATCAAGCAGCGCAAGCGCGGCTGACGGCTGCCGACGGATGCTCACAGCGGAGGCTGCCGGCAAAGATTGCGAACCCCCGCTAGACATTGCGAACCCCCGCCAATTGATCCGCTCCGGAACTTTTATCGCACCGACATCTGGCAACGTTGAATCTTGAAGCGCCTCAAAATTTTCCATTCTTTGCATCTTCACACTCCTGCATTGCATCTCGGCCCATCCAGTCCATGCGATCCGGCAAACAGTAGGAGCTTACACTGCTCCCGCAAGCACCGTCTAGGCACTCTGTTGGCACTCTGGCCACTCCAGCCTCAAAGACCAGACCAGACCACCTTGAAACCGCGCAACCTGCCAATCCTCCCACAATGCCCCAATCAGAACCCACCGACGGCCGAGACACGCCCATCTCATCTGCATCTGCGGGTGGAGAAGGAAAAGCAAAGAGGCGCAAAAGTAAGAACGGTAATGGCGGCGGCGGCAGCGGCAGCGGCAACAGCAGCGGGAAGCGCGAAAGAGGTGACCAGGACGACGAGGCCATGGCCAAGCTGGCAAACGGCCCCCACGGCGACGGCCTGCGCCGCTCTAGCATCAGCAAACCAGGCCGCGACCGCCGCGACGAGCCTGAGCCCAGGACCAAGCGCCAGAAGCGGGAGAAGCGCGACAAGAGCGAGAAGCGCCGCCAGACAGCAGCAGACAACGACGAGGCCAGCAGCAGCGGCAGCAAGCGAGACGCCTCGCGGTCGCGGTCCCTGGCGCGCCTGGAGAGCCCCGTCATCGACTTTGACGGGCTGAGCCGGCCCAGCGTGGGCGCCCGCGACCGCCTGGAGGAGGACCCCGAGGCGGCG